AACGTGACCTCCTCATTGATCGATCGCCATCAAATTCTGTTTTCTCATTTCTATCCTCATTTTTTTTCTGAGTCTACACAATGGCAAGCACAGTGGGCATTGTAATTATCGCCGCCGCCCAATCTGTGGCAAAGGCCTTTACCATTGGTTTGGTTGGATATGTTTCCGTCAAGTGTAAGTCATCTCTTCTCCCATTCTCCCAAAAATTATTACACATTCTCAACAATTCGGTTTTGAACTCTTCACTTTCTTCTCTCTTTTTCAGTCCCAAAAGACAACCCGTTTCTACCTCAAAAGCTCGTGGGAACATTCTCTAGATTCACCTTCCACACTCTGATGCTTTCGTTGATATACGGAACAATTGCAAGAGCGATAACCTTGGAATCAATAGGGGACTACTGGTATGTTGTCGTTGGGGCATTTTTTGTGTTGGGAATCTCTTATGTGGTGGCAACGATAATGCAATGTCTCATTCCGATTGCAAATGTATATGACTTTCGGGCATTAAGAATATCTGTCACCTTTCCAAACATTGTGGCTCTCCCAATTCTGATATTCCCATCTCTCTGCGAGTTCCCTTTGGTCCACAATGGTTACATGCGAGCGCAGTTTGGTGACGATGGCTTGAGTCCAGAAGAAATGGAAGAAAAATGCGTAGAACAAGCAAACACCTTGATATTTTGCTACTTTTTTGGATTCATGTTTCTCTTCTGGGGCGTTGGTTATCCACAACTCATTGGGGCTGCACAGGAGAAAGCCTTGGAAGCTAGCAATGCCAGCACTAAATCAGAAGAGTCTCGCCAAGAAGAGGAACCTCCTTCGCAAACAGAGAATAGTCACCAATCACCGTCCCCTGTAGGAATTGATGCAGGGGAAGCAGATCAACAACAGAACGAGGAGAACTCTGCTATCGGCGATACGAGAGCCAAAGACGACCGAGGCTCGGAAGAAAATCGATTTGGAGTATTCAGCAATACCATCAATGCATGCAAGAAGACCTTTACCTCTCCTGGCTTCATTGCATCCATTTTGGGGTTCATAACAGCATGCATACCTCCTCTACAACGTGCCTTGTTTGAAGCAGAAGCACCATTGCGTTTCCTTGGCTCAGCTATCGAAGCTCTTGGTACTGCCAGTTCCTCCATGTCCACCATCATTGTTGCGGCAAGTTTGGTGCCACCCAAAGACGAAAGTGATTCAGCTAGAGAAGTCAATACTAGCCACGAGAATGGTAATGTAGGAGACTTAGTGGCTACACCCACGAATGTGCAAGGCGACAGAAGGGCCAGAATAACGTCCCTTCGGCATTCCATCAGTAGCCGTTCGATCCGAATGGTCAAGGCCATGACTAGATCAACACCAGAAATGCGACGTCTCTATCTGTGGTTTTGTCTATCAAGGTTAGTTGTGGCACCAGCTTTTGTGGTAGGCATCGTTTTGGCGTTGGACTGTGGTTTCCATGTATTGGATCCTGTTCCCAATTTGGCACTTCTCGTGGTTATCGTAAACAGTTGCCTTCCTGGAGCATCGATAATCGTGGTCCTTTTAAAGTCTCAAATGGTGCTGGAGGAAACCGCTACTGTCGTAGCAAAGGTTTACTTTGTATGCTATATTGTTTGCATATTCACGATTGCTGCCTGGACAGCTGTTGGTCTGTACATTACCATACCGGATGAAGATGGGAACACATTCTGTAGCCGACAATAGATCTGCAATCATACTCTACACGATATAATACATAAATCACAACATCCGTAGCATAAGACATAAATTAGATTACGCATGATAGGGCATAGTTTCAAGGTATTCCAGTGCCTCTTTATCCGACAGCATGAGTTCGGGATCCGCATAGTACTCCTTCGCGTTGAACTCGTACGTGTCCGTCCCGCCCAACCATGTTGGACTATAATCATAGCTTACCACAGTATTCAAAATCGCTTGTCGTTCTTGAGGGTCGTGAGGGAGAACAATAATCTTGTTTCGAACTTCTTCTGAAAGGAGCTTCAACATCATCTTGGCCAACATTTCTCCCACACTGCCAAGATTTGTCATCAAGATGATACCAAGCTTATCTGGGAAGTGATCCTGGAGCATTGTGACAAAAGCTTTGACTGAATTCAAGGAGGGCATTAACCTAAATGCGAATCCTGTTCCGTCCAGAACGACATTGAACTTTCCTACCCTTCCATTGCTTCGAGCATACGAGGCCGCAACGGCTCTTTCCAAAGTATTGACGTACGCTCGCGTTTGAGCCGTATCCGCTACCTTATTACGCAAGCCACCTCGGATCCAGACAATAGCATGAGATGAATTTTCACCCTCCTCTTTCGGGTCAGAGAATCCGTGGAAAAATACAAAACCCTTTTCATTTTCTTTTAACACAGCTGGAGAGTACATCCATGGCTTGAATTTTTCTCTCCATTCAAGTGTATGACCAAGAGCAACTTCCGAATCACAACCTTTTGGACAAAGTTTGAAGGGAAACTGCGCACTCAATGTTTTTGGCCATTTCATGATTCTCAGATACGAAAAGAAGAGGTTTCCGCCGCGGAGCTTTTCCAGGTCCGTGGAATCACCTGTCGACTTGGGCTGCGACATGTACCAAGGCCAAGTGGATCCACCCCATTGGACCTTGTTAGTTCTTTCTTCCCAATCTGGCACTTGCTTCTCTGTTTGTTCCGCCAACTTCACAATTAGTTGTTGATGATCTTTGGGCACTGTGATACGCTCGGATGTGAACGCAACCTTGTACTTTTCCATTAACTCTTTACTTGGCTTTTTCGATGCAATCTGTTTTTGCGATGGGATGCAGGTATTTGGAGCACCTTCTCTACCGCTATTTCCGTTGAAATATCCAAAGAAAAAACGACACGCACAATCTTTGGGATTGGGAGTGGCCAGTTCCAATTCGATAGGTCCATCAGTTGCAGCTTTTGGTTTGAACAGACCAGCTAATCCACCTTTTTTGGTTTCCTTTTCGGAAATAATCGTTGGGCACTCCATGAGTGGGGAAGAGGGAACATCCTTACAAGCCCAATATATACGAAAGACGATCGCAATTGAAACCACCAAACCACCAAGAAGAAAGGCTGGAAGAAGTTCAGCAGACTTGGAGCTACTCTTCTCGGGATCCTCTTTTTGCTTTCTCCTCCTCCCCATTGTGATTTATCCGCAAACCTGAAACCAAAAAGTAGATGACAGTGTTGATGCGATTTTAAAAAAAACTTCACGTGTCATTTTTTTGAAAAGCGCCTATCCTAGTACCTGACTATGAAAGTAGAATATGAATCGGCACTCGTACAGTGAGTGAATGCATTGGTGATGGGCAATTTATTATCGCACTGTGGTGGAAAACTCTGTCAATGTCGTGGCAATCTTTGTCCCTAAACTCGTGGCCCATAGATCGTAGCATTTGGCATTTGGATGAACGCCATCCGGTGCCAACAGTGTAGGATCTTTGTGATCTTGAAAATTGTGCCATTCAAAGATCTCTGCCGGATTCATTTCAAAATACATGATTTCGTCACCAAGAGAGTCGGTGACCATTTTCTTTTGAGAATCCCAAAACCCAATCACCGAGTCCAAAAAGAAATTCAGTGGGAAAATGTTTAGTGGACTCTTTTTGTGGAACATCTGAGTTGGAAAGGACGGAACCACAATCTTTGCATTGGGAGCGACTTCCTTTATTTTCTTGATGAGACACAGTAATCTGGCTCGGAAAACCTTGGGCCCTGCTGCTTGAAAAGGATTGCTGACAAAGTACTTGAGATCATTGGGTCCACACAGAATGACGACCACATCTGGTACTCGTTTTTGGTTCACTTCGTCCTCAATGACGTCAAAGCAGAGCTCGTCGACCCATTTTAAATCACCCCCATCAACTCCCGCAGATCTCCATCGCACTGGTTGTTCAAATTGTCTTGATAAGGATTCCGCCAAGACGCGAGGAAAGACGGGACCTGGCCCAGAGTCCGTTTGATTGTTTTCCATCTTCCTAAATGAAGCTTTCTCATTGGTCTCTGGGTCCATGTCGTTGATATTGCCAGCGACTGTAAACTCTTCAACACTCCCCAACCCAACTGCCAGAGAATCCCCAATCACTACAATATGTTCCGGTGGCTTCCCCAGGCTTATAGGGTCCGCCTCTGCAATGTTGACAGTCATCGCCTCTTCCTTGGCAGCCCAAAATCGATTTGGGAAGTCAAAAAATCGATTTAGAGCAAGAATAACAGCCAGATGCATCACATGCGTATTTCTTCCCCAGAAAAAGGCTAGTCGTTCCATGGTCCAAGGAATCAAAAGAAAGAGCCACTTATTGATCTTTTGAAGTATCTTGGGGTCTCTGCTTAGTTTTATTCTCGAATTGTCGGGTTCGGTGCCAGAGGACACTTCTGATGCTAATGATGCTATAGCTGATGAAAAATTCATATCTGTGGTGTCCACTGACTCAATACTCGATAGTGGTGATGTATTAGATGCGTTGTTGGCAATTCCGAAAGTTAGACCAGGAGGAACCACTAGTGTACCAGAAGGATTGGTTCGATATTGGATCAGGGCAACTAATGCTTGCAGTAATGCTATCACAAACATTGCCACAAAGACGTCCTCTCCAAACTTTTGAACTCCTCGGATCGTCAAAGGCGGAAGCACTGATGACAACGCTGGAAGTGATACTGTCTCTGTGAGATCGACAGCGTGTGACTCCATGGCGCTTGTGGCAAAATGATAATTTGATGGATTCGATACAAATAAAGCTATTGTTCCGTGCATTGGGGGCATAGTCGTGGATGAGTTGACGACCACTCCAATCTCATCTCGTGTCACACAGTGATGCATCAAAGGTGAAAGATGTAGGATTTTCAAATTGACGACTCATCCGAATCAAATTGTTCTCTCATTATTTCTCCACGATGCCGACACGAACGACTGGAGAGTAAGATAAAGAATACCAGTGGAGATCAAAGAATACGTCGATTGGTGGAGGCTGTTTTTTTCGGCCAAGCGTCTTCTTAGAACGACCTACAAGGATAAACATATATCATGGCTCGTATAAGCTAAGCAGAGCACGAATCCATTGAGGTGTGGGCTGGCTCACTCTTCAGTTTATTCCCTTTTGTCTTTCCCTCTACCGGTAGCTTGCTTGTTTGCGACCTTGTTTCTTTTTGGTGGAATGCCCGCCACCCCATTTCAAAACTGATGTAGCTACATGCTTTTGGTCATCTCCAAGAACTTTGTTCTTGATGCCATTATCAGTGAACTCCGCCTCCGATGCCGGTACTGTGATATTTTCAGTAACACAGAGTGGGCATCGGACCTTCAGTTTCATTCCTGGCGTCTTGTCTGGTTTGAGGGACATGCATTTTTCACACATCAAGACAGGCACACCACATGTATAGCACTTCTTCTTGCCAACATATCTGTCCCATTGCGCGCTGCAAACCACACACTTGGCTTCATCTATCTTCTTGGCAGCTTTCTTTTTGTCTCCTTTTCGGATAACACCACCGTCACCTTCGGGATTATCCACACCAACAGCTTCTCGTTTGTCAAAAACAAAGTTTTTCCCTCTCCAATATCCTCCATCTGGGAATTCCTTCAAGTACCTCTCAATCCCACCTTGCAATTGATAAACACCTTTCACCTCACTCCCCATTTCCTTCTTCAAGTAGGCTGACGCCCGCTCACATCGAATACCACCTGTGCAATACATCAAGACTGTCTTATCCTTCAATTTTTCTTGGGTCGCATCTTTCGCCAACCATGATTTGAAGTCGGTACTCTTTCGCATCAGTGGATCCAAATACTCTGCTCCACTCTTGCTGGCATTTTCAGTATTCTTCGATTTTGCACCACTACCTTTGGAAGATTCTTTCTTTTGCTGTCCATCGAAGCGACCAATAATCGCCTCGTAATGATTCCGGACATCAATAATCACAGTATTGTCTTTTCCCATCATTTCATGATACTCCTTGGCTTCCAAGTGAACACCTCCTTTGATACCGTCTGTTTCCTCTGGGCCATCTAGCGGGGCATCATTCTCTTGAATGCCATAGAAAACTAGCTCCTGGACCGGGACAACCTTCAATTCCTTGAAATGTCGATCGGCAGGAAGATCATCAATGAACTTGAAATCTGTCTGAGAAAAGACATCAGGATCAAAATTCCGAAGGTCTTGGGCGAAATGTCGAAGGGTTGTTTGTGCAGAAGTACCGGAGACATCGATTGCAGATACTGTAGCATTGACTCCTTCCTGTGCCACTCGAATCCTTCCACCAATATTCCTCTTCTTTGCTACTGACGTGAGGTATGTCATCAAGATCTTCAGGCGGGTTTGTGACCACTTTTGTTGCTTCGTGTATTGATAGAATAACACGAGCGACGATCGTGGGCTTTCAACTCGAACAGACTTGTCTACATTTGGGCCGTTCAGCATTAGTTGACCCGTATTTGTGTAACTGACGGCGCACTTGATCAGCTGAGCATTTGGAAACCACTTTCCAAGCGTTTTTCCACTGCCGGGGCCGCCGCCTTCAAGCAATTCATCGCTTGAAGCACGCAAACCAATATTGCTACTGGCAAGTACTTCAGCTGATGGACTCGCAGGAACGGGTATCGCTTCGTACGCTTTGAGAAATGCGGATTCGTCGTTTGTGTTGCTTGCGCGGACTCCTACTGGTTCGGTTGAGGTTGAAGTGGCTTCGGAAGTTTCACTGAGTCCTTGCTTTCGTTGTTTCTTCAAAGCGCGACGTTCTCTCTTGCTAAGCCGTCGCTTCCTCGATGAGGAACCATCCTTCTTATTCTCAGCTTCTTGAGTTGACATCACTTCTTCGATTGGATGAAGTTTTGCTTTCTTGATCGGTTGCAGGGCTCTTTGCGGTTGAAGTCCAGACGAAACCGTCTGAAATCTCGAGAGGATTCAGGGTTGAGGATTCAGGATTGAGGACAAGATATTCGAGATGATACCGGTAGGGAAGAGAAAAGAGGATATGCGAGTTCTAATCCTCTTCCATTTCCATTCACTGTGACCAACCACAACAGTTTATATTACATAGCACAATAACAATAAGCACTTTGGTTACAGAAAACAAAGCTATCTTTGCGTCAACATACTTGCGGTTTTTACAACTGTGGATTGTACAGAGTGAAAAGACTTCGTCCACTGAGTGTGAAGGGTGACCAGATCCTTCTCTGCAGAGATGTCCCGTTTCTCAAATTCTTCTGTTGACATCGCCGTTGACTCGTAGAGTCGCTTTACTGCCCCTTCCCATGACAGCTTCATCTGGTCCATTTCCGATAATGGTTGTGGATCATTGGCGAGAGCATGCTGTATCTTCTCAATGCATTCATTTTCGTCCGAAAACTCTAGGCAGTTCGAAAACTGTGGGAAGAAATCATTCGAAGCTTTCAAAAATTTTAGATTAGAATCGGTGGTTTTCAAAATTAAGTCAGAGGAGATTATACTTACGGTGATTCGGGATGATTACCCACTTTCCCATTGCCAAAGCTTCGGCAGTGGTTGTGCACAATACTTCGGATTCGGAAACATTCAAGAAAATCTTGTACTCAGGTATATCCTTTATTACGGCGTGATCGATTGTGCCTAGAAATCTGGCTGGAATAGGATGTTGCCGCAATTCGTACTTGGATCGCGGGAGATCGAGGCGGTACCCTTTGGATGTCGAATCCTTTTCCAAATTCTCAGAGAAAGTGGAGTGAAAACCCAATTCAACTGATCTCTTGCATAAGTTGGCAATAGCGGTGGTTGTAGAAACTCCAGCATTCATTGATTTCCCTGAAATGTCTCCAATGATGTCTAGTGGATTTGGCCCAAGGCTTTCCAAAGGTTTCGATTCACCTCTTCCGCTTTGCTCAAATTCGCTTTTCTCAACAAGCTTTCGAAGTGACCCATCTGCGCTAAAGAAATCCTGTATGCTAGCGTCAGCTTCCGTCTTCAGATTTTCCTGAAGAGCCTCATCGGCCTTGATAACACCCTTTCGTCCCAAGAAGGCCCGACTTATTGCTTCTTTGTCTGGACCAGATCCATATATGTCAATCGGGAAGTACCCGCCTGTACTGCGTTTGAATGCATCTGCAATGTCGAGCAGCTTATCGAAGCCTGAAGAGCATCAAAGATTAGACACGGATGTATCAACAAGGCAATCGTGGTTGGGTCTCACCTTTGGCCCATACCAATTTTCCAATGAAGTACACCGGAACAGGTTCAACTTCGGGCTTGTATTCACCGGGTGATTCAAAGAATTCGGATCTGACACCATGCACATTACAAGTTTTTTCTCTACTGGGTTCCAATTCCGGGAGCGTGGCGCTTAGCCGGACCACTCGGTGACAGTATGCTTGGACAACCAACGAGCTCAGAGAAGACAGCACAGGAGCAGCAATAATCGACGTCCCAATGCCTTGTTGCTTGACATACATGTCGTAGTTCGTGTGCAGTATGCCAACGACGTATTTGAATTTGAACTTCCAACCAAGAAGTGCTTTATTGGCAGCATCTTCGTCGCCTTCCTCTACCTCATCCGGTACACGAAACCATGTCAAGTGCTCTGGTTCCTCTAGGATGGCAATGTCAGCATCTTCGTCTGGAATTAAAGAACAGCTTTATGGTATTACAGGACCGAATGAATCCAATCAGCAGCAATAGGAAAATAACGAAGAGGTAGAATTACAAGAATCTGCTTACGTACATGTCCACGGTCGGAAATATCGAACCAAACGCGGCATTGTAGTAAGCTTCATAAAAGATGATGCTCAACATGAACTCCTCCTCTTTGTTGGTTGGGCATTATAGCGACCACAAGACAGCGTTAGCTACTTTTTGAAACTACGTCTCGGACCGGAATCTTACTTACCTTCACAGCCCATTCTGTCCTTGCAGTACTCCCTAATCCAATTCTCTTGATCCTTTTCGGATTCAAATGTATAGTCACCAAAGAGAAGAGACTGTTCTTCTTTCTTTGGAAGCCATGGTATAACCAACGTAACCTTGTGCCGAAGACGACCCCTCGTCAAATACAGCGCCCTGATGCCACACAAAGCTAATGGTGAGATATCTTCAGGACTGGACTGAAGTCACGAACTACAATGAAGTACCTTGCTAGTGGATTTACCGATGTCCCTGTCCGCCACGGTAATGCTGCCGTCGTGACAACGCAAACCTTTCGCTCCAGATCCCCAAGATTTGATCGGGGGTCTATTGAATTGCTGTCATTTCCATCCACAGAGACTGATTCCAATGATGTTTCCAGCATATTTGTTTCGTTTTGTGTGATTTGCCTTTTTCTGTTGATTGGATTCGTCATCGAACGCCTACGTTCTTTTAGTCGTGGAAATCAACTATACATCTCATCCTTGACGTGTATCGCACCACTTCCACTATTGGCACACTCCTGTAACTGACTATAGCAACAACTCAAAACATGTACTATTACTATACCCACAGTGCAGTGACCATTACTGTGAGTTAGGTTCAAGATAAATCCCAAACAAATCTTGCACGCTCAAGATAGTTTACTTTTGATTCAGCAACTCTTGAATCTTTGTGTGTTTCTCTTTTGGTGTCAAGCTCTTGTCGGCATGCACGGCTTGGATAGCCTTTCGTCTCTTTGTTGCCTCGGACTCTTCTCCTTCCTGTTGCATTGGAGTTGTCGTTCTAACTACTGGTTTTGGACGCAAGGCAGCGACTCGCTGCTGTTTCTCTGCTCCACTCAACGAGCTGTCCTTCAAAATGGCAGTGATGGCAAGTCGACGCTCGTTCAATGACATTTCCTGTACCGGCTCTGGTGCAGGTGTTGCTGCTGCTGCTGTTGGAGGCGCATCTTCGGCTTTGCCTTCACTTCTTGACATAGAACGGCTGGGCGAACGGGAATCATGTGATCTGCTCCGAGAACGGGAATATGATCTGCTGCGAGAACCAGAATATGATCTGCTGCGAGAGCCGGAATATGATCCACTGCGAGAACGGGAATATGATCTGCTACGAGAATATGATCCGCTGCGAGAACGGGAGTCATACGATCTGCTGCGAGAACGAGAATTGTATGATCTGCTACCAGATCGCGACATCGACCCAGACTTTGGCGATTTTGACCCGCTGGCAGGGGAACCATCTTTATTCGGTAGAGGAGATCTATTCCAAGTCGGCTTGTCTACTTGAGCATCTCCAACGCTAGCTTTGGCGCCTGGTCTTGTTGGTGGCGGCGGTGGTGGTTTTGCCACAGAAGCTTGAGATTGAGCCTTGGCGGCAGCACGCTTTGCGGTGTAAGCCTCCTCTTCTTCCTTGTTTGCTTGATTCCAGATCTGATGAATAATCCTTCTGCATTCATCCACACCGGGATCATCTTCCTCTGTGTCAGTCACCATAGGTGCCTCTTTTTCCTTCGCTTGAGTTTTGGCTGGCTTTGGGGCAGCCTTTACTGCAGCTTTTGCTGGAGCAGGTTTTGGTGGTGGAGGTGGCGTTGCAGGTTTTGGTGGTGAATTTTTCGGGGCAGCACTTCCATCGTGGGAATCGGATGCAAAACTCTTTTCGTCCGAGTAGGAGCCTTTACCATAGCTAGCACTGCGGCTTGGGCTTCGACTGTAGCTACGGCTTGGGCTACGGCTGTAGCTTCTACTGCGACTTCGACTGTAGCTTCGGCTACGACTATAGCTTCTGCTTCCTGATCGAGAATAGCTGCGACTTCCTCTGGAACCTGGGCTGCGACTTCTTGACCTCGAGTAGGATCGGCTTCGAGATTTTGAATACGATCTGCTTGGAGACCTCGAGTAACTTCGAGATCCCGACCTCGAGTAACTTCGGCTTCCTGATCTCGAGTAGCTTCGAGAGTAACTTCGGCTGCCCCGAGACCGGGAATAACTGCGCGAATAGGAACGAGATCTAGATGGGGATTCTGGTGGTGTCTCTTTGGCAAGGACCTTTAGCTTTCCTTTGATACTCTTCAATTTGGCAAGCGTTTCTGGAACGGTGCTAGGGACAGCTTTGCCGTTGAACTTTAGTAGTTCCATTCCAACCTTTAGGTCCGGTGCAGCAGTGGCAATCTTTCCACCAGGTTGGATCACAGAGATAAAGATCCCATCTTTGCCGGCGATCTTTTTTATTCCAAGACCCAGGGCTTCATTCTTCTTCTTCTTGAAGGTAACAGTGACTTCCGCCATTGAAACAGACCCCTACGAGACTTGATCTTTCGGTGTGCTTCAAAAGTGATGACTATCAAAGTCAATAAATGGAGTTCAATTGTCTTTTCGGAAGCTGCTTGTACTGCTCGTTTTCTGTTGAGGTGTGAAAATTTGGCCGCGCGCCGGCATTCGACGAAAACACTAAAAAAGTGCGATTTTCCGCGGGTTTCTATGAAGAGTGCGGTACCGGTACGATTTCGAGATTATTCTGCCGTGCCGGTACCGGTACCGGTAGAGTAGAATGAATCAACAATTTTCAAGATGCTACCAGCAGTCTTTGTTTAATAAATAGCGAATCGGGTGAAATAACAACTTATCATATTGCTATCAAGGATATCGCAAACATTCCACCATGCAGCTACGATTCTGCTGTACCAGTACCGGTAGAGTACCGGTAGAATGAATCAACAATTTTCAAGGTGCTATCGGCAGTTTTGAATAAATAGTGAATCGAGTGAAATAAGAACTTATCATATTACGATTCAGGATATCGCAAACATTCCACCATGCAGCTACGATATTGCCTTCGACTAGCGCAAGGCCCGAGATGAGCTCGTTTTGTTTTGAAAATCCCCCCAATTATAAATTATTTTAACAGCTATTACAATTCGACAGCCTTCTTTACCTTGTTCAGGTTTCATTTTGTCATGGCGAACTGGTCTATTGGCATTTTCCATCTGAAGTAAGATTTTTGGGATTACATAGCTCCCAATTCCCCCTGTAATTGGTGCAACTTTGCTCCGCACTATATTGCTGCAGTCAGTCTCAATTGGATTTGGTTTGCTCCTGGTCGGCCATCGCCCCGACTTCTGCCATCATTTTCAAAACCTCATCATCATCGACGGCACCAGCAGGGCCTTCACCTCCGGCGGACTGCTGCAGTTCCTTCATCATTCTAAGGCCTTCGTCGTCATCTGGCCCATCCGATGGAGCTACATCTTTTGTAGCAGCACTCTCCCCTGTTTCTACTTCCACTCCCATTTCTTGCATCATTCGCAACACCTCGTCGTCACCTGGGGTACCCTCCTTTTGCTTTCCATCTAACTCAGATGGCGGGGACTTGTCATTTTTCTTCTCTTCCTTCCTGTCTTCGTTTTTACCTTCCTTTCTCTCTCTCCTTGGCGATTTACCTGAGCTTCGGTGTGAACGAGTGGAAGTCCTCGAGGAAGTCCTTCGTCTGCTGCTGCTGGATCGCTTGCTTTCATCACGCTTCATGGCTCCGCGTCTGCTTTCTTCACGTTTCACAGAACGGCTCGAGGATCGAGCGGGGCTCTTCGACATGCCGCTTCCGCTTCCACGTACTGACGCCGTTCTGCTAGTAGATCGTTCTCGTCGCGACGAACGTCCTGATGAACGTTCTCCCTTTCCTGATGATCGCGTTGAAGATTTCGTTGAGTCATCTCGTACAGAAGCGGAACTGCCCTTAGGAAGATCTCGCTTGGGGCTTGTTGACCTCGGGCTTGTTGATATTCTTCCTCGCGCGGAGGCTGACCTACTAGTTGATCTCGCTCGTTCTGGACTCTTTGAAAAGTCCAACTTCGGTTGCCTGGTGCTGCTACCGGTAGACCGAGAGCTTTTCATCGAACGAGAAGAAGTCCCTCTTAACATTGTGGTATCTCTTCCACGCTTGGGAGATTTTGATATATTTCTGCTGGAAGTAGACCTCACGGAACGCGACGACCGTGATGATTTTACGGATTTGCTATCGCCCACCAAGTTTCGTCTGGAAGAAGATCTTCTCTGCTTGCCGGAAGCCTTCAACAATGGATCGATGTAATCGTCTTCATGGTCTACTTCCAGAGCAATGTCCACGGCAAAGCCAGCAGATGAATTCTTTGAAGCAGCACCTGGATACGCATCCAACAGGAGTTGGAATACATTCTTGTACTCAAACTGCTCAAAATACTGAGGCACGTATGCTGGGGTTGCGGCAGCAATGTGAAGTGGATATTGATCCCCTTTCATCTTTTTGGTTACAGCATTGGGATACAAGGCCATGAGCAGTTCAACCATCAAAGGCGGGGTATCCGGATTGGAAAGTGCTGCGTGAAGCAAGTAGTCGTCCTTCGACGGCAGTTCTACGTGCCCCGTGTAGCAGAACCGGATCCAGAACTTCATCTTATCCCACCACTGATCCATCTCCGCTGGTATTTTCTTCTCTTCCAGCGCCAGGAGGAACAATGTCATGTTGGACTTTAGGAAAGTCCATTCATCCTTATCAGGATCTAAATCCATGGCTTCATCGACAACCGATTCCCCATCGCGTGGTTGTCGTTCGTACATGAGCTTCAAAAAGTGAGTAGAAATCATTCCGCGCCCTCGCTTCTTTCCAATTCCAGCTGGCTTTTGCACCAAGGCCGGTGGAGAGAGAGCGGAAGGATGCGATCGCAACAGGTGATAGATGACCGACAACTGTTCGACATCTTGTTCGTAAATGACTTGCGTTACCGCTTGCGCACGCCGCTTAGATTTCAATTCCTGCCATCTCTCGTCTCCAATCTTTTTCGCCGCCCACAACCCCGCATTTTTATTGAGACTGGGAAGAGCCGCCAGTTGATACGGAAACAATTTGGTGATCGGATCTCGTGCAGCTAGAGTGGGGACATCCCTTTGTATCAATGCATGAATGAATTCAATGGACTTTCCAGTGGCAATCGCATGATGCAAGGGTAGACGATGCTCAAATCGTTTGCGCACATTGGAGCGATCCGTTGTAATGATAATTTTCAGCACTTGTTCCATGGGGGGCTCTGGCATGTCTAATTTCACGCCGACAAATTTAGAATGGGGAAAGAGATTGTATTTCCAGTTTTTGCAAATCAAGTGAATCAGTGCACATTTCAAAAACGGATGGAGCTCCTTGATCGACTCAGGATTTATGGCCATTAACAGCTGCACCAGCGACGGAGGCGTGTCAGAATTCGATAGAGCCGCTTGCAGCAAATGCTTATCAGCAAACTCCTTTTTGTACTCCTTGTCATTTTCATGACCACATAAACGTAGCAGACATTTGATCTTGTTCCACCATTCTTGGGTGTAGAGACTTCTCTTGAATTTGCCCTGCAAGGCATGGCTCTCCATTTCTTCCCGGTACGACATGTTGCGACCTTCCAAGGTTCGGCATCCTATTTGGTAGTGATCTGTCAAGATTTTGCGGGCTGCCAACAGAGATTCTTCTTTCTTGACAGGAAAGTGGTGCAAGAGCAGCTGCAAGTTTTTAATGGGATACGAACGTTGCATGAACAGGCGGAGAGCACCAGCAGCCAGACTGGGATCAGTGTGTAACATTCCTTGACAGGCCATGATAGAGACCTCCACCACACCTGGGGGGGCTGCATGTTCCAAAGCTTCCAGAAGGAGCGTGCGCTCTTCTTGTATGAGGACTTTACGACGACTCGAATAGCTCAAAAGAATGAATTTGACCTTTTCCCAATAGACTTCCTGTCGTTCTTGCCATTCCATATCTGACTTCCCGCGTGGAAGTCCCCAATACAAAGTTGGATTTCCCATATTCTCCTTGGTTCGTTGCGTAGCCCGTTCTACCGCATACCACAAGGCAGTTCGTTTGTTCAAGTCGAGTTGCTGCATATGATGAAAGTTGGATCGAATACACCGATCAACAATCTGGGTGTTACGTTCATGAATGGTAGCCAAGTGAAGCGGAATGTATCCCCGTTTGTCTGCAACAAGAGCTGCCTTGCGTTCAGAAAAGCATAATCGAACAATCAGCCTATCTGGAGCCAAGTTGGCGATGGCTGCATGAAGCGGAGTTTGACCCAGAGCATCCACTCCAAGCAAAGGAGTTTTGGGAATCTCTTCCTCTTCTTCTTTCGGCTTTTTAACTTTGTCTTTCACCCAATGGGCTGCCTTCACAACTCGGAGTCGTCGGGGCTTCTTTTCTTTCTTTGATTTGTACTTCTTGAAATCGAATTGCTGCAGCATAAACAAGAGTGAATCCCAATCTCGATTCTCAACCGCCTTGTGCCAATCCGAATCCGGATCCTCGTATGTTTCCACAACCTCATCTTCATCTGGAGCGAGTTTGACATCCTCTTTCTCTTCCTCCTTTGGCTTCTTGGAATCCTGCCACTCGGAGTAGAGCTCGAAGAGGGCACCAACACCCGACATGTTCTTGAGCTATTGTTTGAACTCAAGTGCTGGTCAACGGAAGCTGTCACGCATTCGTTCGCCATCCACTGGGACATTTTTGAAAAAGCGTCCGAGTCAGTCGACTGTTGCGACTCCCTACTCATCGATCAAGTCGAACGCCCTTCAACCACAAAGATCGATCAATCCATCATCGAGCACATCACAAACGCTCTTCTGTTGTTTGTCAGCACTGTATGATCATATCCAACAAATGAAGCCAATTACACTCTTCACTTGGATCTTAGTGTCAACGGCCATACTGCTTGGTCAAACTCAAGCTTTCCACATTTCTCACTCCTCCGTGAAGTCGTTGATTGCGACTCCAATTATATCAAAGAAGCCTGATCCTCGTCACCCTTTGAGCCATGTCACTCGCATCCAACCTCTGCACCTTGCCAAGGATTCGTCTGGTGGAAAGGGTGAACTCACGAAGATTGACCCTTTGGTGAAGGATGTCGGTCTTCTGACTCGCCGATTGTCATGGCTTTCTTGGTGGTCCCAACTCATTTTGACAACTGTTTCAGCGGTCACTCTTGTGTTTGCTCGCAACGTGATTCGGCAATCCCATCCCTCCATTGCGGCAGCTAATAGCTTACCAAACTTTGTCTTGGCTGGAGGTGGCATCGTCGCTGGCTATGCCTCGCTATTCTGGACCTGGGCTTCGCGACGATTGGCTCGTCGACTCTTGCGCAAGCCTACCACCAAAATACAATCTGCCAACATGCTGCGAAGTACCATCAAAGTTGGGCTCACACTCAATATTATTGGAATGCTGTTCACAATTGTCGGAGCAGAGCAGATTGTAGGTGCATTGGCGATCAAAGTTTTGACTACGTCCCGGACGCTGGCCATTGATCAGTCCTCTTCACTTATTCAGCCTCTAGATATCTTGGTGGTTCAAGCAAACACCAACACTCTTTTCAGTCACTTTACAAGTCTTGTGGCATTGCTCTATTTGGCAAAACAATTATGTAAACTTGACCCACCCTCTGTGGAAGGTGACGAAAGAAGCCGCTGAACACAACTGAATTAAGCATAATCAAGTCTCAAATAATCTCAGATGTATTTACTCAATATGTTTTTATGTAGTTATTATCTATTAGTTGTGAACAGCTCCTAGTAGATCGTTGAGTCTTGAGAAACGGTGCGTTGGAGACGCAGACTTCCTGATTCGCCAATTGCAGCTCGTAGCTGAAGAGACGAATGATAGTTGTCGGTGGCATGCTGAAACCGAATAGAAACACTTCCGGCCAACATCATTGTTCGAATCGTTGCAGCAGTCTCTTCGTCAACTTCTTCCAAACAGAATCGGAGACATGAAGTCGAATCGCCACCAAAGTCATTCTTGTAGACTTCACATATCTTTGGCAAAATCACAGTATTCGTTCGTGCATCCACATATACTTCCTTTCGTAAGAAGATACTGGAAGCCAAAGTCAGCTGTTGCTCGATATCGTGTGGCTTCAAAACTGGTATGGATCTTGGGCAGGAAGAATCTCCCGTGCTCTGTGGTGTAACGGAGAAATGACATGTTAGTGACGCATTGACTGAATACATATGCAAATCAAAATAGATAGTGACAAACGTACCAGAATGAAATTAATTCTTGGGTCCTTGAAATCAAGCGCATAGTGCCTAAAAGTGTTTGACTTCTTAGACACATCTGGGTATGGAGGCTTTAAGTTGCCTGGTCGAGACATCTTGCCACGAATAACGCAGCAGTACAGCTCTGCAAGCGAGAACACATCATTTCCAATCTCGTAACATGAAGTTCTCATGAAGTCGTTCATGTTCTTCTTATCCAGTGGACCGTTCATCGAGAGTAACATAGCATGCTGCAACAGACAGTGGTATATATTTGCAAATAGACAGAACGCATGCTTGCTTGAAAGGTCAATCTCGTCCAACGGAATGAGTCGCAAGCGACTGGTAAGATCCAAGAATTCAACAAAGGAGTCAGGTTCCTCCTCAAGCAAACGAAGGTCAAAAGAGAGCGACTTGGACAGAATGTTTTCCACAAATGCAATGCCATCAGCTCCGGAAGATAGGCCATCAAGATTGATATCAAAGGCCATACGTCTACCATTTAGTACGCTTCGTTCCTTTAGAGCCTTACTCCCACAGGAAACTTTAGCCCACTTCAGTAGCAAAATGAATACAGTGAGATGTAATCCAAACACAGTACACAACTTTTTGAATTTTTCACTAACCTTTCCAGCTGAAGTTGACAAGGAAGAATTCGATAGTGTTTGAAATCCTTGCCAAAAGCGTGCATTCCTGAGTAGGGAAGCAGTTTCCTCGGCTGATGGCAACTCTCGTCGGTCAGTAATGAAGAGACATTAAAACAAAAATTACTTCGGAAACGTACCTGATTTGGTCTGCTTATCAGCGGCCTCCTGCAACACATTTCCGAAAGTGTCCCGCGAATCCTCGTCTCGGAAAGCAACATAGTGACAAATCCAGGCTGTTTCCAGAACCAGCAAGTGGAAACCTGGAAGCGGGGACACTGTGCCGGCATCAAGAGGGCGCACCTTTCGAATATCGATAAGAGCAATTTCGAGACATGGTGATTTTGTCGAAGGTGCATAAATGGACACACAGGTATCATAGATTCCAAGCCATTCTTCGCGCCAGTGACTTTCCCACAAGCACCTTGCACCAAGGCTTTCATGCATGAGTTTACCTCTAATCTTGTTTTCCGGTTCTGGGGCGACCCCAAGCTATGATGCGAAGAAGAGATATGAGAAAAGTGCGCAATATACACCATCATCACTGCAACGAATGACACACCTGCACTGCCGTTCCTTCCAGGAACCATCTATCTTGCTCAGCTTCATGAGCAACTTGTGAAACTAACACGTCGTTGAACTTTTTCCATTCAGATGACTTGTAGGGAACACATGACATTCGCGAAAGCACCCTTGATGCTATACGACAAGACTGCTCAGGTGCGCATAATTCGCCTGCGAGGAAGCTAAGGTTTTTCTGTTTTTCAATTTTTTCAATCTTCTTCCTGTTACACCGTCCGTGGAAAAGTAGAGATAACATAATTAGTCTTTCTTTCGCGTTGAAGCAGCACAGCATACGGTCAAGAGCCTACTCACATAGTCTTCTTGGAAAGCTCCAATCGAGCCTTTGCTCCTTGAAGTTTCTTCGCTTTTGGCTCACTTTTCGGCGGCTTTCTCTTTGTAATAGGTGCAATAACTGCCTGTCCTGCCATTTTCCCAGCCGACAGTGTTCCCTTAGCAACGTATTTTCCGGTACCTACTGCGGCCTTAGTGGTTCCATACACGGTCTTTGCAGCAAACTTTCCAGTACCAACTGCAAGCTTTCCAGTTCCAACTGCAGATTTTACAGCAAGTTTTCCAGTTCCAACAACTGTACTCTTTGTTGCGCTTTTGGCGGTCTTTGCTACCTTGCCGATCAATCGCTTGCCTCTAGTCACGCGGCCTGCTTTTGGTGACCGTTGTGCTGATTCTTCTTCAAATATTTCTTCATCCTCAGATTCGTCCGACTCACTAACTGCTTCAAGAATTTCGATCTCTTCTTGGCTTCCGTTCAGCTTCAGCTCCACATCTTCAGCATACTCGTCCAATTCAATATCTTCATCCAGCGAAATGTCATCGTCGTAAAAATCGACGTCAAACGATTTTCGCCTGTGGGTGCTGAATTGAATGCTGGACGTCGCCGACTTGGTCACAGACGTGCTGCTCTTCCCCACCATCATGATTCTAGCCAACTCTCTACCTGTCCTCAGACGAGCAAACGTTCTAGTTGTGTTGGCAGGACCTGATAAAGAGACGTCGTCATCTCCAGCCTCAGCCGCTGCATCCTCGCCCTGCGCCTCAGAATGAGTTACGCGAACAACATATGTGAGCTGTCGAATTCGTTCTGTTCGATTCATCGTTTCAATCCAAGCAGGGACATCTACGTGACAATGGTCTTCAGAAAATACGAGCTTTTCGATCGGCAGTACATCAGCAGCGTCAGCGGGCTCCTCGTCTCTCGAAGCAGATCTACTGGGTGACAGTGTCATTGGAGGAGCTATGGCCATTGGCTCTTGCGCGCACAGAACAAGCTTGTTCATCCATCCAGATGATGTCTTTTTGTCTAATTCGAGTTCATCATCACTTTGATCATCATCGTCTGGGATGTATTGATCTTCCGCGGGTGGTTTATCTTGTGACACCGCTGGGTTGTAGAGAGATAGCATGCGCCCTCCATAGGTTGGAGAGGGTTCAGCAGCAACTCCGATGTGATATCTTGACCATCTCTTATGTTTCAATGTGAAGGAGCTTCCCATGGTCAAATAGTCTGACTCTGACTCGCTCGATCTCACAGGCTTTCCATCATCACCGGAATCTAGTGCATGAATTGTAAAATACCCATTCTTCGATGTTCCCAATGAAGTTGCCCATTTCAGCCACCAGCCACGATGGGTTGTGAGGTATCGAGTCTCAGTGCTTGTGCCTTTTTTCTGTGTCAGTTTGAAGTACACAGCGTCTCCAGATTTTAGCAATCGGTTTCGATGAGATCGTCTTGCTTTTTGGATGACAATAGTCGACATGGCTTGTTCTTGAAGTACAGCGAATCCACCACCAATAGTAATCGTAGACTCGGTATCACCACTGGTAACTTCACCCAAGGTGACAACGTCACCTGAACGCATATAGATACCCTCGCCCAACTCTGCACCGGTCTCGTCGTCACTGCCTCCTTCGTCCACATCCTCTAGTTTATCTGCCCCGTCCTCTGGAACTGTGGGTGGTTTCTGAAGAAGCTTTCGCTGCCGCGCGTCGCAATAATCTTGGGCAACTGCTCCCAACTTACAATGCCCAACGCAGCTAAATTCCAGGTCAAGAATATTGTACAAGTCGTTTCGATTGTGGGTGGTGCACCCTTGGTCCGTCATATATAGCACGATATTGACATTCTGAGGACCAAGCACCGAATCCAATTCAAATGGCCGAATACCTGGAAGATTTATAATTTTCCAATCAATCCAGTCGCAATAAGCACTCCAAAGTGCACAAGTGTAGGTATCTTCGCAGTTCCAATCCACATCCACTCCTCGTTTTCTTTGCTTGATGGCTTCTGGATCCTCATAAAGCTCGGACCCAAGTTCGGGTATAGGCTCTCCAGGCTTTGAAATCACTAGGCGATCCATTGACCCCAGTACTGTAAAGGCCATGTGTGGCTTTTCCCATGAACCATCTCCTTCCTTGTCGGTGGATCCAGTGATGGAATAATGGAAACTAGGATTGGTTTTCCGCATGAATGCCATTGCTGCGCTAACAAAAGCACGCTGGACTATTCCAAGCTTGACTGGATTCTCCAACTCAGCCGCAAAGTAAATGTTCTTTCCGGCCACCGACTTTTTCAATTTGTATTGAAACTGAAATTCAAATCGACGCTGCCGACCTCGAAAGTACTCAGAAACCTTTGTGTTTTCGGGTGTCCCCATTGGAGCAGAAGGGTCATCGGCATCTGGAGTACGAATCATAGCCAATACATCCATTTCGATCCACTCGTTAGACAAGTGTATAATGCTCCCGTTCGAGTCGATGCGGCGTCCCGAGTTAGTATCCATAATGTACAAGGAAGCCAAAGAGGGGTGAGCATGATGGTGCTCATCTGTCACATCCATGGAACTTGAGGTGGACATTTCTCGAGCAGACTCGCTAAGGCTTCGGGCCCGTGGAATAGCAGTAGGTGGATTGGGTTTGCGAGTTGGAGTAGGCATCTCCGCTGGTGAGAGAAGCGGCTCGAGTTCTCCTCGTGGGTTTTGTGTTTCCGCATCCATGTCCCGACCGAGAGTACGATTCTTCTTCTTGTTGCTGTCCAATATGTACAAAATGACGACACAAGTAACCCATGCGGTCACAATATAACCCAGCATGTTGCTAGCCATGGTGGCCCATTCCGCTCGCCGAGTACCCAGTATATAAGCAGCAAAGACGATGATAATTTGTCGAATCACGCGTTCTAGATTCTGAACCTTTGTGTACTGATCTGTTGCATCATGGTCCAAATAGTTTTCCGACGGACGGAAAGATTGTCTCATAGAATGCACCGAATACCGGCTTTCCATAGCATCATTGTCCAGTGATGGCGGCGACAGTGTCCCATAGGCTTGTGACTCAGTTGCTATGATATCATCTTCGTCCAGTTTGGGTTTTCTTTCACTCGCCGATCTTGTCAGCTTTCCTCTTGCTTTTCGGAAGGGTTTCTTCACCCGTTGCATGCTTAACGAATGATATCCACGCCACGAGGACAATCGGCGTTGCTTTATTGATTCAGCAGGTGCGCTTGGATCGGTGACTGGAAGAAGTGTGGATATGATTTCTTCGTTTGGACGAGTGACTAAGGCACAAACGTGAATCTAGTTGCCGTTGCGGTGCCTGGCTGTATTGATTCCTTGAATTATCAATGTTGCTGGCACCAACGTCTGTCAATGAATTGGTTCAACGTCTCAATTGCATGCATCCATGCGTTTGACAGAAATCTGGCATGCCATTGAAGATCGTGCACTCCTCCGAAACTTCTGCCTGCCAGATTTTTTGGTCGAAGCAGTCATTCTCGGAAAAAGAGAAAACCTCACTTTCAGCGGCATCATCCCTACTCAAATAAGCTACTCTTACCAGGTACACAACTGAAGACACGTAAATACATTTTTTTTGTGTTATGAGACTGCACTACACTAAATCGTAAATTCCCCCTTTACTGCTGGCTGTTCATCTGACGACTACTTCTTGTCCTTCTTTTTATCCTTCTTTGAGGACTTGGATTTGGAAGTCTTCACTGAATTCTCAATGGATTTGGTTCGCTTGGCTTCCTTGCTGCTGGACTTCTTCCCAGGCAATTCGGGCAATTCCATAGATTTGGTCCTCCTAGGAGCCTTGCGGGACTTTTTGTCTTTGGACTTGGAGGACTTCTTGGACAAGATGGATCCTTCTGTGGTATCCACCGATTTGGATCGGCTAGGCGATTTGCTCGTTCCCTTGCGGCTTCTGACCCTCTCCTCCTTTGAAGGGGTTTTGGTTTCCAACATGCCCATGGAGGCTCGTCGTTGTCGCCTGCCGCTTTTTTTGGGTGGTGGAGCTGAGTCATCAAGAGATGGACCAGAAAGAGAACCAGTGTAACTTGCCATCGACTTGGAATTCGAGCTGGAACCGTATCCACTGCTTCTTCCGCCATAGCCACCGCCCAAACTGAGGCCGGCGTAGAGTTTACTGAAGTCATCAGCTTCGACTTCAGAATCACTACTGGATTCTTCGTCGTAATTCTTGGAGACAGGGTAGTTGTACTTGCCTGGACCAGAAGCCAAAATTTGAGCTTGCTTGACCTGACTCTCAATTTGCAAACGAGTCATCTCGGACATGACCAAGAACTCCTCGGCCTTCTGAACTGCAGCCGCGTCCTTACGAGCTTGCTGCTCGATCTTGGCATTGTGAATGGCTTGCTTCTCGCGAGCTGCCTTCAAATCCTCCAAGCGGCGAGCCTCAAACTCGGCAGCCTTGGCTTGAGCCTGGGCGGAAGCAAAACCTTCCATGGATCTACGACGTTCCATTCTTCGTGTCTTCTGGTTTGCCATTTGAAATGCCTCTTGGGCCTTGGCTCGTTCTGCGTCCTCTTTCGCGCGGATCTCGGATTGTTTCTTGTCTTCTTCAATCTTTCTCAAAACATCTCCTTGTTGCTCAATCATTGCTTCACGTAGCTTGGCTTCCCGCTCAACGATTTCCTTATCCTTAGCCGATTGCTTTGCGAGTTGCTCTGAGATGAATGCTTGGCGCTCTTCTGCCTTGATTCTCGATTGTTCTTCAAACTCTCTGGCCCTCTTCTCAGCAAGATCGCGAGCTTCCTGGAGCATCTTGTCTTCTCTGGCTCGTTTTTCGGCTCTGTCCTTGTACATCTTGGCTTCAGCTTCGCGTTGGGCTTTTTCATATTCTTCTTCTTGTCGCCTTTTGTTTTCTTCCATATCAGCAAGTTCCTTCTGCTTTGCTTCACGGTATTGACGTAGCTTCTCTTCATCTTCCTGTTCCTTCTTGAGACGAGCTGCTGCAGCCTTTTCACGTTCAATGCGGAACTCCTCTTCCTTCTCCTTGCGTTTTTTCTCAAGTTCCTTCATACGGATCGCTCGCCTTTCTTCGGCTTCTTTCTGCAGCTTCTGTTCGGCCTTCTCTCTTGCTTCCGCATCCTTGATCTCAGCCAAAAGCTGTCTGGTCTCCTCAGCCTCTAGGCGTTCCCGCTCTGCTACTTCGGCTTTTCTGCGTTCTTCCTCGGCCTTTATCTGAGCCGCCATGCGAGCTTGTCTGGCAGCTTCAATCTTTTCTAGCCTGTCGTTTTCTCTGTCCATCAATCGCTGCTTCTCGGCCATGTAGTCTGCAGCCTTTTTCTTGGCCTGTTCAGCTCGTTGTTCTTGCATTTCTCTCAGCTCTGCAGAGCGAAGTTCAGCTCTGGCCTTGACCTTATCAAGTTGGCGTTCCTCGTCGGCTCTTCTTTCAGCCGCTTCCCTGATCTTGCGGGCGGCATCCAATTCCATATTCTTTATAGCGTCTGCCTCTTTCTTCTTCGCCTCTTCGTGCTGCTTTAACAAGAACTCCTTTTCGGCTTCTTTCAGACGCTCAAATTGAGCCTGTCTTGCCTCTTCACGCTTGCGCCTTTCCTCTTTGGCATTTTCGATCTTTTCCTGTTCCAATTTGACTTCGAATTCCTGTTCAGCAGCCTTTTCTTCCAGCTCTTTGGCTCGTTCTTCAGCCTTTCTGCGGACTGCGCGCAATCTTTCATCTTCGAGGCGTCTCAGACGGGCCTCTTCCTTGAGCAATCTAGCTTGTTCGCGTTCGCGTTCTCTGCGCCGCTCCTCTTCCTCTTCTCTGGCTCTTGAGATCTTATCGAGGCGAGCTTGCTTTTGAGCTGCAAGGCGTTGTCGTTCTGCCATGGCTCGATTTTGCAACTCAGCTCTCTTGGCGTCCTTCATAGCCTGGTACTTGGCTTGTTGCGCAAGTCTCCCGGCCCGTTCGTCATCGGCAGCAGCATCAGAGAGCTGTCTGGCTCGCTTCTCTGCCCTGTACTTGGCAGCCTGAAGCTTGTCATCTTCTGTCTTCTTTCTGGCAACTGCAGCTCGGAGCTGTCTATTGGCATCTTCTTCAGCTCTTCGTTGTCTCTCCTCCTCTCTCATCTGCCGGAGTAAGTCAGCTTGTTCTTTCCTAGCACGTTCTAGGGCTTCAGCTTTTTCTTTGGCTTCCTTTTCTTTCTGTTCACGGATCTCCTTTCGCTTGCGGGCTTGTTCTTGGGCTGCCTGAATTTCCTTGGCCTGGTCTTCAGCCTGCTTTCGGAGCTCCATAGCACGCTTCTGGGTCCTAACTTTAACTTCATCAAGAAGTTTCTGCTCTTCAGCCTTGGCCTTGGCCAATTCCTTGAGAACTCTGGCCTCTTCTAGGCGCTTCTTCTTGGCTTCCTCCTGGGCTGGATCTACATCGGGAGGGGCTTCTCCAGCAGAAATGGATCTGCGTCTGGCTCTCTTGACAAACTTCTTCTCCTTTTTGACTTCATCTTCAATTTCTTCAGCCTTCTTGAGAGCCTCTTCTTTGGCAGCTTCCAATTCGGCATGCTCTTCTTGGATTTTGGAAGCTTCTTGCTTCAAAGCATCGAATTCGCTCTTTCGTTTAGCATCCTTGGCCTGAGCTTCTTCCTGCAATTTCGTAAGAATTTGACTGTCCCGCTTTTCTTCTTCGCGGTTCTTTCGTACTTCGTTTTTGTGCTCTTGTTCTGCCTCCTGAACCTCTCCAGCAATCTCCTCCAATTGTGCGTCTTCTTCAGCTTCCATGCGAAGCTCTTCGCTTGTCATGAGCTCATCTGCACTAAATTCTTTGCTATCATTACCTCCGGTCACAAGGTGTACTCCAGCAGTGGCGACGGAAGCGACTCCCTGGGCAGTACCAGTTACCACCTTCACACTTCCCTTTACGGTTTTTGTCACCGCTTTCACTCCAAATTTCGCAGTTCCAGTTGTCACGTTTGTAGCGACATTGATGGTTCCTTTTGCCACATCTGTCACTCCATCAGTTGCCATATCAGCAAACTGCTTCACGTGTTTGAACAGTTTCATCGACATGGTGCCGAAAAGTTTCTATGTAAAGGATTACAACAAGAAGACAGGAATGGTAAAGATCAAACTAATGGTGGGTATCAAAGTGCTCTGATTGCCGCAAGAAGGAGACCTTCTGCCAAAGTGCCAGATTTTGGAATGACTTTTTTCACGATTTTCTGTAGATGACCTTCAAAACGACCCGGATCTCGATAAGTACAAAACCAGAAAAATTTATTTCAATATATTGCACGATTTCCGTTGATTCTCTCGTTAATTATATTTTAGTCGAACAATGTCACTGTGGATCCAGAAACGTCAGAATGGATGGAGCTCGGCTCAGCCACATCCGAATTGATCGACCACTCCGAATTGATCGACCACTTCGAATGGATCGACCACTTCGAATTGATCGACAGCCGGTTTGTCCGTCCGCCATACCCAACAAAGAACTTTTTCGAAGCACGAGCAGGCGTTGCCTGAAATCAATCCCACTGCACGTAGAGTTGGTAGGAATTAAGATTTTGAATTTTTGGAAATGAATGTGGTCACAAAACTGTTTGACGTTGACGCTTCCGCCCTCACCACGTTTACATCCTCAGTTGACACTATCACCTTGACCATTTCACATTGTATCCAAAACATTCGTTCATAACTTAGAGATATAGAAATAGTATCTTTGCAATGGCGTCGAATAGAAGTCTTTTCAGCGGCCCAGGTGAAGTAGAGAACGAAGAAGAACTGTTGACAGAATCGTCGATAGTATTTGAGGACGAGCAATCAGAAACTGACATTTTTAGCTTGGAGCAAGGCCGAGAAAGCAACTCCTCAGCGAAACCTTCCTCGCTTCGACCTTTAGAGGCTCAACATGTCGCTCCTGCTGTGCCAATCAAGGTTTTCACTGGAGCTCCTCTCCAAGAATACAAGCCTCTACGGAAGAAATCGAAAGATGCTTCTAGTCATTCGCAAAAGACAACTTCGTTTCATCTTGATTTGGATGAGCTTCCAAAGCACTCAAATAGAAGCAAGTATTCTACAGTCAGTGCGGATAATCAATCGACCGATCAATCCAAGGGAAGCAGACCTTCCTTTCTTACTAGCAATACAGACATTCAATCCACTGAAGGATGCAAAAACGAATCAGTTCGAAGCAAAATCTCTTTGATGAGCACCGACATGCATTCTACTGATTACTCGTATCGGAGCAACACTTATAGCCAACGTACTGGATTTGAATCTCCTTCGGCCCATAGGCCCGCAAGCCTCTTTCCAGTGAGTGATGTGGATAGTGCGGACAGCGGATCTGGAACGCCCGTGAATTACTTTCCTACCAAGTATCGTATGCAAAAGTCCTTGAGATCCCTTGACACCACAAGCGTCCCACATCCTTACCAAGAGTCGTCGACTTCGCCGATATCCGCAATTTCGGGAGGAGGAGTTTCTCACACAATGTCCACGCCGTCACCATCGAATCAAAGTCATAGCACCAGTTACAGCCGCTTGAGTCACATGAGTGCCGAGTCCAGAGGATCTTCTGTCATGTCCTATCGATCGTCAACGAGCAAGAGTTTGTTGTTCGGAGAAGTTATCAATCTGGAAGGTGTGCGACGACCACAGAATTCCGGCCAGAAGGCCAAGCACTATGGCAATTTCATCACTCAAGACCACAAGGATCTGGAAGGACAAGAAGGATTTGTTGGCATGGAAATCGGAGGAGCAGCTGGAGATAACTCCAAAACACGGAGGGCCCTTCCATTTGGAACACAACAGGAAAATTATCTTCCAAATGGTGTCTCGGCACGGTTCTTTTTAGACATGATGAAAGACGCCAGAGACATTGGAAATACAACGCATTTGGGATTCCAATCAATTCGAGAGCGCCTCACAGAAATGTCCCAAAAGCTTTTGCATTATTATAGTCCTCCGCTTTCGCCTAGAACAAAGGCACTGAAGGATCTACAATTCCTGCAACAAGCGCATCGAGAAAAGTTTGGCAGGTTTGTGGTGGACGATGACGATTCGGAAGATCATTGGGACTTTGCACTAGTATTGACTCCGCAAGAAGCCTATCGCTTCTGGAGCGCGCTGTTGGACTTTAGAGCAGAATATCTCGGATTTGAAGCCCTGGAAAACATGGAACCATCCTTGAAATCAAACTCCACAGACACTACTGACAAATCACAGTCCAACAACTCGGCAGGGAATGAAACTCGAACTCCTGGCTTTTTCACCCCAACCAGTGGAATTAAGCGTCGACGAGGAAGGACACCACTATCCGAAAATAGAACGCATCTACGTTCTGCTGCTAAGGCTATGTTTCCTTCCGGTGAAACACCATTAACAATGCGGATAAAACAACGCAAGAGTATGTTTGAAAAAGCTGTTAGTGGCATTCAAGATACCCCGTTGATTTCTGGAAAGTCCAGTGTCGAGTCTACTCCCTTGACAAACGATACTCGTTTGTCCGAACCATCCACTGTGCGCCGTCGATGGGGGAACCAGACTCAGGGAACTTCGATGAAGAACCTGCTGTCACCGCCCACGAGATCTTTGACACGAGGGGCATCATCTGTTCAACGAATGAGAATCAATACTAGTAGCTTGTCCTTGAGGACGTCAACGAGAACCTTGGATTTGAATGGAGGAGAAGGTAGTAATTCGGAGAATACGAATCCAAATGTCATCATGAGTGAAGAAGACATACCCAACCCAGTAATTCCCCGAGGAATTGCTGCCAGAACCAATGGGTTGCTACGCTTCCTCTCCGCATTACAGCGAGGAATTGTTCTGCGAAGACATCGATCGAATAAGGAGGCTGTGTTCTGCAAAATCTTTTCGGAAGATGGCGGTGACACGATTCAGTACCAAATCATTGATCCGGAAGATGCCATGGTAGCCTTCAAAGAACAACGAGTGCGCCACAACAAACACTTGACGCACAGCTCTTCTCCAACATCAGTGAGAGCAGTGACTCGAGATTGGGCCTGCCTTGATGGACCTGGTGAGGGAAGTGATATGCACAAATTCCAGGTTCCCGACCACATTGCAGCACAACGATACCGTCAGCGTTTGTCCAAGGAACATGCGTTCTCAAAGCGAGTTATCGATCTTGCCTCAAAAGCAGCGAATAGTGGAGTAGTGAAAGCGGCAGACATTGTTGCAGTTCATCCGGCGACTCATCTTGACCCACGCCATCCTGGTGTTCGAAAGGGTGAACTTGGGACAGCATCGCTTCGTAAATCGAACGCCGAGTTCCATGCCCCGCACAGCTTTTCACTTGTGACAACAGTCCATCAATCCTTCCCAACGGGAACATTCAAAGATAGTGATGGTGGCGAAAACAAATGGTATAGCGGTGAGGGCAATGAAATCCAATTCAAGACTTTGGATTTCGAAGCGGCCACTGAGGGCGAATATTGGCTCATTTTTCGGGGCTTTTTGCTTCTCCATAGAGATGCCACAGTCGGGAGATTTGCTTCAGAGCGAAGAGCTGGAATTGGAGGTGGAAACAGAAACCGATCCGAAGTCGACGACAGCGACAACTGTGACTATGAAAACATGCTACACCGTGATGAATTCACTGAGCCCTCCACAGTCGGCTGTATTGAAAAATTGGTTGTCAAGCTCCGAAAGCTGGATGCAACCTACCTTGAGGGTGACATGAGTGCTGGTGCTACATCTCCTCCATCCGATTACTTTCTCGGCTTCAAGTCCCCTGGTACACAGGTATGAATTTTCGCCCCCAACGTTGCTTTTTGTTGAGTTTTGTTCTGACTTCATTGTTGCTGTAGATATGGAGCCGTCTGCGACTCGCAGGTCTTGAAACCCAACGACTTTACTCGGTCAACACCAACAAGGTGATGATCAAAGTGAGATGCCCAGAAGATCGACTGACTGATGTTGCTGAAGTACTCCGTCTACATTTGAAGACCAAAGATGGGGGATTTGCACCGTTCCGAGAAGACACTGCAACTCATTTTGTTCCCAAGGAGGATATGCTTGATGTTCCTGCAATTTACCAAGGGAAAATGGCGTCGCTGTTGGGTTCAAAAGATCGCCAAACCATCATCGACTTTATCATCGGTTCTCGAATTAGAGATTCTGGTGCTGAATTGGCACAAACCTCCGATCTTGGAAAGATGATTCAATCAAGGGTACCGCTACATATGCCCCATAAATTGGAAGCTCTCTACAACGTTTGGGTGACATACTGGAAACGTGAGAATTGGACAGGCAAAGACTGGACCGGTCTAACAGATGACGATGACACGGTGCATAGTGAATATGGTGGGGAACCAAGACGAATCGAGGACAAGTTTGTCCCAGGCGGTTTAACAAGATTTTTGTTTGGTGCCTTCCATCAACCTCTGGACGCAATTGAAGAATACCTTGGCGAACAGGTTGCTTTCTATTTTGCCTGGTTGGAACACTGCTCGTGGCACTTGTTAGTAATGACAGTCCTCGGTTTGATTGTCACTGCGTGTCAGCTTTCCAGTAGCGATTTTGACCATTGGATCCGCCCCTATTTCGCAGTGGCAGTTATGATTTGGACTTTCATGGTGCTGATCAACTGGCGTAAGAGAAATAGCTATCTTGCACATCGATGGGGAAGCTTGGACGTGAAGGTCCAAGAAACACCAAGACCCGAATTCTATGGGGACTATGTCATCGATGAGATCACGCAAGAATGGGTGGTCAAATATCCAGCATGGAAGAGATGGATCAAATACTTGATAAGCGTTCCGATTTCCCTTCTCTTTACGATTTCGGTGATGATTCTAATTTTGAATGTGCATGCGAACCGGGATCTTCAGATGGCAAATTACGTTGAACGGCTATCAAATCCTGATGTAGAACGCTTTCAGTTTGAGTGGAAACTCAGTCATATTGGTCAGAAGGCACCTATTATTGAGATCCCGATCACAAGGGAACTGCTTCTTGATCGGCATTTTTGGGTTGCTCTTGGGGCTTTGCCGGTGATGCTTGGCCTCTCCATTCCACTAATGAATGTGCTTTTGATGATGGTGGCAAACAAGCTCACTAGTTTTGAGAACTACCGAACTGAATCTGAGTACAGAACTCATTTGGTGATCAAGGTGTTCAGTTTTCGTTTTGCTAGTCAGTTTGGCACCGTATACTATTATGCTGCAGTTTCTCAAGGCTCACGTGGAGCTATCGAGAACGGGGTCATTCGTATGGGCACCAGTCTCATCATGTACACGACCATCTCATATTATTGGAACATCATTCTGCAGGTCTATTTCTTTATGCTCATTCGGAATATTCGACACTTCTTCTACAAGAAGAAGTTACAAAAGGAACTTCGAAATATAGAGATCGAAGAAGAGCTCTTGGACAATAGCAAAGCTTCTGATGTTGCTGCACATGAAATGAAGCTAATAAACAAACGTATGCTTCTGGATCAAGCACAGGACGACGCATGGTTCGAGGTAATGCGTCCAGGGCATGATAGCTTTCCTGAGTACATCACTTCTGTGCTCCAGTTTTCGATGGTCGCTTGCTTCAGTGTAGTCTTGCCCATTACACCGCTGTTCGTCTTGATAAATTATCTCATGAGCATGCGTTTCGATGCCTACAAAATCTGCCGTGGAAGACAACGACCTTTGTCACAGAAGACTGGAGGAATGGGAATTTGGGAAGACTTGCTGCATATTGTCGCCGTTGTTGCAGTACTTACCAATTGTACTCTGATTGCTTTCACGAATTCTGATTTCATCGACTTGACAAAGAGAGTCGGTAGCATGGGAATTTTTGTGATTGTCGTTGGTTGGGAGCATTTGATGCTGTTGATCAAGTACGTAATGCAGTCAGTGATTTCTCCGCATCCGAAATCAGTGAGAGATAAGCTTAAGAGTGAACAGCATCAGCAGGAGACAGAAAGATACTCAGCAATGAGATTGAAAAACGGTATCAAGAAGACAGCATCTCAACGATCCCTTTTCAGACGAGCAAAGAGAGAAAAGAGTGACGATGAATGCGCATCACTTTTATCGAACGACTGCGCAACTCCAGAAATTGACGCATTCGAAGACGAAAGCCAGCGTTCACTGTACAGTTGCTAGGTTTATTGAAAACCACATGAATACGCTTGAATACATTTGGAACATACACAAATTTTAATGTAACAAAAAGTAACAGAAGATTGATAGATGACATGGTCATATAGGTAGCGCCGCATCCTACTCAAACGAATTAGAATAGTCCAAGTACATCCCCCGTTTCTAGATCAACATCAACATCATAGAATCCAGGGCGCGTTGGAAGACCTGGGATGGTCATAATGTCTCCGCATATTGGATACAAGAAGCCTGCACCGGCACAGCTTCGAATTTCTCGTACTGTAATACGATGACCAGTGGGGACACCCTTGGCCGATGGGTCGCAACTGAAGCTGTATTGAGTCTTGGCGATGCAGATTGGAAGGTTACCAAAGCCAGATTTTTCGTATTGCATGACTTGCTTGTTTGCTAATTCGGAAAAGTCCACTCCGTCAGCTCCGTAGATTTCCTTACTGATAATTTCCACTTTTTCCTTGATACTCTTGTTCACGTCGTACAAGAACTTGAAGGCTTCGTCGTCACAAGCCTTACAAGCAGCAACGACAGCCTTGGCCAAGTTCTCGGCACCGGCACCACCCTCAGCCCAGTGATTTGATAAGACCGCGTCAAAGGCCCCGGCCGCCATGGAAGCTTCTTTGACGGTTTCAATTTCTTTGTCAGTATCTGTCTTGAACTTGTTGACGGCAACGACGACATTGACGCCGAACTTCTTGGCATTTTCGATATGCTTTTGTAGATTGCAGCAACCCTTGGCCAACAATTCAACATTTTCTTCAGTGTATTCCTTTTGCAGAGGCTTTCCGGCAGATACTGGAGGACCGCCACCATGCATCTTCAAGGCTCGGACAGTAGCAACGATGACAGCAGCCTTTGGTTTCAAACCACTGTATCGGCATTTGATCTGCAGAATAGAAAATCATTGATAAGCGACCAACATCTGCTATAGGTATATTTGTCCTTGGATAATGATAGTCAAAACTTACATTGAAGAATTTTTCCATACCAATATCAGCTCCGAAACCAGCTTCTGTGACGCAGTATCCATCCTTTCCAACCAACTTTAATGCAATTTCGTCAGCAACGATAGACGAGTTTCCAGTGGCAATATTGGCAAATGGCCCAGCATGCACCATCACTGGAGTTCGCTCAACCGTTTGCATGAGCGTGGGCATGATAGCATCTTTCATGAGGACGGTCAATGCACCACCACATCCAAGATCATCGGCAGTGACTGGCGTTCCAGCCCGAGAGTACCCGACAACCATGGCTCCAAGCTTCTCTCTCATGTCAGCCAAGTCTTTAGATAAAGCCAAAACAGCCATGACCTCGGAGGCAACAGTAATATCAAATCCAGTTTGTCGATCATGTTGCAGACGCTCGCCCTCCTTCTCCTTGGACTTGACCGTCTCCTTGGAACCTTGACCAACCGTCAAACAACGAAGGTGGCGATCACAGGTGTCCAAAACACGTTGCCAAGTGACGGCGGAAGGATCAATATCCAGTCGAGCAAAGGCACTCTTTTCTTCAGCGGTAAAGTCACTGGGGTTTTTGTCGGGATCAATACCCAACTTTTTCAAACGACGTTTCATAACAGGAGAAACGTCCTTGCCATCAGGACACAGCCGTCGGAAGAGGGCTTCGTCGGATTGAGAAGCTTCATGAAACATGCGAGTCTCCAAGGCAGCAGCCAACAAGTTATTAGCTGCAGTGACTGCATGAATGTCTCCAGTCAAGTGCAGATTGAATTCTTCCATTGGAACCACTTGGGCGTAACCTCCACCAGCAGCTCCTCCCTTGATTCCAAAGGTTGGCCCCTGACTAGGTTGACGAATGCAAGCAATGGTCTTTTTCCCTAGAATGGCTCCCAAACCTTGTGCTAGACCAATCGTAGTGGTTGACTTCCCTTCTCCCAATGGAGTTGGGTTGATACCTGTAACAACTACGTAATTACCATTTGGTTGATCCTTTCGGCTTTCTCGCGCTGATAGAGGGACCTTGGCCTTGGCAATTCCCCATTGAATCACTTCATCGTCTGTTAGTCCGACCCTACAGGTAGGAACAGTCACTGATTTTGAGACCTTTGTCGAATATCTTGATCCGAAGACACCAATTTGTTGAAGTCCTGACAACTTACTGTTTCCCGACTTCGGCAATGGGAAGTAGGCCAACCTCCTTGACAATCTGTTGACTAACTTCAATATCACTGGGAACTGGAGTCTTGCAAGCTAGTTTGGGGTATCCTAATGCGTTAAGACTAGTCATGGTACCGGTACGAGTATTCAATTTTGGAGACTACCAGGTACTGCATGTGTGACGAAGATCAGGGATTGATGACGGATGTCAGCATTTCTTTTTTGAAACTTAAAAGTTGGAACGCTTGACAGACCATGATTCGTGATTGAAGCGTGACCAAAAGAGATAAAACATTTCGATGACACTCAGAATGCTCATGGAGGAAGCAAGACAAAGCAGAAGAATCAGCTGTAACAAGATCGAAGTAGAGGAAGATTCTTTTGGGATGGATACGAATGAAGCAAGGGAAAAATGAAATTCAGAATACGAGAATATGACAAAGGTCCAGATGGTGATTCCAAGACACCTGACAAGGAATCCTTCCACTCTGAGTATATTCTGTTTACTACAAACGACAACGAAGTATCATCCACAGTGACAACCAAATCAAGATACTTCTACGAGAGCCTGAATATCACCAAAGTTCTGTCTGATCTGTTTCTTCCGATTGGATATCCAGATTCGGTTGACAAATCGTACTTGCCGTATCAATTGTACGATGGATTGCAGGGATTGTGTAGTTATTGGAGAGGAGTGGTATCCACCAAGGCTGTCCTAGAAGCTTCGGGGGTAGGGAATTCCGAAGCCACGGCCTTTAGTGCAGCCATTCAATGGGCACTGAGGGATGGAACCGGAATGATCGGTGGATTAGTATTTTCGTATGTTTGCAGTTCTTATTTCGATACCCATGTTAAGGTACGTAAGATTGTAATTTTTTTGGCGGGGCGGGGGTTATTGTGATTGGTGTAGCGGATCGGATGATATACTCAAATGCATCTTTCTTCTGTACCAGGAATTTCGTTTGTTTGCTGATGTCATTAACGATGTGGCTTTGACACTCGACATGTTTGCCCCAATTGCACCAGCCGAGTACAGCTTGTTCATTCTGTCTTTGTCCACCTTTTGCAAAACTATGTGTGGCATGTCTGCTGGGGCCACCAAGGGACGTATTACCCAACACTTTGCTAGCGACAACGGCAACATGGCCGATCTCACGGCCAAGGAGTCGACGCAAGAAACTTTGGTGAGTCTGTTGGGAATGATTGGGGGTGTCTATGTAGCTAGATGGCTGGAGGATGCTCCAATAAGCGTCACCTGGTGGATATTCTGGTTTTTGACGGCGGTGCATGTATGGGCGAACTACAAGGGTGTCATGATTATCAAATTGGCAACACTCAACCCTGAGCGGACGGATGGATTGTTCCGAGACATTGTCCAGACCCTTGTTGACAACCATGACGGTGGAAACGATATGGACGAAGGGAAACTACAAGCAATCGTACAACGGGCTCCGTCACCAGATACCGTATCGGAGTCATTGCTTCATTCCACTTGGACTCTTTTCTTTCCACGCCTAGTCTTATCCAAACCACTGATCTTGAAATATTTGGACTGTATACAAGCCTTCCAACAAGAATCCTATATCTTGGGATATGGAGGAGGTCGAAGAATCTACATTTGGCTAGGTGTGGACGCAAGGAAAGTTGATAGATTACAGGGCTATGTTCATGCTATGCTGATTCGTGGACTATTAGATCAAGGAAAAGAGTGGAGTGTGGAACTTGTTCAAAGGTATGTGGGTATCAACGCTTCACTTTTATTCCTGAGTTTGGATTTTCTCAGCTGAAATCGTGATGCTATTCGTACGCTTGTACACGATAGGTCGTTGGTTCATGTAAAGCAACTGTTCCATGTGAGACATCCACTACGAGGACAATCAAAATACTCATTACTCAGCTGCCTCGAGGACAAGGGTTGGGATTTTCATAGCAGACTGTACTTGGGTTACACTGATGCACGAATAGAGTGGTCAAATATCAAAGAAGATTGAGCATTCTGTAGTGTGTGGAATAGTAGAAGCGTACGAATTATAATAGAAGAAAGACTGAACAACGGAAGCTTTCTTTTTTCTTCGGATTCAAAAACAATCTGGCTTTTTGTGAATACCATGGAGAGAGTAGCCAGCCAATGAATATTTCACTAGGAAATTTCTTTGCTAGTAGTTTAGCCCGTTACAACTGCAGTTAATTAACGTGAAATTTTTTTGTCGGACTTGAGATCCATGTGACGGGGTCGAGCCCACTCGTTTCCAGCTTTTGAGGTTTTCATGTTCCGACAATTCATTTTTTTGGCCACCGACACCATCCAAGCTTTTGTTCCGCCGGAAACGTTGCTGAAGAGGAAACACCAAAGAGGTTAAATAGATCAGTATGATTGCTGTGCAAAATCCTGTTATTCATGATCTCTGGGAAGCAATTCACGATGACGAAATGTCAGATATATCGCTGATAGGACATGATGGAGAAGTTCGTGCAAATAGATTCATCTTAGCGGCGCGCTCCAAGGTTCTAAAGAAGATGTTATACGGACCCTTTTTGGAGTCTCAGTCTACAGAAATTCCAATGTACGAATATGAAAAGATAATCTTGGAGGCCGTGGTGGAGTTTTGCTGCAAAAACGAGATCTCCAAGTTCCGTTTGTACATTCACCGGAATGCTCTGTCAGCTCGGCGCCTTGTTCGATTATTCAAAGCAGCAGACTATCTACAATTGACCGGGCTTGCAAAACTGGTAGCCCAAATGGCCCATAATCTGACTACGCGATATCCTCCTCTAGCATGCGCAGTCTACGACGAAGCAGATTATGACAACAAGGTTTCGAACGATTCCCTGATGATGATTCAATGCCGTCCTTATGTGACACTGCCTCCGGATGATGATACAGGTGGTGGCGTGGATCAGCTATCGGAAATAAAGCTTCTCACAATTTACAAGGACAAGGAAGTCAAAGCAAGCGAACTTTTCCTATTCGAAATGCTACAGAAGTGGAGAGAACATTCAGAATCCGCAAATGCCACTGATGTTGCCAAGATATGTGGCGCCTTCATTCAGCTGGAAAATATTGAACCACAAGATTTGCTTGGGGTAGTGATGAAGTCTGACTTTTGTTCTCAGAAGCAAATCACCGATGCAATCACACGACAGGCTTTGCGGGCATCTCAAAACAAAGTATGGTCTCTGTCGTCACGAGGTCGACCAAACATTGAACGGATTCTGGTTGAGGGTGCTGGAAGCAAGGACTCGAACGGGATTTATTACAAAATTGAAGGGCTTTCGAATGGAGAACTGTACTCCAAGAGGGAAGTCGCTTGTGGCCAACAGCATGTATATACGTTATCGGTTTCTGTCAACAAAGATAATTCAACAGTTGAATGTCGCATCTTCTGCTCCAAGCTTCTCACTCATGGCGGCACTATGAAGATGATAAAGACAAGACCTTGTGATCCCACTTTCCAGCCTATTCTTCAGATCACTCGAATGTCTGAAGAGACCATCGACGAACAAAAGATTACTGTGGTATGTCAAAGAAATGCATTAAAATGTCTGTCAAAGTCCGTCCCGCCACTTTTCTAACCCAGTTGCTTCTCAAACGATGCATAGTTACAAGTGTCTGACGGTGAAAACTTCATCGCTGTCACATTGACACCACGTTTCAATACTGCTAAAAAGTACAAAGAATTAGGCCAGAACACACTCATCAAGGTTCTTGGTTTTGAAAGAACCATGAGGGATGGAAAGACGTCATTCCAAATCAACAAACTTTGTATCATCAGTCAGGATCCAGGACATCGATTTGGTAACCCAGTACACTACTTTGATGTCTATGATGATGTTGAAGATGATGATGCGGCCTCGATAGTTCAAAGGAACATTGAGCCAATCGAGAATGAAATCTATCAAAATCTCTTAAGAGTGCCGCCAGTACCAGCCGAGGCGAAAGGTGACAAAGCACTTCTAGAGCTGTACTCCTGTCAGTATCCATTGAATGAAAAGCCAGTTGACTCAAAGATCCCAAACATAGGATGGCAGATCGATAGCCAGGGCATTGCTCCAGGCCCCAGGTGCCGATGGATTCCTTCCCCACAGAAGGAACCAGAAACAGCTTCCATGAGTGCAAATGTGAAAACAGCAGCAATTGCTGGATCTAGCTCTTATTTATAATTGTCAGTACATATCCAATATTACTCTTTTCCCAAAAATTCGACCTGTTCGATTGATGACGAAGACTTTCACCATGAGTTGTCATATTTTACTGTACCTTCCAGGTTTGCTTTCATTGAATGAATCTAATACCATGATACCGATGCAAAAGAAGACACTGAAGATAGTTATTGTGGGAGACTCAGGGTAGGTTTTCCCGATTTCTATCTTAAACTGGAATTTTAAACAGTGGAAAGCCTACGCCGCCAAACTATGTCCTGACTCATGCATTCACTCACCACATATTCCGCCTTTCAATATTCAGGGTCGGAAAGACGTCCTTGATGAATAGATATTCATCTGGGAAATTCACTGGGCAATACAAAGCGACAATCGGAGCCGACTTTTTGACAAGGGATAATGTAGTTGTCGCTGATTACTATGGAATAAATCATTTGGTGACACTTCAGATCTGGGATACAGCTGGACAGGAAAGGTTCAACTCACTTGGGACTGGATTCTACCGAGGAGCCGATGCCTGTCTTCTAGTTTATGATATCACCGACCCGCACAGCTTCGACAATTTAAATCACTGGAGACAACAATTTTTGGAAAAGGTCGGTGGTGGACTGATGGGACTGACAGACTCATCAGGGACCTTCCCCTTCGTTGTTTTGGGCAACAAATCTGATAAGGTACGCATTGTTTCTCGTCGGTTGGCGCCTCAGTTTCTTCTACATGTGCACTAATTTCCTACCGAAAAATTGTTTCCATCGCAATATGTAGGCGATGGAAAGACTCGTTGCTCCTGAACAAGCCGAGGAATGGTGCCGCAACGCCTCAGGAGCAACAATCATGGGGAGTCAACCACTGCCACATTTTGAGACGTCTGCAAAAACGTCAGAGAACGTCGAGGATGTCTTTGTGGAAGCTGCACGGAGAGCCTTGATTTATGAGGATTATAAGAAGAGGTCACAGCCACAGTTGTTCATCCCTCCAGCGCAAGAACCAATTGATTTGAGGCATCAGACTAGTTCAGTCAGAATTGAGAACCATGAACCTTGTTGCCAGTAGGCATCCACTGGTATCAGTGATAGTTGTTAATGATAGATCCAGTTTACATGATTGGTGAAAAGTTAATGTTACATCTATATAAAATAACTTTCTAAATGTTAGAGTTAGCTTCAATTCGACTGGATTACTCTTCTATTTCTACCAACAAATCGTCCCCCTCTACTTTGTCTCCGACATTGACAGTGACCCGTGTCACAACTCCGGAAGATGTAGCTGGGATCGAAGTTTCCATCTTCATGGCAGACAAGGTAGCGACGGTGTCTCCTTCTTGGATGACATCTCCTGGCTTTACCTTGACGCCAACGATGACACCAGGCATTGGGCTTCCGACAGTTCCTGGGGCTCCGGCCTTTTCTCGAACAGTGCCTTCAGTTTGGACACTGCTATCGGTGACGGAAATATATGTTTGTTCTCCGTTGACTTCGAATAGGACAACTCGTGTTCCGTCTTCGTTGACATCAGAAATGGAGGCAAGCTTGACGGAGAGCGCCTTTCCTGGTCCCATATCGAGCTCGATTTCTTGACCGATGTTCATGGGATTGAGGAAGACGCGAGTAGGCAATGTTTCGACGTCGCCGTAAATGGACTCGTACTCCTTCCATTCAGTGAAAACATTGGGGTACAGGGCGTAAGAAAGGAGATCCTTCTCGTTGATGTATTTCTCGCCGTACTTGGATACAAGAGCTGCGCGTTCCTTATCAAAGTCGTAGCTGCCCAAGGAAGCACCCGGTCGGCCTTCGATAGGGTCGAGTCCACGTCCCTTAAGAACCTTGGAGCGAAGAGGCTCAGGGAAGCCACCTGGTGGAATACCAATATCTCCTCTCAAAAAGTTGACAACAGAATCTGGGAAGGCAAGAGTTTCGGCTTGTTCCAAGACATCAGCAGGCTCCAAGTTTTGGGCCACCATGAATTGAGCCAAGTCCCCAACAACCTTGGAGGAAGGAGTGACCTTTGGAATGTCTCCCAAAACAATGTTGGCTTGTGCGTATTTCTTCTTGATTTCGGGCCACTTCTCGGTAAGTCCCAACTGCTTGGATTGGAAGAGGAGGTTGGTGTATTGTCCTCCTGGGATTTCGTGTTGGTAGACATCCGAAGATCCACTGAGCTGACCAGATTCGAAAGGAGCGTACAAAGAGCGGACATTTTCCCAGTACTATATTTGAAGAGCAAGCAAAATGTGTCAGCCTTCATACGTCTGCATTATAATCTCTTTCATGGCGATCTTCTGACTTACAGTGTTCAATGGTCCGAGTTGAGCAGGGTCCAAACCAGTATCGATACCAGTTCCCTTCATGTTAGAAACAATGGCTCCAAGAGACGGTTGAGAAGTCATACCAGACATGGCGTCAATTGCTCCATCGACAACATCAGCACCAGCATGAGCGGCGGCCAACATAGAAGCAACACCAGATCCAGCGGTATCGTGGGTGTGGACGTGGATGGGGACGTCGGGGAATTCTTTGCGAAGGGCACTGACCAGCATGGTGGTGGCCTGGGGGGTTAGAAGGCCAGCCATGTCCTTGATGGCAATGGCGTGGGATCCCATATCGACCAACTCACGGGCAAGGTTCATGTAGTACTCGAGATTGTATTTTCCCTTGGTAGGATCCGCGACATCACCGGTGTAAGACATGGTTCCCTCAACGAATCCACCAGCGGTACCAACAGCGTCAACTCCAAGCTTCAAGTTCTCCAAGTAGTTCAAGGAATCAAAGACACGGAAGACATCAACTCCACTAGACTGGGCTTGCTTGCAGAACTTGTAAACAACATTGTCGGCGTAGTTGGTGTATCCAACAGCGTTGGCACCACGAAGCAGCATTTGGAATGGAACATCAGGGACCTTTTCACGTAGGGTCTCAAGACGTTTCCAAGGACATTCGTGAAGGAATCGCATGGCAACATCAAAAGTGGCTCCGCCCCACATCTCCAAAGAGAAAGCATTGGCCAAGGCCTCATTGGTTGCTTCAGCACAACGAGCAAATTCCTGAGTTCTCATACGGGTAGCAAGCAAGGATTGGTGGGCATCGCGCCAGGTGGTATCAGTAACAAGGAGTCCTTCGTTTGCGCGGACGGCCTTGGCCATACCTTCAGGTCCCTTCTCCAAGTAAATTTGACGCATATTCTTCTTTGGGGCACCAGGCTTTGGGGCTGGGATAACAGGTTTGGCAACACTGGACTTGAATTGAGTGGCAAGCTTGGAAGAATCAGCTCCAAGCTCGGTAGGGTGTCCGTTGACGGCGAGGTTGGCCAAGTATCGCAACAATTGTTCGTCACGGAAGACCTTCCTTGGGTCAGCTTGCTCGTCATTGGCAAATTGCCAGTAAGAGGTGGAGGTTTGCTTCAATTCAGGATTTTCGTCAATAAAGGCAGTGGTGAGCTTTCCAGCACGGAAATCAGGGTGTTGGAGACAGTTCATCAAGAATGGAATGTTGGTCTTGACACCACGGATACGGCACTCTTGAAGAACACGGTTCATGCGGTTCACAGTCTCAATAAAGGTGGATCCACGTGCAGTGTACTTGACCATCATGGAATCAAAGTAAGGAGTAATAGTCAAACCAGAGTATCCAATACCATCCATACGCACTCCGCATCCAGCCGAGTGACGGTAAACGGAGAGTGTTCCAGTATCGGGAGCAAAATCACGTTCTGGATTCTCAGTGGTGACACGACATTGGATGGCAACACCACGAGCAGAAATATTCTCTTGAATCAAACCAACTTCTTCCAAAGTGGCTCCAGCGGCAATCTTAAGTTGCGATTGGACCAAATCGATTCCAGTGACTTCTTCGGTAACGGTGTGTTCGACTTGAATACGCGGGTTGACTTCGATAAAGTATGGTCGGTTTTCGGAATCCACAAGAAACTCAACGGTACCAGCATTCTTGTACTTGGCAGCAGAGGTAAGCGCAGTGGCGTAATCGTGCAACTGTCTTCGAAGTTCCATGGGCAAAGTCCAAGCAGGAGCCATTTCAATGACCTTTTGGTGACGACGTTGGACGGAGCAGTCACGTTCCCACAAATGGACAACATTTCCGGTACCATCACCAATAATTTGTACTTCAATGTGACGAGGGCGGTCGACGAAGCGTTCAATGAAAACAGCACCGTCACCAAAGGCGGCAAGAGCTTCGCTGGAGGCAGATTCCCACGACGAGACAAGGTCATCCATACTTCGGACAACTCTCATTCCCTTACCACCACCACCCATAGCAGCCTATAATATAACAATATATAGAGAAAATAATGAGCCCTTGTCGTAAAATCAAACTTGTCGTCACGCAAAACATTTATTTTCGTACCTTGATGATAATCGGAAGACCAATGTCTTCGACGAATGCTGTGACCTCTTCCTTGGTAGTGAGGGCACCGTCAGATCCTGGAACGACAGGGACACCAGCAGCAATGGCAGCTTCACGGGCCGATGTCTTATCAGAGAAGCGGTTCAAGTTTTCCACGGTAGGTCCAACAAAGGTAATGTCAGCATCAGCACAAGCTTGCGCAAATTCAGGAGATTCCGACAAGAATCCATAACCAGGGTGAATGGCATCAACATTAGCTTCCTTGGCAATTTTGATGATTTGAGGAATGTCCAAGTAGGCAGAGATGGGAGTGGCGTCGTCTTCTTTCTCTAGAAGAAAGGATCGGTCGGCTCCCCAGCGGTGTTGTGAATAACGATCCTCGTGGACGTAAATTCCGACGGTTCCTGCATTCAGTTCGGTGGCGGCTCGCATGATACGAACGGCAATCTCGGCACGATTGCATGCCATAACATTGGTGAACAATGGTTTCGTCGAGTCATCGCCAAGGGGAGCGGTGTCTGCGATGGGGGGTTCTTTTTCCACTGTCGCTTGCAGTCGAGTAGCCGCCGTGTGAATTCCCGAACCCACTGATGGGTTTGTAAAGGCCTCAGATACCGTCAAACTGGTGATGGCAATGGCCACGAATAGTGCAGTGCATGATAACCTCATCATCTTGAGATGCTTCCAAGCAAATGAATGTGAGTCTTTTGTGATGAACGGATGTTGCCGCCGTCGCCAGAAAAGATGCAGCAATCAGATTTTGATGGCCCGGAAGATTTTGTGAAAAATGTCAATGGTGCCGATTCTCACAAAATGACGTGTTGGCTAAAAAAAGACTACTGCGACCACTGTTGCAAATGCAAAAAAGGAGGAACGATCCAATTGGCTTGAGTACGTCAGCATCGCAATCCAGCGGGTCAAAACTCTGCCAGTAGAACGTCGGTCAAGACAGTCAAGACAGTCATATCTGGGAAACCTGACAGTTTTGAAATCGGACAAGCTAACAAAAAATCTGCTGGCGACAACAGACTCTGCCAAGCCAGTTCTGATGGACACGTAATGTTGAAATCCCGGTACGTAATACGCAATGCAAGCAATCCTCACAGTGACTCCTCCTGTCTCGATATCTCACCACTGGTACAGCCAAGTTCGATCTTTTTCTCCCATCGTTGAAGTGAGGCAATAGAGAAGCAGTATTACAGAAGCTGCGAAAAGTGAAAGCTGAATTTGATTGATTCCTTCATTCCTTGATTTATCCATTCATCCTGAAAAAACCTCAACGAATTCAATCAATCCACACGCTTTCAAACAAAATCCAACATTTTTTCGACATGACTTCTACTTTCCGACGATTTTTCACGGGTAGTACTGATTCCAATGCGGCGCCTGCAAATGGAAATGGTGTCAAATCAACAGAAGACGATAGTAATGGTGCAATCCCATCCACGGAAGCCACTAGGTTACTTGGACAAATAAACAATGGTCAAGATGTGGAAGATCCTGGCATTGATTTGCTTCATCCAGTTCCAGAGAAATCACCCTCCGTCAAGGAATTGTACTTCAATGAGAGCAACCCAACTGTTCAGAGGTACTATCGATTTGCGGCGACACCCATTACTCCCATTGTGGCCTTGCATAAAAAGCCAGGTACCGGTGGATCTGCCATTATTCAATCGGGTGTCACTGGTTTGCTACGGCGGAGTACCGTGGTCCCATCGCATGGAACGGACGAGTCTGGAGACTGGATTTTGGTAAGCGTCGGAGGTCGGAGTGGATGGGCCCGCAAAAAGTTGCCCCATCAACACTTTTCAGGATTTACGCTAGCCGACAAATTCCAAGCAACGGAAGCTTGGATGGGGAATCATGCCTTCTTGTGCAAGGGCAAGGTCATGTTGGGAAGTGATTCACCAAGTCTTTTCTTTACCAACTTTTTGTTGCTGGTAGGATATGCCTTGCAGTTTGCCCTGGTCATTCCCACTTTGTTGAAGATTCAAGAGGAAGACCCCAACCCAATTTACCACTACATTAGCGTGGATATAGTATTCTGGGCTAGTGTAGCCGTGGCAATCCTTGCCTTTGTCTTCTTGTGGGTCACTGCTGTAATGGATCCTGGAATTATTCCACCTGTGTCCAGTCCTGTGAAGGCACCCATTCCACATCACTTACCAATTGGAGGACCTCTGGGATATCGATATTGCTCAACTTGTAACATCTTTCGACCGCCGCGAAGTAAACATTGCAACTCATGTAATGTTTGCGTTTCTGAATTTGATCAGTGAGTACAAAAGATTGTGCCGTTGTTGTAACGAACCAACCTCATTATTCATTGCTGGATCTACTCGAATCACTCCAAATTGCTCATTCTCTCCTCACAGTCACTGCCCATGGGTCGGGACGTGCATTGGTGAACGAAATTACAGATTCTTTTTCATGTTTCTGGTGAATATTTCAATCATGACCATCTTGACGACTCTTTGTTCCATGCTTATCTTCCTTCATACCTACCTGGGTGTTGAAATCGACGAAGACACAACACTACTTGGACACATATGGAAGGCAATATCGGAAATCAAGATCATTTTTGTCTTTGGATCCTTCACACTACTCTGTGCTTGGTCGTTGGTCTCACTACTACTCTTTCATGGAATGATCATTTCCGCCGCACAAACCACGAATGAACGAGTGAGAGGAGTGTACAGTGCTGGATCCCTGGACAACCTTGCGGATAAGGGATGCTGGCGCAACTGGTTTCGAGCCTTTTGCAAACCAGTTGCAGTAACTAGGCTGCCGAAAGATATGTCCGATACGGCGGAGTGTGCATACAGTGAAGAGGAAACAGTGTGGGACGAAGATGCACATGCAGCAGTCGAAGATCCAACTGCACCAACGATAAACACCAGCAAGAACAAAAATGGCGCGGATGCACAAGAGGCGTGATTATGTGAATAAGTTTTAAAAAATAAAACTATGTACCGATGATAACTTTTAAAAATCGTACTAATAGTGTACCGGTACAGTAATAACACTGACATTTAAAAAATGGAATACTCTACCTATTATACCGGGTACACGTGTACCTACCTACCTGCAACTGTTCACACGTACGTGGCATCACTCCAGGTTTGTTCGATTCATTTGACTGACTCCACCAAAACATCAACTTGAAACTTACTCATGATTTGATTCACATTTCAAAAATTGAAAACAAACCATTCACAACTTTAGATTGACCGAGGTACCTCAACTTCGACATCGTAATCTCAGCTCACCGCCATCCTCATGATCTACTTTGATTTGAAAAACCTGGAAATGATATTCCCAAATGGCAAAGGCATGGACATCTCTACAAAAAAGGGATCCAATCTGTTTCTACAGGGAGAATCCAGCTTTGACTTCTTCACCACCAAAGTAATGGAGTTGGAGCACATTCGACTGAAGGATAGGGACCGATCAATCGAGGTTGTCGCACAACTATTGGCGAAGAACGCCAACAAAAAGCTTTTTCGGGAGAAAATTCCAGTGCTGGAAATTGAATGTTGGCTGCAGCATTCCGTCTCCGAAATCCAAAAGCTCGTTACCAAACCCAACTGGACACCAGAAGAGAAATTGCAGGAACGCGAAATTCTAGTGCTCAACCAATGCAGTGCCATGTTCTTACATGCAGTCCCCGTCGCTCTAGCGTTTGAAAGCAATTTTTTCCAGGTTTTGACCAAGTATACTACGGCTCGCAATGGAAATAGTGGAGATTTTTCCTCAGAACATATATGCGAACATGTCTTGTCTATTGTGTGGAATGCCTTCATCACGTCCACATCTAGATCTAACGGGTGGTCTGCCAAGACTGCTTTCAAACAACTCGCGGCGAGCGGTATCCTCGAAGAATTCATTCGATGCTTGGTGAGCCCAAAGCTAGAACCGCACCTTTCCGAGGGAATTGACACCATGCTTCAACAGCTCCAATTATGCTCTAATTTCCTAAAGAACAAATTCAAAATTGGCGACTCTTGTGGTGACGCATTGCGAGCAGTCCTGGAAGACAAGGCTGGCATCAGAAAGACGAGAGATCATATCTTCCAAAGGCTAGAAAATATTGTCCTATCGGTAGACTCCATGTGCCCGACAGTCAAGCCAAAGCAATGGTGCAGCCATTGTCGCAAGTTTGAAAACTCAAAAGACTTTCAGGAATCGCTCATGATATGTTCTCGGTGCCGTAATGCTTCTTATTGCAGTAGGGAGTGCCAGGTTGCAGATTGGAATCGACACAGCCGGTGCTGTTCTTCTGCCGTAAGGAGCATGAGGATTTCGTTGAATATTCTATCAGTACGGGTTGGCAACTTTATGAAAAGTCACTACGCAACGATGATGATCAAGATGGTCGAACAATGCGACAAGACTAGTCTGAAGATGCAAGACATGATCATTCAGCTTGATTACATGCCCAACGAAATTGGTGTCATTCCTGCATTGCAGGATCCACCCATTTTCAAGGTAGCCCCGATTCGAGATCACATTGAAGGAGCTCCACCACCAGAGCCGAATTGGTACGATTCTCGATCTGGCAAGTACACGTATTTGTGTATAGATCCAATCAAGAATCTGAAGTCAAAACAACGTCCAGACCATGTGACGTTCCTTGTGCGCTCTGAAGAAGGCATACAGTGCTTCAATATTGAAATGTATGTTTTGTTGCACATGTTGCCACTTTTTTCGGAAATATCCAAGCGACTCAAATTGCCTTTATATTCGCCTTTCTAGGGATAAGAGGGGTACCGACGAGACCGTGAGTGCTTTTCGGAGCGCCCTACAAGACAGTGACTTTGAACCACTGACTCGTATCTTTGACAATGAGGAGGCCACGCAACTTTCAAGTCAAATCCAAAATATGCATCTTCATCAGGATTCAGAAGATTCGTCCTCCAGTTTCCGGTGATATCAAACGGAACGGAAAGACGTTCATTATGGGATACTCCGTCTAATTTGTCGTAGCATTGAATTGTTTTCGCACAGGATTTTCGATCTGTTTCTTGGACATAGGACTCATCAAAGCTGTTGCACAATAATACCCCAGTCATCCGAAATCTTCAGATATCTTTTCCAAGGTTGACCACATTTGCAATCTCTTCGCTAATCAATTCCACGTGCCTCGGATCCCCACACACTAGAGCCATTGGCGGAAAGTCGTGTACAAATGTAAACAGGCCTTGCAAGTTTCCCACTCGGAGAATCACATTGTCTAGGCATATCCGCAAGACTTCCAGAAATGGAGTCCAGTCATCGTCATTGTCATCACTCTGTTCGCTTGTTTGGCTTGCTAATGAAGAGTCCCGATTCAGTTCCGTGTTGTCAGTAGTTTCTGCTACTACTTCTGTTGCCGTATCTGCTGTTGGGTCAGATGGCGTCCACATACAGGCCAACACATTCCACTTTTCGCTCTCAAAGATACAAATCGGTCTTGGTGGGTCTGGTCCATCTGACGACTCGATTTGTGGGCATCTCCATCGTCCTGTAATGGTCGGTGCCTGGGCATTCTTGACATTTAGCTGAATGCGACCCTCTACAAAATCGGTCCAAGGAGACCTCAACTTGGAAAGCAAATAGGTTGCCGCAGGGAGCGTCTCCTCGTGACTCCTTCCCGCAATCGCCACAGGCCCAGCTTGCTTTCGACCTGGGATCACCAAATGTACCGTGCAATTAGCCCTAAGAAAACGCTCAAATTCTTGCACCTTCTCTCGACCTCCAAGAGAGACATGACTCCGACCGGTAGGTTCTGGCTGGAGATACTCGGGTATGTCGATTTGCAACAGACACGAGCATTCCTTCAGCGGAGGTGGAGTGGAATTTGGATCTTTCCTTGGTCGAGGAGGGCGGTACTCTCGACCTCCATGGCCACGCTTGCCGACTCCAACACGAGCAGAACTGTGGTGTCGATACATGTAACCTTCTTGATGTCTTCACAAAGTCACTTTGAAGATAGTTGTAATTTCCTTGTATTCTAAAATACTTCACGGGTTTTTTGTTTTCTTTTTTTGGATGCTCATTCGTGTCTCATGAAACAGGACTGAACTGTGTTTGAAGTGACCCAATAATAACTTTTCGCTTAGCACAAAATCTTCGCCTTTTGAAGTTTGACGACGAGAAGCATCACATCGTCAGCAGCCACACGCAAGTGATAACAGCTTCTTATTCTTTCTTTACAGACTCAATTACAACCGCAGTTTCATCTGCAACATAAAACACAATACAACACAAGACACAACAGAACAAACATTCATCATGGTAGCTGCCAAATCTTGGCCTTGGCTTTCGGATCTCGATCAAGCAATGTTGCCCGACAAGGCCATTGATCCAGTCAACGAATACGATACCCGGGAATCTGTGCCAGAACTCCTGAATGAACATGCCTCCAACATTGAACTCGTCAAGGAAGCTCTCAAGGAGGATTCACTGTACGAACCCTTCAAACATGACGACTTGTGGATCTTGAGATTTCTAATGAGTCACAAACATAAAGTCAAGAAAGCAACCAAGGCTGCCAAGCATGCCTTGCAATTTCGGAACAAGCACAAACTTGACGAGAAAGATTTGCGATCCATTGCACCACACAGCGTCCCATTGGGGGAAGAGGACACTCCCTTCGCTGGATGTGACTCATTGAAGCGAGCTTGGATTACTCGTTATCCAGGTGACTGCATCGCATTTACCATTCCAGATAAGCAACGCGGCGTGGCGGGCTTTCTTCGGTTTGCAGATTTTAAGCATGATAAGGCAACCATGAAGGCATTGAGTGATGAGGATCTCGCAGCCGTCTTTATCTATCTATCCGAGTGGACCTTTCAATGGTTGGACTATGTCACTCGCAAGACTGGACGCTTGACGAAGTCTGCTCGATTCGTTGATTTTACTGGGTTTTCTATGTTCCAAGTCAGTCGAGATGCCACTAAACGGGATGGCAAGATCATGGGAGATATGGAAGATGTCTATCCCCAACTATTGCATTCATTATTCATGTATAACCAGCCTCATTGGATTCATGCAATCTGGGCTACCATGCGCCACATTATGCCCAGTCGTATTGTGGAAAAGGTAGACATGGTCGAACCCAAAGAGAATGAACAGGAATTCAAGCGACTTCTCAAATTTGTGGCAAAGGAACATCTTCCAGTCTCGTTGGGTGGAGACAACACTGTCAATCCAACGGAATGGTAGATGATGATCATTCATTCGTCACTACTTCAGCTGTACTGCTTTGCGCATAATATACAATGTTACATACCTATTCTTTCTATTTGTTGCAAACTACAGTACCTAGTACATGAAGAGACTTTGGAGGGTTTTTGGAAGGCAGTCGCATTGATTGATCGGTGTCTCAAGATGCTGAATTGTATTCGAATTGGTCAATCAATGGATCTAATATGATGATGATGATGCGAAACATATGACCTGGAGAATTATCACAATGTGGGAGAAAGTCATCAGAATAGGACTGTTGCAATTTGCTACCTTACGCCTGTAGATTGGTCGACTATCAGCATCAGTTGCGAGCAATATCAAAATACTGAATTCTGAATCCTTTTCACTCACTTTATGAACCGCACGAAGACTAATAGATGTCTTTCTACCGTACTCTGATCATATACTTCGATGGCGCTTGTCAGAACAACCCAAATGGGCCTGCTGGTTGCGGTTGGGCCATCTATGAGATGGACGACTACGGCTGCGACGGCTTCAGGGTGGCGTCTGGCAACAGATATCTTGGTTTCAACTTGTCGAACAATCAAGCCGAATATATCGGCCTGATAGAAGCGCTCGCGTACATGCAAATGAACAATATTGGTTGTCATGAGCTTTTGATTCGCGGGGACTCGCTGCTGGTCATCAATCAAATGACGGGGTTCTATCAAATTCGCAACCAACGACTGTTCAACTTTTACAATACTGTTTCGAACAAGCTCAGTTGGATCAACAGTGACTATGTAGAATTCGCCCACATCGATCGCTACTACAATGGGGAAGCCGATTTTCTTGCTAAGACCGCTATTCCTTCGATGACCAACGGCGCTATGTGGGACTGACACTTTCATCTCGCTGTGTGACGAAAATCAGGCAGCCAATTTTCCCGATCGTGAGTTAACTTTGGACTTGCTCGTTCGAGTCAGCAGACACTACGACAGCCGACGGCAACTATGTGGTCACTCAAGAATCACCATATTGTAAACGATAGAGACAATGAAACTTGAAAATTTAAAGGGTGACATCAAGAAGTTTACTTGTCTGTCCGAATTCGTCATTCGACATTTCGTGGGGATCCAATCGATCCAACAGTCAACTCAATTCTGCCAGCTCATTGAGACACTCTCAATGGGTCCCGCCCTCTGGGTCAGTAGGTCGATGAAGTACTCTACTAGAATGCGTTTCAACATGCGTTTCAGTTTCAGAGAACGCTTTCCAAACTTGTTGATCGTTTCCACGACACTGACTATGTTTTTCAAATCACTTTAATCACATTGCTCAATTGCATCATTTGCAAGTTTATCGGCTTCTTCATTTTGGCCACGGTCGATACGGTTGTATTTCACATCGTCGAAGTTGGTTTCAAGGCTTTTGAGTTTGCTCTTGACAGATTTGACGTGATCAATTAGGTTTTTGCTGCGAACTCGATACTTTCCACTGATTTGTTCAATAACGAGTTCAGAGTCTCCACGGATATGGAGAGTAGTACAACCAATATCTTTGTCCTTTATGTATGCCAAAGCAGATTCCAGGCCTTCATATTCCGCTTGGTTGTTTGTTATGTGATACCCCAAATAGCCTTGGCCATTTGCAATTCGCATGCCATGGTTTCCCTGTCGATTCATCTCGTATAATGTCCATCCAAAACCAGCTGGTCCATAAGGATTACTTTTAGAAGCCCCATCAAAATAGATGATCAGTCGATTGTAGTACGGCATTCTCTGTCCGATGAGAAGTAAGATGATGATATTACAATAATATTAATAGTTGATGTCTTTCCATTTTTGTTTCTCCCGCCATTGCAATGAACACGAACGTGATTTTTGGGTATGATTTAGTCCCAGCACCCCGATTGACAAGCCAAAAATCTATTTAACGGAAACATCATGTGTCATATGAGTTGAATAACTCAGTCCTCATCATTTTCTCACAAAAATCGAATATTTGAAGCTGAAAGCTTAAAAGGCACGTCCACCCTTCATAATTCAAAATGCCGCACTACTATGGCTTGATCATTTACTTTGATGGGGCTTCGAAAAGCAATCCACATGGTCCCGCTGGGAGTGGTTGGACGTTGTATGAGATGGACCCAGACGGCGACACTGACGGTGAAAGGCTTGCCCAGGGCCAAGATTACCTTGGCTACAATATCTCTAACAATCAAGCCGAATACCATGGTTTGGAAGGAGCTCTCAAATTCATGAACAAGAATGACATTAGTTGCCAATATCTACACATTCGCGGCGACTCGCAGATTGTGATTAATCAGCTGCATGGGAAATATCAAGTTCGAAGCAAAAACATCATCGGCTATTACAACGCTGTCATGAAGGAGCTTGCGTCTATTCAATGCGGCGCTGCAGAATATACCCATATTAATCGCGCTGAAAATCGAGAAGCCGACGCCATGGCAAACAACTCGATTAGGCGCAAACGCTCCAAGTCTGTCTGGGGATAATCTAATTTTCATGGTGCGTTTTCACAGGCTAATTTTGCTTTGGTCAATGCCGAGCATAAAAGGACAAACTCTGTTTGTGAGGAGCATCCTAGCAATGCAAACTAGCTTGTTTTAATCAATGCAGAAGCTTGTTCGTTAGCTTTTCTATTATTGGTACATTCTAAACAACCTATTCAGGCTGACGATAAAGTAGTCTTTGCGTTCAGCAGTCTCCGTATTCAAATCCAACCCCGTAACCAAAGTCACCATCGTTGTATTTGACATCTCCATCCAATTCGACTTCAATTCCTCTTCCATTAGCGATTCCATCACCATAGGAGTCACGCATTTCCAGCTTGTTGCACTGACTTGGTTTGAAACAATCAGAGAATTCATAGTCTTTGTTGCTATCGAACCCAGATTCATCCAAGACTACAACTCCATCCTTGGATAGCGTAAAGGAAGATTCACTTCCCCAATCATCAGTCTGTAGTTTCAGCTTGAATGGGATGCATTCAGCTTCATTTGTCGAGCAATCACCGAACTGAATAGCTCTTTGATAGCCAAAGTTGACGGCTCCAGCTTCCGCGACAACTGACCCATCGACAACCAAACGATATCCTGGGTTCGTACCGCCGGCAGCGAGACCATCCCCGTAGTCATCAAAAAGTGTAACAGTGTAGCATTTCTTCGGAATGCACTGCTTCGCATTGTATTCCTTGTTATTATCGTAGTTTTCACCACGAAGAATTTCGTCCGATTGCGAGTTTCGTAGGATCCAAGAAGTTTCACTACCCCATTCGTCGGTTGTGACTGTCCAGTCAAACTCAATCTCATCTGCAGCGCACGGGCTTTGAGAATCACTTGGTGGTGGAGTTGGAGTGGGTGGAGAAGTGGAGGTTTCTTGGCTCGTGGGAGGCGGTGTAAATCCGGACGTTGGTGGTGGAGTACTCTGGTTCGTCGGTGGCGGTGTGGATGCCAGGGTAGGAGGTGGGGTCGATGCAACTGTTGGCGGTGGTGTCACTGCTGGAGTCGGGGGTGGAGTCGAAGCAAAGCAATTTCCGAAGGTCAGTGTCTTTTCAAAGCCAAAATTGACTCCACCAGCCTCTTCCTCCACATTGTTATCGACAATGAGAGTGTATCCTGGATTAGAACCACCTTCAGAAAGACCATCACCGTACGAATCAAGGATAGCCAGAGTGTAGCAGCTGTTTGGAATACATCCCATAGTTTCATAGACTTCATCATCAGTGTAATCTCCTCCACTGAGAACCAGGTTATTCTGGCTATCCTTGAGATTCCAGGAAGTCTCTTCCGCCCATTCATCTGTTCGAAGTGTGAATTCAAAGGCAATCTCATCCCCTGGACAAGCCAAAGGAGGATCCGTGGGTGGGTCTGTGGGACTGGCAGTGGGTTGAAATCCACCATCGCAAAATTCAGCAGACATATTCCAATCATCACATACTACACTTCTGATCCAATCCTTGGCGCTGCTGACACGGGAATAAACACCGGGAAAGTTTGGTCTCGCGCATCCATAGCCTAAGTGAAATGAAAGAAAAAAGTGGATGAGATACCGGTGCAGACCTTCGTTGGAAACCCTTGTCGTCATTGTTACTGTGGTACTTACCCCATGACACAACGCCAACTTGGATATGTTCGTTACCATTACGAATGACAAGTGGACCACCCGAGTCTCCTTGACATGAATCCTTGCCGCCTTCAGGGACACCGGCACAGAACATGACATCACCTTCAATGTCCCCATCGTACCCACTCGGTTTGTTGCATTCATCTATCGAGAGGGCTTGAACGGTAACATCTTGAAGAAATCGTTCCAGATTTCCACCTTGTTGTGTGGCGCCCAATCCAAGGGCAGTCAAGTCTTGTCCCGGGGTTGGTTGCCCATTGAGTGAATTGATGGAAAACTTGATATTGGAATTCACAGTAACAGTGTCTTTCAATCGGAATAGGGCAAAGTCATTTCGGAAAGTGAATTGGTCGTATTCTGGATGAAAGGCTTCGTCGACGACTCGAACCTTTTGAGCTCCTCCAGTGGTCTTGTCCAGTTCATAAGCTCCAACAAAGACTTCGTCTCCATTAAAGCTACCACAGTGAGCCGCAGACAAGACAACACCTGGAGCAATCAACGAGCCACCACATCCACCCATATATACATAGTATGGAAAGTCTCCAATATCCGATTGATCACCGCCGATGATACGAGCTTGTAGATCTCTATCGTTCTTGTCTTTGTGTTCTATCGTTTCGAGTTTTGTCAAATCTAGCGTTTCCATCGCTTGTTGCTTCTCCGGCTTTTGGGCCTTGGATTTTCGCAGATTCTTGCGTCCATATGATTGCTGTGGAAGTGATGCCAGTACAAGCAGCGATGTTGTTTGAAATCTCATGGTGGTGCTGTCTTGAAAACGATTGATATTGGTTTTGATTTTATGGGCAAGATTGTTGATCACAAATTTTCTCCCATCTAACATGCATGCAAAAAGTGACTGAGGTCTTTCCGAATCGTTAAATGTCGCATCTAAATGATATTGGCCCATAAGTATTTCATTATCTAAACTTCCGTATTGCGGTTGGCTTGCGCTTTGATTACCAAGTACGATTCAAAACGGTTACGAGGGCTCGTGTAAATAATGAAAAAGACCCACTTCACCTTCGACCAACGCTCCAAGACAAACTTGGTTCCGAAAGTGATGAACGAGTCAGCAATTCCATTCTCTCCTTCCGCATCCTATTCATTTGAATGAATGAATGAATGGAAAAACAACAATTCACCGTTTGATGACTGGATCGAGACGCTGCCTCTATTACATGCCAAATGTCCGGGAACTCTTTGCTCTGAATTTCGCGCGTAAATGACGCACTCGTTCGTTCGTCAAACCAGAACGAAGGCGTTTCCATGCGAAAACTTGCTCAAACAAGATATGAGATCGTTTGTCATCTTTCGTCTCTCTTTTCTGGCGATCCTACTACCCGTCGCCACTTGCTTTCTTCCCTCTTACGCCCAAGAAACTACCTGCAGCACTTCCTTGCTATCTAGCACTTCTTCCTCTTCCGTCGACATGAGCATGAAATGGTTTCAACACGAACTCACCATCACCGCGCCTTCCCGTGGTTGCCACTTGATTACGGCCGATGTCCAAAAGGCAATTTCCAAGGATCTTGGTCAAATCAAGATTGGAATGTGCAATCTTTTTATTCAACACACATCGGCTAGTTTGACAGTCAACGAAAATGCGGATCCCGATGTCCGTCGGGACATGGAAGTGGCTCTGAACAAGATTGTTCCAGCCTCTTGGAATCACGATGGAACCTTTAAGCATACCATGGAAGGCGATGATGATATGCCAGGCCATGTCAAAACATCCTTGATGGGGCCCAGTTTGAATCTTCCCATTCGAAACGGACGTCTCGCGTTGGGAACATGGCAAGGAATTTACTTGAACGAGCACCGAGATCAAGGTGGTTGGGGCGGTGGTCACTCCCGCAACATTATTGTGACTTTACAAGGGCAAGGATGAGCAAACTAATAGCTTTAAAAAATAAAGTACAGTTGTTTGTGCTAAATTTAACTTTACACAATATCTTCAAAGAAAATGCTCTCTGCAATGAACTGCGTTACAATCCTTAGAGTTCCAAGTTTCGGTTGGACTGACGAAGCAACTTGGGAGCCAAGCGTCGCAAAAATGGGAATCGCTGTGACAAGGTTTTGCGGACAACAATCTCTCTGGGAATATCAGAGCAGATGGAAAGTAATTCGCTGTAGACTTCTTCTTCCTGTGACATACTCGAATCGGAATCCGAGGTTGCCACCGACAAGCCATAGTCGGCACTGGTTGTGTTGATGGAATCGCGGACGGATGGAGTTACTGTGCTATTACTGTCGCGATAGAATCGTAGATTCTTGGGATCGCACAATGCAAAACCCACTGAGAAATGTTCTGACTGGTTGGAAGACATGGAACAACTCCACACCGACATTGGTGGGCTTGGAGGAACAGAAGAAGACTCGTCGCTGCTTTCTTGAAGCAACTCATCATCGTCCAGAATAATGACCAGTGGCAAGAACTCACTTTCCAGGCTATTGTCCTCGTTGTAAATTTGTTGTTTTGCTTTCGAGTTTTCAATGTCTTGTTGAGCAAAGGAAAACCGACGAAGTGAATCCATGGATCCAGGACGCATCGTAGGTCGTCGCCAAATCCCATGTTGATGCAACACTTCAGGAATTCGTCCGGAATGAATGTTTTGCGAAAAGGTGGTCTCTGTCATCGTGATGCTGATAAAATGTAATAGATGTAGAATCAATGATGTGCTATCGCAATGAAAAAAGTGAGTTCATGATGGAGATTTTCGAAGTTGATTTTGTTGTGCCGTGACAACATTCACGGTGGAACGAGAAACTGGAACCTACGTACGCGTAGTAGTTTGCGCTACGAAGAAAGAAACCGTCACATTTTGCGTGTGTGAAAAATTGCCACGAGCAGTTTCTTGACGACTTTGTGGTTCAATCGTCGCCAACAATCCGTTTCATTGATGATAGCGTGTTTCTATTGAAATTTATACAATTTATTGATTTATTGAGCAATGCCTTGTGACATGTACTGGAAGTAGTCGTACTGCTTCGTTCCGTATGACGAAGTGGCTTCTTTGATTACGTCCAAAATGGTGGAAATAGTTTCCTCCTTGTTTTTGCCAGCACACAGTCGTTGTTTGAATTTGGCAATAATCTCGTCGCAGTTCTTGCCTTCAAAGGCATGGAAGGTGCTACCCTTGGATGTGATTTCGAGAAGCGTCACAAATGTGTTGGTGTGAGCTTGCAGCGCAAGGAAGCCACAGCAAAATAGTGTCACAAACTCAGAAAACAAGGATGATCGGACTCCGTCCATGACATCAATCATTTCTTCTGTTAGCTTGAAGGGCGTGTTCAATTCCAAACTGAAGTTACCACCAGGTGCAATTCCGAAAACAAATCCAAAATCAATATGAATCACATGACCAACCGTATCCAGCAAAAGATTTCCATTGTGTCGATCCTTGAACAGAAAGAGGTACGACAAAAGTGAATAGGCAGCAAGACTCTTCACAAAATTGTTTTGGAAGGATTTGAAAGCTTCACCAGGATCAGCTGCGAATTGTGACATTCTTCTAAGATGCTCCTTTAGACCACCTTTGCCGTAGCCAGGTCGCTTCTTCAAAGCGTCAAAGGACATGGCATTTCGCACCATTTCAATAACCCCAGTAGTTCTTCCGGTTGGCAGAATGCGATACGGTAGAAGCCAAAGGTCCAATCCAGCTTCGTGAAAGGCTTCCTTGCACAGCTCAATGAGCTGCATCACAAAGGCTTCTTGGCGCAAATCATCGTTGGACTTTACAATTACACCAATGAGATCGTATCCAGGCTTCGCTGCTTCATGACTGTTTGCGGCAATACGGGAGCGCTTCTCGGCCCATCGTTCACCAAAGGCAAATCTTTGCCAAAAGGCGGAATCTTCGTTCAAAATTTGTTGACTCTCCTCCGACACCTTGACGTATTCCAAATCTTTCTTCACTAGTTCCAAGAGTTCGCCATTTGTAATCATACCACCCTTCCAGAGCGACAGGGCCTGCAAAACGGCGGGCGGCAAAACACCACAACCGACAAGTCGTTGGTCAATGTCACCAGCATCGATCTCTGGAAATTCCCGTCCCATAAAGGTTCGAGTGCCCAAATCACCTTTGCGTCGCATATTGGGAGTCAATGCCTTCGCGGCATCTTGCATACTCAAGGTTCCTTGCGCTACGTGATATTGGATCAGAAGCAAACGGATAGCTTCCATAGTGTCATTTTCCTCCTTGGCTTCGGCAGTGAGCTCGGGCTGTTCATCTTGTGCTACCGACGAAATTCCCAATGACAAAAGCTCGTGACGCGCACTGTCTGACGATGAGCTAATTGGCGCATCTCCAGTCATTAACAATTCGACGGCAAGCCTTTGATCCAATTGCTGCAAGTGACGCTGGACTGCACCAGTAGCCCCAGCAGCAATTGTATTACTCTTCGACATGCCTTTCATCATGATGGAATTCAATACTTCCCGTCTCAAGTCTTGCTCTCGCGGGCTGGTTGCGTTGCCCATGGAAGAGATTCTCTTCAAGGCAGGTGCTAGGGATCTGTCCTCGCCATTGCCATTCATGCCTTCACTGCCATTCATCTCGGCCTCGTCTTCCTTGCCATCCGCCAAGGATGGGATAATCAATTTGTTGACAACTGCTTGGGTTACAAGCCCTTCGACCATTTCCTTTTCAGCTGTCGGTGTAAGAATTCTCGCTGCTCCATTCTTGCCATCAAATCTGCGTAATGCGTCTGCAATCATGGTAACCACAAAGAAAAAGTAAGCAATAGAAAAACAAACAAGAGTGCATTTGTGGCAAACGTTTCACTTACGACGCTGTTCTGGCTCATGATGCAGTCCTTCCGTGCTTCCAGGGTCTTCCACCAAAGTACCACCTGGAGTGTTTGGTATGGGTGATGACAGTATTGAGGGATGGGGAGATTCCGGTGCCAATGGCACATCTGTGACAGCTGTAGCTGCTTCCTGAGGTGCGCTTGCGCCTTTCACTGGTTCGCTGGCAGACTCGGATTGGGGTTGAATTTCCGACTGTTGTTCTACATCGGCCGAGTCATCATTTTCGCCTGACTCCGAACTTGCCGCCGCCGTGGGTTCTCCTCCATTTGCGTTCACTTCTTTCAAATGGTTCTCGTCCTCTTGTTGATTTCGTTTTTCCTGTTTTAGCTTTTCACTCTTGAATTGTTGATTCAGTGTATCCACTGCGCTTTCTGTCACACCTTCGTCATTCACCTCGACCAACAATAGCACTGGCGTTCGCTCCTTACTTCGAAAGACGTGACCTTCTGTAGGAGGAATTCGTACTACCCGTGTATGCGATTCTTTAACTGTATTCAAGGGATCCCCACCCATGGCACCTGACGAATTCAATCGAAAGAGTTCATTTTGCAACATTGCCGCTCGTTCTGGCACTGGCTGATGAAATAACTTTTCAGCAATGTCGCATAATCGTTTGGTAAAGGCCATGTGACTTGACAAATAATCCGCATTCCTAGCAATCCGGAGTGCCTCTTCGGCTAGCTTTTCCGGTCCCACCTTGGCTTCGTCCATCGATTGACGTCCGCGCAGCTTGTCCAACCGACAAGATCTGGAAAGAACTTCGGTTTGCGTCAAGCGATACTTTTGTATTTCCGCCATCCAGTTTTTCAGTAGCATAATTTGGTGTTTGGTTGGATTGAGATAACCACCCACTGTGACACTGCCACCACCCCAGCCCGATTCAAAGTCAAAGAGCATGCTTTCCAATTCGCACAAGAATCGAATCACGGCAAATTTGCGATTCCGACAGTACTTGAGTGTCTTGGCATCCTCCAAGTCGGCCGTGTGACTCCAAATCAATTCAATGGCCAAATGGACACTGTGTTTGGCCGCCATGGTCAACAAAAAGTCTTCCATCAATTCAATGCGTTGGAGGGACGCAACATCCGTTGGTGGAAGCATTTGCAAGTGAATATTACAAAGCTGAGGCCAATAGAACGCAATGGTTTGAATCTCTCCATCGTCGCACAAATCTAGCAAAAAGTCCAAAATGCATTGAAGCAATTCGGTAGACGTGTATTGCTCCGTCGGCAATGCCTGTTCGGCCAACATTTTGAGGGATGTCCCCATGTCTCCCGCCATTCGAAAAGCTTGTTTTTTGAGGGCAGCCATTTCCTTGTCACGAATTCCCAAGGATTGTTCCATGAGCTCCAAGAGTTCCAGCACACCAATGATCCCCTGTTCAAATTCCGTCGCTAAATCGTGCAAAGTCGATGACGCCCGTTGAAGCGCCTTGAAATCGGGACGAATGAACAATTGGGCCACTTCGCTGGGGGATGTTTTGGTTAGTTGCAACTGGCTGGTAAGTGGTTTGGGATTGTCATGATCAATTTCCAATTCGGGTTTCAACTTTTTCAAGACCATGTATCGGGCCTGTTGAATGGCGTATTGATCCAATTCTTGGTAGCGGTACATTTCCCGGACAAAGCTGACATGATCAACGACGCCTTGTGCCACAAAACAATTCTCACTAATATCGACCCGCTCTTCTTCGCCATATTGCAATATGGGTGTCCCTTCCTTGATGAGTTGAAATTCGAGTCGTTCCATCTTTCCGCAGGAATGGCAATAGGGTTGGTGTTTCAAATTTCGCTTGTTATGCGATCGCGGTTTGACCTTGCTAAAGGTTTCCATTTCGACAGTGTTTTGGCCCTCTGCCAAGGATCGTTCCAGTCCAGCTGTAATGGCCGACAACCAGACTTCCCGACATTGATTGGTCATGGCTCTACATAGCAAATGGGTCCCTTGATGAGTCACCAGCCGAAAGGCGTCATTTCCAGACGATGATAGTGCCACCACAAGATACATGGTCATGGGACGATCACCATCGTCATAGGCTTGTTTGGAATCGTAACAGACCAGTTGGACGCCAAAGAGGATGGCAAAGGACAAGACTTTGGAAGATGAGGAAGACGCCACACCGGGACGTTTTTCAATTTGACGGTACAGCGATCCCTTGCAAACCCCATGCATTCGTTTCGCCTGATAAAAGGACGATGACGGCATTATTGTGGTTCTTCCCGCAATGTTGGAACGGGATTTTTTTCGTCGTAGCTTGTGAATTTTGTTGTGTGTTTTGGTTTGAGTTTAAAGCTCAAAAAATACGCGCTAATGGAAGTGTAGTGAAAGTGTGCAATAAAGGAAGCTGTTGCGTCGCTGTTGCTGTTGCTGCTGCTGCTGCTGTCTACCTTTTCAGATTGCTGCCCTTGCTACAGTAGTATGTAGGATATGTGAACAAGCTTGTGAGTGGGTGCACTCAATACAACCGTTGAAGAGTTGAGAAATGCCAGCTACGTGAATCTCTACGAAGCAGGTCTGCCGGCTTTGAGATGAAATAGGCCTAACTCAGTGCATTGATCTGAGTAGTCAAAGTGGTCATTTCAGCTTCCATTCTTCTGATTATGATGATGATTTAAATTATTTTTTTATTTGTTCCACTGGTACTTTTGGTTGCGGCTTGTGGGAAATGGAAAGTTTTCGTTGATGCTATTGGACAATCTAGTGGCCAAGATTTAACGGAGAGAAAAATTAGCGCTCGAATCAGTCCCAAACGTAGAAAATTACGTGTGGGTTCGGAACGGGCTTCACACTGCTGGCATTTCATACCTGGGATTTTTGTCGACGACTTCCGCCAAATCCATACAGTAGTTCAGTACCTCCGTTCATTGTTTTAAACAGAACAGAGCAAGCTTCTTCAGCTCCCCAATACAGAGCAGTAGCTTTGATACCTCAAAGAGACTAGCGAGCAAAGTATCCTCGCCAATTCTTCAACAAAACGATATCAGTAGAGATAGAGAAATCAGAGTCACAAATACAAAACTCTCGTCTCCTGCTGTTGCTTCTGCTTTCTCAAAATGTCTGACGAAGATGAACAATTGGCGCTCAAGCCGCCGGCATTCAATCGATTGGGAAGTATTGGAGAAGCCGTTGTAGTTGAGGACGATCAGTCTATAAGATCTGGCAGATCTAGAGGCAGCCGAGGCAGTAGGGCCAGTGGTAGTGGTAGAAACAAGAGCAAACGAGACGGTCTTTCCAGTTCCAGACACAGCAAGCACAGTTCGAGACACGGTCTTTCCAGTTCCCGTCATAGCAAAAAGAGTAGTCGGGATGAGCTTACTAGTCCCAGACATTCCTCAAGATCGCCTCGACGACCACCCAGGAATAATGCTGCTGGATTGTCGGTGAGCATGCACAATTCGGTCTCGCAAGATTCTCTATCGTCCTTTGGAAGTGGACGAGCCAAATCGGTCCGGATTGCTTCCAATAGCAGTGATTCCAATTTACTCATGGCAAGACACAGTGGTAGTGGGCGTGCAGCTAGTTCGCGCAATTTGAACAATCAATCCTTTTCTTCCATTGGATCTGGATCACGCAAAAGTACTCGATCCTCTGGGGGTGCCAACAATCGATCTCCAGCAAGACAACGACCCGCTGGTGGCGGAGGTCGTGGACTAGGGAGCCGCTCCGCATCGGTGGCCATTGGCATGGGCGCTGGTGGCCGTGGCCGGGGATTGGGGGCCCGTGCTCAATCGGTACGATTGGACCGCAATGCCTTTGCTGCACCCGCAACCCCGTCTCGCAACCCGCTGATGAGCGCTTCCCCACATTCCGCTGGCCGTCCCGGACTGATAGGGTCCACTTCCTTTGGCACGCCTTCGAGCAAACGTGCGAAATCCTCCCGAAGATTGGCCTTTAGCGATGATGAAGATGATAAACTTCACCGTCGATCCACACGGCGCATCGCCTTTGACAGCAGTGACGACGATGATGATGCACTGGCCATGCGACGCAGTCGATCCTCGAGGCGCATTCTGAGTAGCGACGATGAGGATGAAAACTTTGGGCGCAGTAGTGGTAAATCTTCCAGAAAATTAAAAACCAGCTTTGCCGAGGGTACAGAGGGGACCCCTCGCAAAAAGACCAAACGCCGAATGAATCGAGAAAAAGGTACTCGCAGGAGAAAGTCTACTCGGAACTTGATGGGCAAACCCTCGCGGAACGATATGTCCGGGCGCATTGCCACCGCCCCCGAGAATATCCGAGTCAGCAATGCGGGCAATTTTGGACTTCGATTGGGAAAAACCTTGTTGTTTGCACCGCCGGGGAGCGAGAATCAATTCCGAGATGCGATCGCGGCAAAAGCAGCCATCCGAAAAAAGAAGCGAAAACGAAAATGCCCGAAACTACCTTGGCAAAAGGAGGAGGAAGAGGTGGATCAGTCAACCACCAATACCACCCAATTGACGGGTGCCAGTACCGTTGCGGGAAGAAAAGCAATTGGTCTACAGGTTTTGCGAGTTGCTGGAGATGCCGAAGCCATTAGGAGTTTGCAAGAAAGTACTCGAACGGGAGGATATGTCGATCTGTCCCAGATTTCCAAAACACCAAAGATGTTTGCACCGAGGCATTTGTTGGAGATTGAAAGGGGGGCTTCCGTTCTCATCTCGAATCAATCGCTCATCAAACATCATAACTTTCAGGACCTGGGAGAGTATGGAGCCGTGGTTGTCACAATGAAAGCCAAAGATCCACTCGCCAGTGCCGATACTACCCAGAAGGAAGAGAAACCATTGAAGAAGCTCATCAAGTCCCAGGACATTCGAGACTTTGACTTTGAATCCGAGGTTGGTCGTATTGAACGCGTGTGGCTTACCCGTCTGCGCCGAAATATTATGGCAAATTTGGATATTGTCAATGGGTTGCGATTGAGCCGACAACTGCAGAACTATATGCCGCTACAGTCGGCGTCCGATGCCTACCTTATTGCACAGATCATTGCAGCTCTTGAAGGAAAAGGGGGCGAAGAAGCCAGCTTTATTTTGGATGTCGCATTCAAGAGTCGAAATATCTCAAGAATCATTTCCCAAACAGCTTCTGCCATCTTTGATTTCAAAGAGCACGACTATCAACTGCTCCGATGGATTCGACTTGGTGACATGTCGTCGCGTTATATTTTGCCTGGGATCTCACAGTTGCCATTCACTGAGAATTTGACACCCTTGCGAACATACGTTCCATGGATCGTTACATCATTGCTCAGTGGAAAACAGGAAGTAATTGGAAGCAACGAGAAATACGCCATTGCCCAAGACATGACTGCTGAGATTCACGGACACGAAATCATCAATCGAAATCGTTATGGAACTTTCATCGGTCGTCAAAAGACAATCGAATTTCGATCGGAGAACCGATTCCCTGCCGACGATGCCGTTCTTCGAGCATTTAGTACCCAACCAATACAAACGATGGTGGACTATGGCGTGGTGTTCACATTGCGCTTGCTGGCACAGCACTGGCGAAATATGGTCTCGGCAGATTCCAATCACTTCGCGAATGATCGCCTCGATCAGTTGGACCCATTTGAAGCCATTCGAGTCTACATTCCTTCCGTCTGCATTGCAATATCCTCGTTCCGTGGACGCAGCGGTTGGGATTCTGCTGTTTTGGCGGAATTTGTGAAGAAGTGTCAATATCTGAAACCCGCCTTCACAGCTGATAAATGCCGATCATTAATGAATGAAATGAAGCATAAAATAATCCCTAGCCTCTGCGCGGGAATCGAATCAATTTCGGATCCACTCAACCGCTGGCTTGACTCCATTTCCGCAGCTTGCACTCTTCTCGAGAACGAAGCAAGAACAATTTACCAAAAGATCACGACGGTAGAAATTGGACTGCGCCTTGGTTACGATCTTGTGACGCAAGTCAACTTTGAAATCCCTTCAGACGAGGATTTATTGATGGCTCTACTATTACATTTGAGAGGCAAGAACCCAGGAAAAGAGGTTAGAGAACGGTCTCTTCGCGACGCCATCTCTTTAATGACACCTCGAGATCAAAGAACCTTACTGGAACTTGTCAAGAAGAACCAGATTGAATCAAAGCCTGCAAAGTTTTTGCTTGATCGTGCGAGGGCCTTGGCCAAGCGCATACTACGACGGGAGTATTTCAGTGAGGCTATTCGACACTTGTCTATGGGAGAGGAAACAGAAGACATCTTCCATGATGAATGGTACTGGGTTTTCGAGGGCGAAAAGAGGGGTGTGTATATCTTTGACGAAGATTCATCAACCAGGGATTCTGATTGTTTCATCCATGCGGACTCTGGGGTCAGGCGCTTTTTCGATCTGGATGATGAGACTGTCAAGTTTTGCACCTACATTCCAATCGCCGAAGCCATCTCCAGGGCGCAGCGCTGCTACATGAATATCGAGTTGGACCACGGGAAGAGATTTAGATTCAATGCTTTCATGGAGTTTTCATTCTTGCGTGTTGCTCTACGTCAGCTGGCTGTGGTTTCCCTCATCTTTTGCGAAGAACTAGATGATGCACGGATGACTGTTCTTCGAGAAGTGCAACTCGAGAATCAAGAAGCAATCGAGGTCCGCGACATGAAGCTGGGGAATACGTATTATGTCTACAATGAATTGACCAGAACCTTTGATTCGTTTGCGTATGAGACCCAGATTCGCCCTGGCGATCCACAATGGTCAAGGTTGACAGAAAGAAAGATTCTGAAGATAGCTCCCCAGAACATGGTACTTGTTGGTGCTGGGCCTTCTGGATTCCTGACTGCGATTCACTGTACGGAAAGCGTACTTGCCAGTGGAGGTATGATAAAGCTCTATATGGAAAGTAAGGCAGGCAGGGATGCAGAATATTTCGAATCTGCTGAAGTAGTGCGGCTGGATCAACGTTGGACTGCCATGCTGAGGTACTATCTTGGCACTGTCTTTGAAGATGCCTTTGTTCCTACAAGCGAGACCAATCCAATGCTGGGAAATAATGAGTAAGATTTTCGCAAGACAGGGATTTTGAATACATTTCGCCTATCTCTAAACCATCGTTTCTTCTCCTCGCAGGCCATCGGAGGGTTTCTTGGAAGTCGCAACGAAAGATCTCGAAAATATGCTCCATATTCAGGTTTCAAAGTTGTGGTCGAAGGGACTAATCCAGGTTTTCACTGATGCTGATGCGCGATATGATCCAGAGACGAATGCTATCATGAAGGATGGCCAGTATTTAAAAGTGGGTGATTTGCTGGTGCGAAAACTGAACGGAGACGGGAAAAAGAGTGACCTCTCTCATTCTTGGAAAGTCACTGATGTGACCAAGGTAACAACACTTGGCATCGAAGACTTGAAGCCGAATACGGAATATGCAATATACGTAGCGCTCCGAGATGAAGTCTTACCGTTCAAGCTTACAAAAGTGGAACTTCAGTCAAGGACATACACATTTGAATCTTTGTCCGATCGCTCAAAGGACATCGTTGTCCAAGCCCATACTCTTCCAGCGATATATCCGAAGGGAACACAGAGACACATGGATGTCGAAACGTTCAAAATTGAATGTCTTGAACCAAGTTCCGAAGGTGAATACAAGAGTCAAGTTGTCCCAATGAAGAAGGTTCGGAACTACAAGTTCACTCTTGACCTTCATAACACGCATGTTTTCCAATGCGTCGGGTAAGCTTCTTGATTGTCGGTATGTTGAGTGTTGCAAGAAGCCGCGGCAACTAACTTTATCTTTATTTCAGGAAAAAGGAGGATTCGACTACTCATCTAAGCACAACAACATCTGAACCTTATGGATTGTGTTGCCTCCAGGGAGCAAAGGTTTCATTTGTGATGCATAACTTCGGAGTCACCGTCCGAAACAAGGTGACTACAGTATTTGGGGACAATACAAAAATGGTCAGACAAGATGCGGTTGTGTCACAGATGGTACCGCTCGTCAGAAAGAAATATTGGAAGTATCACTTTTTGCATGTGCTCGGGGGGTCCCTGGAGGCTCTTGAAAGTCTGATGGAAGCAATCATGCGCTTCGCCAAAAAGACGAAATCATTCCGTCGCAAGACTCTACAAATTCGATTTGTGGAGACCTGCGATAACTTCTCCTTGGGAATGGAAATGACGCACGTTTACAGGAACTGGAGAGCCGGCATTGGGCAAGAACTTGCCAAATCGTTGAAGAAGCCTCCAGCGTTTGACGTGATTGGAATGGAGCCGAAGGATTACATCGCGCAGAACATTGATAAACTATGGTTTCAGGCAACACTGGAAGTATTGACGGAAGCCAAAGCCTACGCACACTCAGCTCGACGCCGTGTCCCCCATTTCTATTTGGCTCCATCGCACTCGGATGACGACGTCGGCGAGTTGGATGTTGGCGACGCATTTACACTGAAAGAAAAGCCTGGCGAGAGGTATGAAGTCGTTGTTAAGGATGACGAGTTCGTATTCTCTAGAAATGCAAACGGTCACATGACAAAAATGACACTTGATCGGCAAGTTCGTCGGGACAGTGACCTCACGCGAGCCTTGGATGGTGTCGCCGAGTCGAAGATTGCTGTTTCAGTTTTCACAGTGGGGCAGTTTGTGAACCATAGAAGTGCGAGAGTTAACAATGAGAAAGATGGCTACGTCTATTCGTTCATAGGGAATGAGCAAGCAACTCCCCATTTTATGAGAGCTGACAAATTAACTGGAACTGCCATCAACGCCATGTTGGTCAACAATTTTGTGCGAAGCGCTGTTGAGAATGTTCCTTTCGTTTATCGCCTTGAGGGTTATTGCGTAAACACTAATACTTCGAACGGACAAGTTGTCACGAGTAGCATTGGATCGAACCATGCGTCAGATGGCTTCTTGCGGCTTGGTTTCTCATTCAAAGAAGGAGTTGATTATCTCCATGCAAAGGTGGTCGAAAGTATGGATATTGGGCAAAATATGGAAGACGTGCTGTCTCCAGATTGGAAAGCCAAATTTGCAGCACCTTTGGTTCCTCGCGGCATGGAGACGAATAAGGAATTCATAGACCGTCTGCGGAGAACTGTGCATAAGCTAGCGCTGGAGAAATTCATTGTGGAGCTGAAAAAGGACAAACTCCTTGCCACTGACACATTGATGGAAGTCATTCTCAGGAGGAAAGCCCAACTCGATAGAAAAAGCAAAGGTTATGACTATGAGCGTTATTGGGACAAATTTCTCAATGAAATTGAGGACCAGTTGACAGAGGCCGAATTTGAAGAGCTTGAAGAGTACCATTGCGAAGTTGCGAAGCAAGTCGAGCACAACGTCAATGCAGTTGTTGATTTTGCAAAGAAGGAGAGCCTCTATAACGAGAGAGTGCGTTCTGAGTACTTCAACCAACCGAAGCCCGTGGACGCTATCATTAACGATGGTGCAATGGAAGCACAATTGTTCCCGGAGGCCTTCATCACTTGTGCCGCAATTGCTGCTCTCAATCTCGCTTTCGTTCTAATGCCTGTTGAAAGACGGGGGTACAACATCTTTAGTGCTTGCGGACTTGCAGTATTCAATATTATTCTGACTGGAGGAATAATCGTGAATGCAATGAGATACAAGAACAAAGTTGAAGGATTGCGCATCCATTTCTTTCATGTGAAGATCAAAGGTATTCAGAGGTCGGTTTTTGCACTAATGGATGCAAAAGAACGCTCGAACCTGAAATTGAAGAACAACCCAATAGCCAGTCACTTAGAGGAAATTGTGAAAAAGTTTCGTGCAGATGTCGCCTATTATGGCAAACCGAAACCAGACGAGTTTATGGATGCATTTGAAGACTTCAAGAAGTCAATTAATGACCCCGAAGCCATCCAAGCATTTCAGCGTTTATTGGCTCGCCATTTCATCGGGGATGTTTACCAAGACAATGCAGCTTTGCGAGACTCTCTCGTTGAGATGTACCTTGTCTGCGATGATATGCACTACAAATTCACAAACGGCCCTGCTATCAAGAAAGGTTCCAGCCAAGCCAAAGCCCTTCTCAAGAGGCTTCGGCTCTTTTCACGACGCCTTGAGGATTCACTCCAAAAGGGTGATATTCATCTTGTCATTCTGAGATTGCGCCGTTTTGTTCACTGGCATGCATTCAGTGTTGTCAGAGCAATCTATGGTTTGTTCTGCTGTTCGTTTGCTGGGTCAAATATCCCGTTGTCGCCAATCCAAACAGAGACCCACGGAATCCTCAAGGGTGCACTCGCATTGTCCAAGCAGTACCAAAAAGAATTTATGCGACGTGAAATTGTCGACTTGAGGAATCTGCATTATGCAACACGAGAGAGTGATATGGCATCGATGATTCTTTGCACAGCATGTGTCATCCATTACGCCTCGTGGTTTATGTTTGGAGTCCGCTTCCTTGAATTTTTCATTCGGGTAGGCGACTTGACAGTCGATCTAGCTTACTTCGCTTTCCTCCTCACTGCAGGCTGGGGCCTTGTGATATCAATCCTTCCTGTCTTGAAGAAGTTCTACTTACTATGGGGTGTATGGTGGAATCTGGGTGGCAAGAAGCGGACCAGATCCAAAGAGAAGGGTCCTGCTCTACGCAAGTTGCGAAGACTTACTTTGTTTCAAATCTTCCTGGTTTACTTGCGATTTTGCGCAGGCTCGGCATCTGGCATTGCATTGGTATGGAATGTTGCCCTCCGTGTGTTCCCCGAAGAAATCAGCTCCGACCTGATAGTCTTGTCATGGATTTCCAAGCGCGAATATGGACTCTTTGCTGCAGGCGGAGCAATTGGACTGACCTTATTTGTCAATTTCCTGTCTCTCATCTCCGACTTTGTGCTGCAATTCGGTTTGAGTCCTCGCACTGCCCAATTCATTTGCGAGGGATACCGTAAACAAATCGAGAAAACTTTTAAGAGAATGGACATTCGGAAGAATGATGTGGAATCCAAGTTGATGCAAGAGCGACGAACCTGGGAGTATGTCGCCGAGGAGTTTTGCCACAAGTACCGATTCGATTTGGTGCTTTCTGTGGACCGTTTTGGGGCCGTTTACCAATACATCCTCAGTGGAATGGACCCGAGCGCTGCCAGCCCCCAGCTAGTCATTTCAGAAACTGCCCCTTCTGCAGCGGCAAGTGGAGTGGAGATTGCTGTAGCCAGAGCATCATAATATATGACAATAGAATTACTACATTTTTTAGACCAATGAAGCTAATCTTGTTCACCTCCGTAAAGTCATTTCATGATTCTTACTCGAACATTTTTTACAGTGCCGGAAATGATAATAGTAACAACGGATGGTGATTTTTTCAAAATTAGTTTACATAGAGTTGCTGCTGTCGCAACTGTTATTAGCTTGATACAATTTACGCCGCAACTGGGGACAGTTTTCGATGAACTGCCCCTTCCAGAAACCCAGCCTTGATGTCCTCCGTCACGGGTTGTTCTCCAAACCACATACTCAAAAATGCACGCTGAAAGTTGCGACCTGGAATCACTCCTCGCTCCTTTCCTTGATCGACGATGACAGTATCATCACCAACCATCTTGATGCTAATGGTTCCACCATAAGAAATCGGGTTGGAAAGTTTTTGAATAAAATCATCTCGATCGTTCTCGTAGCCTTCATAGTGGTGGGACACGCTGTGCTCAAGTTGCTGTTGCCACGCCTGTGTGCATTGCTTGCCACTGACCCCTCTCAAGAATGTAAAGTCCAACTGCATGGGATTGTCGTTGCGCTCCAAAGACTCCAAAACATCTTGGGCATTTTCCAGCCTCGACAAACTGTAGAAGCCCGCCACGTAGACCTTGATGGGCATGCCGAAGAAAGATACCGACCTGATGCCTTGCCCATGTCGCTTCAGTTGATGTTCTCCCATCATTCGAAACTCGGGAATGTGAATTCCCTCCATCATGGTTTTAGCTACGACTTGTTCAGTCATGCCGAAAGCAGCAAACGCTAGGAAGAGGAATTGAGTTGCCTTCATGACTAGAAAATGATTGTGAGACACTTGCCGTCGAGAAAACTGAATCTGATAAAGAGCTGCGAATTTGGCAACGAGCGGTCTAAAATTTTGACACCAAAGCTTGAAGTTGTTTCTCCGGGTCTTGGATCTGATCGAATAAGTCGAAATGATGGCCGACTGATATGACTAACCAACCCTGATCAACGGAGAAAAAACCGGAAGACCTGATCCGCTGAGACCCAAGATCATTTCATATGTTCGTCCAAAAGACAAACGTACCAGTTCCGAGGTCTTGCAACCCATACCAGAAACAAACGTGTCGAAGCGAAAACAAGTAGAGATATCTATCATGGCATCTTGGCCTCCAGAGAGCTTGGGCGCTGACCCGGAAGTGATACTCAATGAATGCGAAATTATGGAGGTGCTTCCGGAGAAGGGGGAAGGAAAGCAATTTATACAGGTAAATTCAATTTAGTCTCTTCTGAAAGAACGTGGAACATCGGTGCAATCCATCATAATCTTATGTATTGTCTTTCCAACTCTTATTGATTCTGTGAATGCATCGGAGCAGGTGGTGGAGATGGCAACGCTGTTGTACCTTGGGGAATTTGTGCATGCACGGCATCTTTGGCGTCGATGGAAAGACAACAATCCCTCCACTTTGTTGGCTGAATGGTGGAAGGTTGGAGCTGGAATGATGAGTAACGAGCCAAAGGCGATTTGGGAAGGACTGGCACACATTGAAGCAACTCATCCAGCTCCAATAAAGTCGTATGCGCAAGAAGTAGGAATCGCCTTTCGAAAAAATATCTTGGATTCTTATTCTACGGTTCAGCCCTATTTGGCGCTTTTGAACTTTTCGTCGGCTGAAGAAGCCCAGCAGTTCCTGCTGCAACCTATTGCTGCTCGGACCTGGAGCAACAATTCTGTACAACGCAAAACTTCGTTGACCCAGGTCGTGGCGTTCTTGGACAGCGCCACTTCTGTCGATACAAAGGCATAAACTGAGATTAAGTAGACTTTTTGAATTTCATTCTATCTAGTTTGACAAGTCTTGTCATGTACCATTATTTACAACAAACTGTAGTGCCGTTAGTCTCTTGCAGCATTGCCATCCAACAACAACTATCAAATTGAAACTATCAAGTCACCAAAACTGTGGAAATTCTTCCATTCTTAGTATGTTGCTTGTAGTCTTTCTATTTTCAATTTGTATTTGTACAATTTGTATTTGTACAATTGTACATGTAGCCTCTCCCGAGCCCTGGACATCCTTGATCATCGTAATTATGCAGCAAGGCGTCTTGCATTCACCCGAAGGAAACAATTTTCGACACGACATCATCAACATCACAGAAGTGAACTTTCCTAGCAACATGTCAACTAACGAGAATACTCCGCACGAGATTACCCCGGCCACAAAAAGTAAACAGGAATTGCTAACAGAATGGTGTGTTTTGTTTTATGGAAAATTTCGTAAAGTTGGAATGAATGAATGAATGAATGATCAAAACTCACGATATAATAATCAACAGCATGCTGTCACAGTTTCGGCTTTCGGTAGCTGGCGTCGGTTTGGGGACGGCTTATTCCCTTCGATACAAGGCTGGATTTGCTCCCATGATTGCCGCTGGAGCTGCAGGAACTTCTGCTGATTTGATATACGGGTATCTGGTGGAATGCGCAAAGTTTCGGCAAGGCTCCCAGGATGAATAATCAACATCAATAGCAGTGCTATCATACCGGTGCCAGAAAAAAGAAAAAGAGTATAGAAGGAAAACGAGGAAGCTTATTGTGAAACTATCGTTTTCGGAATAGCCCTTTTTGTAACTTGGCAGTTGCATAGGTAATCGACTTTCGGAACCCCAAGGTGAAGACACCCTTGAAGGATTGATGCCTTGCAGCAGGAGCAACAATTGCCGCCAGCATCTTTGCCAAATCATCTGCATTCTTATAACTTTGAACGTTTGGTGGAAGTTTCTTGACAAGAGCTTTTCGTGCTGATTGATCTGAACTATTCCACTCTAGATTCGAAGTAGAGTTGGATAGTAGTCCCATCTCTTCCATTGGTTGGAGTACCGGTTCGTATAGCGTTTGAAATCGTCGCAATTGCCCCGGAGCATCGACGAGTTTGGATATTTTTTCTGGATGCTCCGCTCCAATGGTCGTGCGAAAGTCACCGCTGTAGCTCAGACGGGCAATTTGACGAAAGAGAGACGACCAGTCGATAGGTTTTTCTTCCTGCTCTTCTGGAAAGAGGAGTAGAGCGGCAGCGACTGCGGCTTGTAGATTTCGCGATTGCGCTTCCAATATCTCGTCTGGTGTGTTTGGAAGGATTGGTAATGTTGGTTTGTGTAATCTAAGAGAGAATAATTTGGATGGTTTGGAGACGACTTTGTTGAGGAAGATGAACTCTTGTATGGCTAACAGGATCAATCGCGGGCACCACTCACCGGCCCGCCAAGTAGAGCGTATCCCATAAAATAAGATCGCTTATTAGATCATCTTTGTGAACCACGCCGTATTTCATTGGAACAGGAGAATCCACTACTTGGAAAAACACCCTTGCATCTTTCAGTGGATAATTCCTCTGTATTCTGTTCGCCATGCCCGCTCCAGATAGTTTCAGCCATGAAGGATAGTGACTTGGATTACGATCCATGTTTTCTTCATGGAACTGATTGGCATCATCCACTACCAAGATGATGTCCAACATCCCTTCATGCTTGTCATTGAGAGATTGTGAAAAAACGCCCGACCCATAGCCGAACGCAGAGACTAACGAATTTTGTGGAAAGTGATCAACTACCTTCCGAAGTGCCTTTTGAGAAGCCAGCTGTCCCTCGACAGCTTCTTTTAACATTTTTAGCGGCAGGAAAATGAAGGTATGAATGAAAACGCAATGCGATTTGGGATTGAAATGAACGAATGATGCATAATTCATGTCTAAAGTGATTGTATCTATATTTTTCCGCCATTGAGCCATCATGGTACCTTGGCCGAGCGGTCTAAGGCGCAACGTTAAGGCCGTTGTCTTCGGGCGTGAGTTCGAATCTCACAGGTATCAACTTTTGCATTTTTAAATGCTATTACTTTTGCCTTTTGTACTGTACAGCTGGTGGTTACCGATGAGTAGTGTCACTAGTGAGTACTATACCGGTTATCTGGTTTCTCTGTTCTCTAAGTATCGTGTGAAATCAGACTTGGAATACAATCATCACAGCTGTCAGTTGCAAAGTCCTGTCTTCTGGCTGCAACATTTCAAACGAATACACAGACAACCCATATCAGATTCGAGGGTACGAAACGAGAAAAGATATGTATATAAGTTAATGTTCAATTATGTTTACAATGTTACGCGATACTGTTATCTGCTTGCACTGCTGGGCTTCATTTTGATGTCACTTCGTAGACTTTGGAGAAAGTGCACAACACTTTTGCTGAGGACCTTGTTGGATGGCTTCTTCAAGGCCTCGATCATTTTGTCTTCTGGAGTGCGGATGCGCTCTTTCACCATGGTCGCGGCCTTGGCCTCTCCGAATTGGCTGCAGACCAATTCTCTCAATTTTTTGTTTTCTTCGCGTAGGGCCATGACAGATTCTTCCAGAGCCGTGTTGTAGTCACGCTTCTTCGATCGGCTCTTCTTGGCATGTTCACGGTTTTTCTCCCGTCTGATTTGCTTCTTGACAGCAACGTCGGGGATCTTTGTTTTGAGGTTTGAAATAGCAACCTTTGTCGCCGCGACAACGGATTGTGGTTTTGACTTGACCGGAGCCGAAACCGCCTTGACGGGTTTCGTTGTATGTTGCGCTTTGCGTTGCCTCTTCGGGCTTCTTCGTGTAGCATCCTCATTGTCGCTGGAGTCAGAGACTAGATGAGTAGAAGCCGAAGGCTGCTTTCTTTTGGTAGGGGGGAGAGAAACAGCAGGCTGTTCTGCTTGTGGTTGCAATTTAAATGCATCCATCTCGGGAACGAGGCTGTCAGTGGTAATGGATGCACAAGGTGAAGTAGTTGGCGAGACTGGATGGATAATATCCAACAAATCCAATGACGAAAGCCCATCCGACGAAGCGATAATATCGACTTCGTGGTCCATGCCGTCAATCGGCGTGGAAAGAAACATGTCGGGTTCGATTTCAAGATCTGGTGATGGAGCAGTGAAAGGAGTGGGCTGTTGCTCGCTGGTGAAGACATCATCGAGCCACGTGGAAAGCTCAAACATCTCTTGCACTTGGGTTCCGCTAGGTGGAATAGCAGGGTTGCACGGTTGGTGTGTAGCTTGCATATTTGGTCGTTGTAAAAATCTTTCGTGAATTGTGAGGATTTCGGATAGAAAGACGAGCGGGATCTGCAGTCTTTGGTTTGAGAATCGAGTGAATTTGACGTCACGTGCCAGTCCCCGTGTCCTTAAGTAACCTCCAAGTTCCAGAAGGTGAAGCGTCAGTTTGATAGCGCTGCGTTAAGTATCATTTTTTGACGTGTCTTTTGGACTCACACGAATGCGTTAAGTACCATTATAAAAGCGCCGTTTGTATTAAACAAGGTTGTGGAATTACGAGTTCGAAGCCTTCTCGGTTTCGAACACGTCATGTTACACTCCTGCGAGGTAACATCCTCCTTTTCCCTGGCTCTTGTGTATGAATTCAATCGTTTGTGTTCGGAAGAGTGGGCACGTCACGAAATACGTCACATTTTGGTTTTCTCTATTGTTGATTGGGCAGCTGCTCTGTATCACTCCTGAGATGCAGTTTTTCCATTTTCTACGGCTATTGTTTTAGCAATCATCAGTATTCTATCGGAAGGGTGGACACGTCATGAAATACGTCATTGTGTTGTTTTCTCTATTTTTGATTGGTCAGCCGCCAAGTCCTGCATGCGAGTCCCGAGGAGGGCTAATCCTGCGAGTCCCGAGCGCAATGATATGATATATAAAGCAGTCAAAGCAGTCAAAGCAGTCAAATTTTGGTTCAAATTTCCACAGTGACGAAGAAAAGTGTCGACCAAAAAAAGGAACAAGAAACAGTACACCTAGAGAGATGGTCTTTTCTGGAAACAATCCACGGCATCGGATTGTCACCCCACCATCAAACCCCCAGAATTCAGCGCCTCCGCAACACAGTGGCGCCACCACCAAGGTCAAGAAGCGATCAAGCTATTCCTCCAAAAAACAGCTAAGCAATGCTTCCTCCAATCAATCAGGGCAGATCGTCATTGCCTGTGTCATTGTCTTTATTATTATGGTTGGATTCGTTAGATTTATTCCTTGGAAATCTATCGTGTCACCGTTCTCAAAAGACTTGGGATCATCGCGCGGCTTTCCTCGAGTTATAATGTTGACGGAATCTCTCGACAGATCATCCGAAGCGATACAGTTGGACCTGGAATACATTGATTTCACCAAGGCGCACAAACAAGTACAATGGGACAAGCTAAAGTGGGACAAGAAGCGCGGGGGACCCAAACCCAAAGGAGATAGCTGGTTTGAGCGCCATCGAGTGATTCTCCAGGATGAAGATACTGGTTGCCCATTCGTAGCGGACTGGCAACGATCAAAACCAAATCCAACCTGCAATACGGTATGTTGTTTTAGGATATCGCACATTGCGGACATTGTTGAGTCAATGATTGATTTGAGGAGCGTATACAGACATTCTCACCACTACCTAATTTTGCCTATACATACTATAGATACACGAGATTGGAATACATGTAACACCAATGGAAAAACCAGTCATGTATCGATTGGATTTTCTCAATGAGGGAGCATTCAAACAAGTTTGGCAACCACATTTGGAAAATGGAGAACCTACCGATTTTGTGCTCAAGACAACTTTTTTCAATGATTATACCGAAGAAGATTTGCTTGGAGATCAGCAGGATGGTCTCGTGATGGAGCGGACGACTGCGAGTAATTACGTTGTATCCATGTTTGGATACTGTCATTTCACCAATCTAGTGCAACGAGCTACTGGAACTCTGACGCATTGGATTGGTAGTGCGAGATGGAAAAAGGCAACACCTCTCGAGTTGTTACGAGTAGCTGATATGATGGCGCAAGGGGTGAAGGATATGCACATGTACACAAAATCTAGAGATGGTCACCTCCTACCGACGATAGCACACGCTGACATTAAAGGAAGTCAATATCTGGAGACCAGTCCAGGTCAATTTCGTCTCAACGATTTCAATCGAGGCAGTCTCCTGACTTCGAAAGATCGAAAAACGATATGTCCATTCTACCTCCCGGGTGTTCACCACAAGGGAAGCACCATGAGGGCGCCCGAGGAATATGAGGACAATGCTCCACAAGATGACAAGATTGATGTGTTCAGTCTTGGTTCATCGCTGTATCAGTTACTCACCGGTGAACCTCCGTTTGATGGGTTACCAAAGACCCAAGCCATGGAAAGCATCCGCACCGGTGTACAACCACCGATGCCAGAGTACACTGATCCATCGTTGGTGGCCATTCAAAACGCCGTCAAAATGTGTCGACAATATAATGCCAAAGACCGGCCATGGTCTCGAGATGTCGCAGATTTTATCCGGCAAGAATTGGAGAAACAAGAGCAATTGGCAGTAGCTCAATAATAACGATAGTAGAAATGGAATGACATGCCCTCTTTCAGCAGTACAACAATAAATTTGGGACCACAACTTTTGGGTCCAGGTAGTCAATCTGATGCAGCACGTATTGAGTTTTGCGCTTGTGCTTTGAGACGAACCCTCACTATGAAGCAGGCACTGATATCGCAGGTTTGGATTTAAAACAGAGACACTATTTGATTAGCTGACACTCCAGCAATCATGTCCAAACGAGGTATCGACACATTGCTTACAAGCCAAGGGAAACGGCTAAAGACGGGGGAAGAAATCCGCTTCACATTAGTCAAAGGCCCTGGTTACAAGCCTCGTGCAGATCCTGTCAATCCAAAAGCACCCAAACAGCAATTTCCACTGATTGCCAAATTCCCACAGTCCGTTCCCACGCCAGACTTGAGCACGCTTCCGTGGAATACCGCTCGCTTATTCCAACAAGACATTCCAAAAGCAGACGAAGACTCGGATGATGACGCGAATGAAGTCAAAAAGAGATGGCGACCCCGTCAAGATGTTCCCAAACGACAATGGATACTTCAGGAACAGGTGGAGTTCTTGGAACACATGATGCTAAAGTCCCAACGAAAGCCACTGCCCAAAGATCAAATCTCGTCCCAATACAGTGGAATTCCCGAGCACAACCCCTCCCACTTTGCTCTCTTTGAAGTGTCCAAAACCGATGGCCAAGTGATTCAAGTCACCACGATGGCGCCTCCGAATACTACCATTTCCTTTTCACAACCCAGAGGACACAAGACGCTGAGTATGAGTGAAGCAGAAGTAGCTATTCAGGATCAGCGCGGCAAAATGTCCCGTTACATGATGCATAACAAGCAACGAATGTTGCACAACCCTTCCGCTGCCATGCCCACTGAATCCCGCAAGCGTTTGTTTGGTAAGCTTACCAAAATCAATAAAACCGATGGGGACGATGATGAAGATGATATTATGGGAGACGTGGCCTTTCGCAATCGCAAGGGAGCGGGACGGACTCGGAAAGAGTTGTTGGATTCCGTCGGGGATTCAGGCCTTAAGGTGGATGCGGACGGTGTCTTGGGCGGGACGGACGACGGTGAATTTGGAAAAGGACAACGTTTTGGCCGATTCAAGGCCAATGAACAAACGGCGAACGAGAAAAGTGCCCAAGACACTGGTGGGGAATCCTCCAAGGGAAATGATGGCAACGCCATGGCAGACGACTTTTACCAACGAGATGTCCAAGCGGAATATGAAGAATTGGATTACGATGTCAATGAACAATTCGACGACGATGATGTGGACGTGGGAGAAACAGAAGTCGCAGTTGAGGGTGCAGGGTTTGCTGATGAGGATGAGGACGACGACTTTGATGAAGATGGAATGGAGAATCAAATTATTTCTGGAGCAGAAGGTTTGGCTTCGGTGGCTGGATTCAGGCTCTTGTTGGCCAAGGCTCGTGGTGAAGTGACTCCCGAACAAATTGCGGAATCCGAAGAAAAGAGGAAGAAGGAAGAAGAGGACAAGAAGCAGCGAGCGGCCGGTGCTCAACAGAAGCAGAAGCAAAACTCCAACGAGCCAGTGGACCATCTGACCAAGATTATTGCTGCTGCACAAGATGCACGAGTCCGGGCCGAAAAAGAGGAGCAAAAGATAGCTGCTCCTGCACCTGCTGCCAAGGATTTAGTCAACAAACTGGACGCGCAAGGTCAACGTGTGATTACCATTGATTCAGTCCGAAGAGAGATCTGGCTGAACCATGGAACCATCAAACTGAAGCGACTAATGAAGTTATTTGATATTGGGAAGAAGTCCAGCAAAGAACGAAGAGCGACATTTCAGCAAATGGTCAAGGAACTTTGTACTCTGGAAAATGACCCCACAGGTGGCAGAATGTTGGTGTTGAAGCAGCACTATTCCAATATGGGTTAAGGAGATCCGAAAGGGGCATTTGATCGATTTGAAAATATATAATTTGCTATGGAGAGTGTGATCACTTTGAAAATAAATAAGTTGCAGTCGAGCTTTTGATTTGAATGTTGTATGTATGCGGTTTGCCAATAACGAGAAGGAATGATTCGTTTTTTCTATGCGTAAGGAAATCGTGAATTTGCATGTTCTGTAAGCGAGTTCTCTATTCTCTTACTCTATTGTAGCGACGTTTTGACTTGTTTGAAGGCAACAAGCCTGTCTATTATGCGTTTTGTTTGCATTTGTGTCCATTACCGCCCATTGAGTTTTCAAAACGCGGTACTGTTGTATAATGTTCATTTGTGGTGATCCGTGTAGAGATGTGGTTCCAAATCTTCAAATACCTCTTACTCTGATCGTGTAGTACTATGGTCCTTCGTAGTCCCCATCAAAAACGATCGTGGAGATGTGCAAAACAAACTACCACCGCTGCGGACTGGGCGGGGTGGCTGTTGTTTCGACAACTGTGCCATTTTGCTTTCCAATCCAGGAAGATTGAGGGCAAGCACGTCAGCATGTGCTGGATTCTCACTGTATCCATTTCCGTGGCAGTAAAATTGTTTCGTGTCGTCCCCATCGGGAATCTGAGCAATGTTGCCGTGGTGGTTGTTGTTATTGTTGTGCATCCCATAAACAGGTAGTCGAGGGTACGAAATGTTGTGGATGTTGGATTGATGCAATGCATACGGGTTGGGTCCACGGAACTTTACTGGTTCGGGCTCCTGAAGGTTTGTAGAAGCTAAAGGAGGAAGAATGAGCCCCCCATCATGTGGATCTAAATGAAAAGATCGAGAGTTAGGGTTGGGAATACAATCTTCTGAAGACTCGGATAGCGATTCCTGAAGATCGGTTCCGGAAGAAGAAGACGAGTTTGGCGAATAATACATATCCCCTGGTTGAGCTCCATATCCATATTCTTGGAGTGACGGTGCTTGATCATACTCGTGAACCCCCATGTGTCGCCCCATATTTGCCGGAGCATGGCTTCCCACGACGGACAATGCGTTCAAAGTGCTTGCTTTCGACCCCTTGTTGAAGCTAGACCTCTGATTCTTGAACGACCCCTGCTTCTTAGTTAATCCCCTCTTCGGCTTGTTCAATGAATTTTTGTTTTCGCCCCCTTTGTTCTTCCGACGATTGCTCCCTCCTCGACAACCTCTTGGTCGATGGCTTCTGCGACGCGTTGGTTTGTCTCCTCCGCGCTCGGCAGTGTTCGATGGATCTCTCCTTTCCGAATGAGACACCGGTGTAGACTTGTGTGCTAGTTGCTCCATTTTGTTCAATTATTGAAAATATATAGACTGGAAAGGAGATGATCTGACCTCAAGAACAATTGTGGGTAGGATCAAGATCTCGAATCGCTTTCGGCGAAAAATCTTGCGATTTTTGTGATGTGAAAAAGCAGTCCGGCTTGGAGGAGACGTTGATGTGACATCGGCCAGTTGCACAGTTAATATTCGATCCTCAGACTGGATATAAATCATAGATGGCGCGCTTTATCAAAAGGTACTTCTAAAGCGTTAAACTACACTCCAATCAATACCGGTACAACACACAACACACGGACACCACACCACACCATACTCTAGCTAGAACTACAAAACTATCGCCTATAGTGAAACCCAGCAGCCCGAGAGACTTCTTTTCAAGACTCTTGAAGAACAAGATAGTCGATAATGCCAGGTGTCTTGCGAAAAGATGAAAAAACGGGTCGATTTGTCTACGAATTCAATGGCAATGCCGTGTACGAATGGGAGCAAACGTTAGACGATGTTACGATATACATCAAGCCTCCTCCTTTTGTACAAAAGGGTAACCAAATAAAATGTCAGATTACTGCAAAAGCTTTGAAAGTGGGGCTTCAAGGAGGAACCCAGTGGTTCATCGATGAACCTTCTGGAGGCCTTATTGATGTCTCTGAATCTACATGGAGTTTGGAAGAAGACGATCACGATGCGAGCCAAAAAGTGATTTCTATTTACTTGGTCAAGGCAAATAGAGGGGCTCAATGGAATACTGCGTTGCTGGGAAATGGTGCGGTCGCCGCGCTAGACCCGGCTGCTCAAGAAGAAGTTCGGAAAGAAATGATGTTGGAGCGTTTCCAAGAAGAGAATCCTGGCTTTGACTTTCGCGATGCTGAATTCAATGGCTCCGTGCCAGATCCTAGAAACTTTATGGGAGGTGTAAAGTATTCATAGTACGCTGTTGCTGCCACGAGGGCATATACCAATGAATGGGAACAACCATCGTTTTTGTTGACAGAATGGAGGCTTGCCTTGATCAAACATCGAACCAAGGTCTATCTCCTCTCTTGAAGTCTTTGGCGGTACCAATGAATGGATACGTTCGGTGAACAACTATTCGCTTGTTTTTAGAAACATGTTTTCTAAATTTAGCTGAGAGAAGTGCAAGGTAGACCAAAGAGCAAGTGTAAATATTTTTAAAACAGATAATGTAACTTTTGAATGAATAGACACAACCTTAGTACTGTCCGGTCAACAGCGTCGTATTCTTTACAGCATCATCGCCTAAGTGACGCAAAATATGCCATCAATAACTCAAAATCAAATCGACACACCCATAGTGGGTCAATAGCGTCGCATTCGTTACAGCGTCATCTCCGATCGGGCTGACAACCAAACAAGACCTTTAATCATGGTAGCTGACATTTGAATGTTCATGGTGAAAGGGATGTCCATCATTTCTCCACACAGCATACAGCAATCCGCTACTTTGGTAAGCAATGTACATAAAACGTCCATCAGGAGAGAAGGAAAGCCCAGTAGTTTCATCATCGAAAATTTCACTCTCCAAAACAGTATAGAACTTTCCTTCGTGATCTCTGGCGTGTACACCAGCCTTCATGTCAGATCCACTATCCTCGGTGAAATAAAGGAGCTCGTTTGAAGCATCCTCGGCTCGCTCAACTTCATCCGGAGATCCATCGAACAAACCAACTTCAGTTGTGTGTCTCGAGTAAATACCAGTATCCAAATCGAGTACAAACAGTTGCTTCATCTTCTTGCATACAAAATACATCTTGGATTCAAAAACATCAAGACCTTCTGTATAGGGGTAGTGCAACTCGGCATTCTTGCGGGCTTCATTCCGATTGGCTGTCCAGACGAATTGACCTCCATCGTTTGCAGCATTTGGGATCAGCATTAGATACTCTTTAGTACCTTCGTTGTGAAGCATTTTCCAAGGCGTGCTCCAATCTATTTTTTCTGGAGTGAACCTTTGCAAAGCGCCATCTTCAGCATCCTCCGTAACAAAAAAGTGAGGCGAGTCTTCATCGCGAATATCGTAGGCAAAACTGTCCCAGCTTCCTCCCTCGCGACCGATAGTCGTCTCCTCGGGCTTACGCTCTCCGGTCGGATCAACTTGATAAATATGTCCATGTTTTCCATGTTCCTCACAAGTAATCCAGGTACCGAAGGGTGTTTTGCCTCCCCCTTTATTTTGATTTGTACCCTTCAGCAGCATATCATAGGATTGAACCTCTCCTTTCTTGTCAAACGTTAGAGCTCCAACTCCCCCCTCCTTGTGTGAAGCTTCCGAATTGCTGACATATATCCAACCACCGTCTTGCAATTCGAAGGTGGCTCCTGCGCTAGGCAACCTGTGAAACTTCTCTTTCGACTTGCCACGCTTTTTCTTCTCATACTCCACTTTTTCATCGGCTACAGCGATGATTCGAGCATCCAAACCCTCCGATAGTATGAGACCGAACTTCGAGGTTTTTAAGTGTCCAGGTGCATATGTAGTAGAAGGTTCCTGAGAAGTATCTGTGGGGGATTGCGCTGAGTTCGAATCGTTTTCTACTGGTTGCTGTGTCGCAACTGGCACCTGCGTCACATCGGCAATGGGCGGTTGCGTTGAGTCTCGGTTGATGTCCACTGGCGACTGTGTAGTATCATCTATTGGCCGTGCAGTGTCCATGATATTGTCGGTAGCTGTAAATGGTGACAAAGTAGGCGACGAAGTTGGATCAGATATAGCTTCTGATATACTGCTGCTATATGTCGGGGCATCATCGCTACCTATTGCTGCCCAAATCGCAACTGAAATCAGTATCAAACAAAGTAGTATTACTCCAATGACCATGGTTACTTTTTGGACCCGTCCTCGATTGTTATACCATCGCACCACCTTGTCCTGGGTTGAAAGTTTGGAACCACTTCCAGTACTGCCAGCATGGCTATCACCATCATCGCTGAAGCTCAATGTCGGAGCCAACCCGATCGAAGGAATGGCATCTTTTGATGCCTTGTCGTTCTTCTCTGGTTGGCCTCGCTCAATGTCAGCTCCATCACTTAGATTCCAAGCTTTTAATTTCATTGACCAGTTATCCTTAAACATCTCCCGAATGCTCTGTGGTGTCTAGAGTGTGCAGTCTTTGCTTTTAGTGTCTTGCACGCACAACTTCTTATCTCGTCAGTTGTGAAATGTGTGGTGGATCTTTTGAAAATTTCAAACTGGAATACCGTTGTCTATCATTTATGGATTTCAGTTGTCACTGCGACACTTCGTCAAACGGCAAAAATATCGCGCGCCAAACGACGAAACGAATTGGCTCAACATTTTCATCGGAATGCCCACGATAAAACTGCCACGATGAAAACAGACAACGCGTGTGAAGAAACATTTGCAAGCGGAAGCTGCAAGATTAGGGTTCATAGCATCAAGAAGGATGAGCCTATGCTCTAAAAGCTGTAGCAACTCAATGAGATCTTCGAAGCTGAAAACTGCGACCTTCGTTTCTGTTGCAATCGGCATTTATTATCTTCTATCCCTTTCGGGGCATCGATCGATCATCGAAGGACAGTTGGGGATTTTGTCAACCTCGGAAGGAGATAGCAATGGGGACGGCTTCAATCGTGAGTACCTTCTTGCGCCAGAAGTCCAGTACACTCCTAAGATCGCTTGGTTGATGAGTTTTCCAAATAGTGGGACAAGTTTTACTATGAGTCTGGTGGGGCGAGCTTCGAATCGATCCTTTGCGACAAACTACGCGGATGAAGTGACTCCACGGGATATTTCATCTGCTTCACTTAACATCTACCATCATAGACATGACGGTCCATTTTGGCCTGGAATGAGTGGGAAGATACTATCTCCGCGACCGTTACCTGAGAGCTTTGTCATAACAAAGACACATTGTGGATCACGGTGCATGTATTGTGGGCCAGAAGTTTACGTTGTGACAGCAGACGATTTTCTTTCGAGCTGCTCTTCTGGACATGCACGGATTGCAAACAAAACAGAAGCAGTGGACGTACATTACCCTCCAGAACGGGTTGCAAGTGCAATTCATCTGATCAGGGATCCATTCACAAATATAATCTCTCGATTTCATCAAAGACGAAAGAACCAAGAAGACAAGAATTTGACGGAATGGCTCTCACAACACCCGAACAATTCAACAGGATTTCAACGCTGGTGCAAGGAATTGGACAATCAATATCGCCAAGAGGACATCGAATACTTTGGCCTGGAACACGTTCCGAAGGCCCCTTGTCATGGAGAATTCTTCAAGTACGCACAATGGCATAGCCTTGTTGAAGATGCGCTTGACCTGATTTCCCATCCCGTTCCTGTTCTCACCGTGTACTACGAAGACTACGCGAGCAAGCTTGAGGAAACAACAGAAACCATACTGAACTTTCTGGATCTCGATTTGGTTGGACGCATAAAGGTATTCAAGGCGAAGACGGAAGTTTCAGAATACTTTACAGCAGAGCAAAAAGACAGCATAAAAGAATTCATCCGTGACGTTGCAAGCAGCGCAGCATGGGCACATATTCAGCACTATTTCTAGTCTTTGCATTCCTTATGGTTGCCATGACAGACTAGGACCTACATGGTTTGGAAACGACCTTATAAAAAATGAAAAGTAGTAGTGACAATGTGCTCGTTTTTTTGCACAGCACAAGCTATTGGGAGTATAGCATAGTAGTGTTTGTAGCTTGTCAATATTCTGGAGGAATGAGTTCAGAGAGTCCCGAGTTCCATGGCAATGGAGAGAGCGAAACTGAAGTCGCGCGACGAATATAGCTTGTCGCACGGAGCAAGCGCACCTGGTGTCCAGCAGACGTTTACCCACCCTCCTGCAGCCCTATGATTCTAGTAGTACTACTACTGTTCTTTGTAGTTGAGGAATGGTCCGGTTCAAGTGTCTTCAATTTGATCTCAACCGCCCTTTGATATTGCTCCATGTCTGGCCTTGATCGCACAAGACGAATCCAATATTGTAATATGTGTCTGCAGTCGAGCAATGGTCCGGTCCAAGTGCCTTCAATCCATCATAAGCGCCCTTTGGTATTGTTCCATGGCGTCCTCGTACTTGCCTTGTCGGAGCAAGACAAACCCGATATTATGAAATGTAGATGCCATTTCCGGATGATCGTCACATTGAAAGACTTCTTTCAATGTTCAACCTCTGTTGAAATAGTTCCATCGCTTCCTCAAGTCTTCCTCCTTTGAAAAAAGATGCCTTGCAATATTTTTGTATGTCAAAGCCACATCTGCCGATCAAACCCTTCTCCAAACCGTTTTCTTGCAAATATTGATCAAGTTCACCACACAGACGTCTTAATTTTTGATCAAATTTCTGGTTCGCAATCTTGTTGCAAGTATTAGCCACCTCTGGTCCATCAATCCCTTTCCTTTTAATTCTTGATCGAGTTCTTCGTTGAGACGTCTTTGTTCTTGATCAAATTTGTCTTTTGCTGTCTTCGAGGGTCGCAACTATGGCCTGCCATCTTCTTCCATTCCAAAACATAAATCGTCATCTAGAACAACTTGATGTCGTGGAGCCGAGTATTCGTTGTGGGAAGGTACAGGTTGACTATTTGGCCCTGCGAAGAGGCTTGCTTCAGAAATGATTTCGCCCTTCTTTTCCTTCGATGAGCGTACTTCATCAATTGTCTCATGAATTATGCTCCTGGCATCGCGCCCCCTCCTGTTCGCAAAGGAATCTTTTCGTTTGTCGCGACCGCTCGTTCGCTCGCTGTCAATTGTGAAAGCAGCATACAAATCTTCGCCCTTCAGTTCCTTTGATATAAATGTCCAACAGTAGTCGGTACTTCATCGATTAAAATCCTCTTCTGGCATCGGCGCGACCCTTCGTTTGAAACCGTGCACTCGTCATCAAATGTGACTGTAATATCATCATTCAGCTCTAAACCGGCAAATGAGGCGGCATCAAGTGTTGAATGGTGTCAACCAAATAGTACTATGTACTTCATTATCGATTGCCACAGGGTTTCTGTGAGCATCGCCCCTCATACTCGCGAAGGGATCTTGGTTGTCAGGAACATTGGTCATATGTTCGCCATCATATGTGAGTGTAGTGTCATCACAGGCTTGATTATGATGATTTAATTCGAGCTCGAAAGCTACGATGAAGAACGAAGAAATGAAGTAAGTTCTTGGAGTTACGGTGCAGCAAGACTATCCAACTACCAGTTTCATCCGTAGTATCGTTGTCTTTCAGTTAGCTAGTCTCCCTTTGTTTCTCTTCCATTTGAAAGAATGAAATCATGATTTATGAGCAGGAAATGGGTGACCTTTTGAACGATGAAGAAGGATGACATTGGAATATTTCATCGGGAAATGGATGAATGAAGTTAATTACATCTGGTTTAAGTCGCGCAATTATCCACTGAAAAGGCATCAAGGTACCTTGGCCGAGCGGTCTAAGGCGCAACGTTAAGGCCGTTGTCTTCGGGCGTGAGTTCGAATCTCACAGGTATCACTTTTGTTTTGCTCACAACAGATTGCTTTTGCTTTCCTCTGTCGATGAACAAGGGCTCTCCCACCGTACCATATCCGGTATTAATACGCACGAACTAAATTATTTTATTAAAAAACACAATGTTGGATAATATAGCCCAAGTCGACATACAGTACTCTTTACTACCCCCCCTGTACCATCAGATGCTAGTCTTCTAAAAAATTCTACTCCCTTTGCTCAGACTTTGCGCAACATCATCAATGTCATTGACAACTACCGGTATGTTCATCGATTAAGAAGGCCTTATGGATGTTATGTATGCTAGACAGTCCAATTACCACCACGTGCTTGCTTGCTGTCATCAGCCATCTTCTTCATTTCATTTCACTTCTCTGCGGGCCGCTTGCTGCTTCGTCTTAGTCGCCAAGAAGTTGAAAGTGCCCCGCAATATCCTCGATTTCCAAATAAGCAGTCTCACTCGCATGCTACATCGGACCAGGCACGGGGCACAATCCAAGATCTTACAAGACTACAAGCAAGCAATACTGGTGGGAAGAATTTGAGATGGGCATCGTCCGGCTCACACCGTTAATTTTTAGAACCATTTTGCTAGGGCATTCTCGTCATTGCAATTTGTCGGAGTCGAATTTTTTGGTTTGAAAAATGTCTGTGTGACATAACGGTGGTATATGTGTTTTGTCCCAATTAGAAAACGAATGTTCTCACTTAATGATTTTTCACCTGTTGAGTGGCGGCAACCTACAGTCCATATCCGCACGTCATAGAACGGAAAAAGCCAGCACGCCAAATTGCGCCAACACATAGCGGTTTGTGGGGGTTTTGTGATGGTTGAAAAAGCCAAGAAACGCGGACAACAGACTGAGGGCAGAGTCAGTCAGTGTGTGGATCCACCGAGAATCGACATCACCATCGAAACAATATCTATCCTATCCAAGCAATCTACGTACACGTACCACCTTGTTGATAGGACGATTACATTCCTCCACCTTCTCGTCATGCTGGTGAAGTTCAAAAGGGCATTTTGATTCTTGAAAACGTAACAATCACTGCTGAAGAGATGTCCTCACATCCACAACAACAACATGCTCAGTTTGGACACGCAGAATCTTTAGCATTTAGTGCCGCTTCAGCAGTTGTAGATGAGACGCGACAAGAATCTGCCAATACTTCACCGTCTCAGTGGGGTAATGACAGTTTTACGAGCAATCAAATAGAGAGCCATGCTCCTCAACACTGGAACCAACAATCCTATGATCAGAATCATCATCATCACCATGCATACAACAGCCACAGCGCGAGCAACATATGGTCGAATGATACCGATTCTCTGTACTCTGGTGTGTCAACGAATCCAAACAATTCATTCTCGGCGGGGACTACTGCATCACTGGACAGCAGCAGGTGGTATGGGAAAGCAAATGTGATGGAGGCTACTCCGAACAATGATTATCTAACTGGATCGATGAATCGAATGCACATATCTTCTGGATACAACAGCAACAACAACTATCATATGCATGCGCAGGAAGCTAGTGATGGCATGACCATGTCCATGAACTTGGGACCATCATCAAGTAACAGCATTCCTGGACTCATTGGCGCCAGCTCTGGATCAACGAGTGCTACCAGCTCAAGAACGTGGAACAACATGAATAACCCATATTCACATCAGGGTCAGCAAAAGCAACAACAGCAACAACAGCAACAACAACATATGCATTACCAGCATCATATGCAGTACCAGCACCAACACGAAGGAGCGCACAATATGCATGAGCCTCAACATAGTATGGTTTCATTACCACCTGGGTTTCTTTCTCCAATATCCACTGCGAACACACATGTGGAAGAAGATCGACATTTTCAGAAAAGGACACCATCTAAACGGAGGACGAATCGAGGAGGAAGACGGGGATATCAAGATCAGGGTAGTAAGCAGAACTTGAAGGGAAAACCAAGTTCTCAGCCTCGTGATGATGATACTGCATTCTCTGGTTTTACGCAGGGCGATGCCGATGCAACCGTCTCTTCTAAAGCAAGTTCAGAGGCGATTCGAATGCTCATGGAACAACCTTCGTCTGTCTCCAGTCAGCATTCAATCTTGAACGCCAACCGGCTGTCCATGGAAAAAGTGGCTGAAGAATCATATACGCCCCAACAAGATCCTTCCTTTAAGCGCCCCATCCTACCGGCAATGGAAGACGTGTATGGAATCTCACTCGATCCCACCAACGATGACGACGATGAGGAAGACTTTGGGGATGACAGAAACTCGGCAGCTTCCAAGAAGCGCGATTGGTTGTTGCGTATGAATCGACGCATGGCAGAAACGGAGGTGGGGACATTGGATCCCTCCACCATTCCCATTGCCGCGGTGATGAATGCTTGGGCCAAAACCAAATCTGCTCAGGGAGCTACCATGGTGGAGACTTGGCTGAAACGGGCGCAAGAAGAGTATGTTGCTGGAAATACTAGAATCATGCCAACCACCAAGATGTACACGATGGCTGGTAAGTGGTCTTGTTCGATTGATTGAACACTCATTTGGTGGTTACGATTGCCATTGATTTATTCTGACCATTCATTCCCATCTCTTTTCAATTTTACTTTAGTCGATGCATGGGCAAAGAGTGGCGAAGGTGTCAGTGCCGCACAAAGGGCAGAGGAAATACTTCAAGAAATGAATCGGATCTACCAACAAACTGGTCAAGAGAATCTGAAACCAACCACAGGTATTTTCAACGCAGTAATCAATGCTTGGGCGAGATCAAGAGAAAAGATGGCACCGTCTCGGGCTGAGCAAATATTGCAGTGGATGCATACTTTACACGAAAGCAACCCAACGATACAACCTGACAAGTATACCTTCAATACAGGTATGACCTGACTTTGTGATTGATTTCATTGAAGTCATAGTGCCAAATGCCAATGTCTCATCATATCTTTCTTCTACACCTTTAGTGATCCATGCCTACGCAAAATCTGGAGGAACGGTGGCTGCTACCAAAGCGCAGGAATTGCTGACCACCATGCACTCGATGTACGAGAATGGCAATCGGCTCGCCAAACCCGACACCATTACGGTACGTATTCCAATGAGCGCTTCTCTTCACAACCAATGATTAGTGGTGACCTTGCTAACATTTATTTTGCTTTTCATCCAGTACAATGTCGTCATTAATGCGTGGGCAAAAAGCGGTGGGAAAGGTGCAGAATCCGAAGCTGAGAAGCTTCTAGCCAAAATGCATCGTCTGCACGAACAAGGAGACCCTGATGTCAAGCCAAATGTTGTCACGTATGGGGCCGTCATCGACGCGTACGCCAAAAGCGGTGAAGCCGGTGCGGCATCGCGAGCAGACACTCTGTTGGCAAATATGATTCAGTTACACCAGGCTGATCCAGTGACGCATGCAGACTTGAGGCCAAACACATATGTTTTTAACACTGTTATCAACTGCTGGGCGAAGAGCGATGAGCGAGATGCCGCATCCAAGGCAGAAGAAATGCTCGTGGCTATGGGTCGACTCCATGGCTCTGGCATGCCCAATTTGAAGCCAGATGCATTTACCTACACAGCTGTCATTGACGCATGGGCCAAGAGTGGATTTCGTGGAGCCGCCTCCAGAGCCGATCAGCTTCTGGACAAGATGGAAGCGAAATATCTCGCTGGTGACATGGACTTGAAGCCCAACACATTCACTTACAACGCTGTTATCAATGCTCTTGCAAAGAGTGGGGAGGCAGGGGCCGCTGCCCGTGCCGAGCGAGTTCTTCAAAACATGGTCAACAGACACCGTCATGGAGCAAACAGCGATGTTAAACCTACGACCATCAACTTCAACACTGTCTTGGATGCTTGGGCAAAGAGCGGCGGAGGTCGACAAGCAGCCGAACGAGCAGAAGAAATTCTCGAATGGATGGATCGTCTGAATAGAGGTGGCAATAAAGATGTACGCCCAGATACCATCACATTCAATGCTGTTCTCGATGCTTGGGCAAGATCGGGGGATCGAATGGCACCATACAGAGCCGAGCAGATTCTTGATCATATGGATGAACTTTATCGGGCAGGCAACAAAGGGGTGAAGCCTGACACTTACACATACAATACATTAATCAATGCTTGGGCCAAGTGCCCAGATAAGGGATCTGCTGAGAGAGCCGAACATGTGCTGAGAGTGATGGATCAGCGATTCCGTGATGGGGATAAGGATTTTAAACCAAATACCAGAACTCATACCAGTGTCATTGACGCTTGGGCAAAATCGGGAGAGAGCGGTGCAGCAGTCAGGGCTGAACAGATTCTAAACAACATGATCGCCAACTATAAGAAGTCTGGTGACAACGATGTGAAACCCAATGTACATACTTCTAATGCTGTTTGCAATGTAAGTTTGTCGAGCACATTGTATTTTGAAAATGGGTATCCGAACATTACTAACAACTCGTGCCTTCGATACCACCACAGGCTTGTGCGTTCACAAAAATAGACGAGGATCGCCCAGAAGCATTGCGGATTGCCTTTCGAGTATTCGAATGGCTATCGTCACAGCAAGATATGTCGCCAGATGCGTACACCTACACCATCATCCTGTCCGTTTGTTCCAACCTTCTTCCAAAAGACGACACTGCAACACGCTACGCTCATGCCAAAGCCTTTTTTGAAAAGTGTTGCAAGGAAGGCTATGTCAATGATTATGTCCTTCGCAAACTTCGGCAGACGGTTACTGAAGAGGAGTACCTGGTCCTAACCAAGGGGTACAACAGTGGCAACATTCCCCAGGCTTGGGGCCGTAGCGTCGGTCGACATGCGAGAAAGAACAAGAACAACAATCGGGGACGGAAGAATGGTGGTGGTTGGTCACAAAAGCGCAAAGGAAGATGAAACCAATTTGATAGACTTTACATATTTAAAACTAATAGATGCTAAGCAATTGTTAATTTGCTGCTTGATTTGCTTAGTACAATCAACGAAAGTGATTGAGGGTGATACATCACATGATGCTCTTTTATTTTCTATATTTGACACTTATTCGGCCCAAAGCTGGACCAATTCATCGGTTAAACACATCCTCCTTTCCACATGAGCATACATTATAATTATAAACCAACAATTGGTCCATATGGGCATTGGTACCTTGGCCGAGCGGTCTAAGGCGCAACGTTAAGGCCGTTGTCTTCGGGCGTGAGTTCGAATCTCACAGGTATCACTTTTGCTTTTTGTTTGTTTGTTTGCATTCCTCTTCACAAGGTCTACAAATGGGTTCCGTTGTTACTGCTTTATTGTGATCTCACTATGTGCATCCCTTTTCACAAGCTCTAGAGATGGGTTCTTTTGTTACTGCTTTATGTCTGCACAGTAGAGGCTAGACTAGCTACTCAAGATGAGAATTCGACTTATAAAAAATTTAGGGGAGAGAGGAGAGACCCCAAAACCTTTTCGACAAGAATCGTTGTGGTTTGTGGCACCATCACACGTCCAACACATCCAACAACAGCCCTCCAGCGTATCCGAAGGAATAATATGAGCTCGCCTTCTAGGAAACGTCAACATGAGGACGATGATATGGATGTAGAAGGTGAAACGAAGCATCCTTTTAAATGCCTCCCAATGTATGGTGAACACAAACGAGCGGTGTCCTCTGTGAAGCTAGCCCCCTCCCGATTGACTAAGGAGCACGCGGCACTGTGTGCCTCGGCCTCTGCCGATGGGAGCGTCAAGATTTGGGATTTGGGGGCTTCGATGGACGATAAGACTCAGGAGTCACTACTACAACCAGAAACTACACTATTAGGGCACTCGCGGGGAATAAATGAAGTCTGTTGGTCCAACGGCGGTGACCCCTTTGTGGCCACTGCTAGCGATGATAAAACCTTGCGATTGTGGGATGCGCAAACGGGCGATGCCTTGGTGGAATTCCGGGGACACGATAATTTTGTATTTTGCTGTGAATTCAACGGACCATCCAATCTGCTCGTTTCGGGGAGTTTTGATGAAACGGTCAAGCTTTGGGATGTCCGAAGTGGCGAATGTGTATGTACCTTGCCAGCCCATTCGGACCCAGTCACATCCGTTTCCTTCAACAGAGACAGCAGCTGCGTGGTATCGGCAAGTCATGATGGATTGATTCGAGTTTGGGATGTCTGCACTGGTGAATGTTTAAAGACCATCTTTGCTGCTGGAAACCCTCCCGTCAGTCATGTCACCTATGCGCCCAATGGAAAGTATGTCCTCGCAGGAACATTGGACAGTGCGATTCGCTTATGGCCCATTGGTGTCAGTGGAAAAGCAAAATGTTCCAAGACGTACTCATCGGCCTTTCACAACAATTCCAAGTATTGCATTGTGAGCAAATTCATGGTGGCACAACCAAAGCGACGTCAATGCATTGTCACTGGGAGCGAATCGGGTCATGTTGTTTTGTACGATGTCCATACTACTAAAGTCCACCAGGTCTTGGACAGGGTCCACAAGGACGTTGTCTTGGCGGTCGATGCTCACGACAAGATGGAGCTTTTGGCCAGTGGTGGAATGACAAAAGATCGAACTGTGAGGTTTTGGGCTCCAGAAGATGAATCAGCCAGCCTGAAGAAGTTGAGAACTGATTAAAACTATTTTAACTGTATTATAGCCAACAAAACAACTGCAAAATATCATACAGGGGGTAGACTTGTGTTTGGGAATGGGCTCAACTGATTTCATCTTTTATGCCTTATTTTTATGTACCAGTACGAAGAGCTAGTTTTCAAGAAAGGCGTACAGTAGAACAGATTTATTCAAACTGACCTCGACTGCAGTACCGATAGGCATCATTTCTGGTGGGATTACAACCATCTTCCTACTTTTAACAACATACAAACGAAGTAATAGAGTTTTGGAAAATACGTGCGCAAGGTTGAATCGAACAACTACGCCGCTAGGCGTCCCAAGGTTTGAAGCCTTGACTCACCACCAGGCAAGGTCATGCACACTTTTTTGTTTTCTAGCCAGTCAGTCAAAACACAATGAAGTGAGCCTCCGCACAGAGTGCATCAACGGCCAAAGATATGAAAATAGTATACAACAAGTTATCTTCATCCTTTCTTCTACTTTAGGCCTTTCCAAGAGAAGCCATCTTCTTCGCTTCTTCGATAGCAAGTGCCTTGTCTCTCTTGTCGAGCTTGGCTTGAGTCTTAAGACCCATAATACCTCCTCCCCACTTACGGACCAACTCGGGGTTGTTGTTGTACTTCTCGTTGGCAAGATCCTTGAGGAGCTTCAATTGAGCCTCATCGGCCTTTCCAACAGAGGTCAAAGCTACAACAGCGGCAACCTTTTGGTGAACAAGGGCACCAAGACGGGCCTTATCCTTAACAATCATGAAAGGAACTTGCATCTTGCGACATAGGGCTGGAAGCCACATGACGAGCTCAATGGGGTCAACGTCGCAAGCAATGAGGACAAGCTCAGCCTTCTTCTCCTCAACGAGAGTGGTGACGTGCTTGAGTCCAAACTTGACAACATTGGGAGCCTTGGAGGAAGAATCTTCCTTTCCACCGGCCTTGGCGGCAGCGGCTTCCTTGATGCGTTGCTTCTTGGCAGCAGGGGTCTCGGGACGGTACTTGTTAAAGAGCGAGAACACAGTCATGGCCTCATTCTTGGACAAAGTCTTGGTGAACTGGTTGATGCAGGGGGGAACCTTCAGACGTTGGTAAAGAACGGCGCGTTGACGTTGGATACGAACATACTTGGGCCACTTGACAAAGCGGGACAAGTCACGTCCACGAGGGCGGATATCACCACCAACTCCGTAATTACGAGGAGTGGAGGGGAATAGAGGATCAGTGCTCTTGGCAGCGACGACCTTGGTGTCCTTCTTGCCTCCTTTCTTTCCTTTGGGTGCCATCTTTTCAAAGTTTTAATCGAAATTGTGCTCTTGTTGTAATTGGAAATTGAGGGTCCAACTCATCTACGCAGGCTGCTACGTAGGTTTCTACATAGCAGACCTCAAAAATAAAATGCGGTAATCAGTAAGTTGGAGGCATCACAATCGGTTGACGGAAGGACTAGTCTGAAACCACAACCCGTTGTGGCTGTCCGTGGCTTTGGAAAACGATTTTCAAGGCAAGCAAAAAACAAAGTCACCATGGTGGGTGTATTCTAGTTGGACATTAGTTTGCTTTGATTTGTTTCCTAAGGCACTCACACTTTATGTCAACATATAGAGACCATACTTGCTACAGGGACACGAGCGACCGATCACGGTTGTCAAATACAACGCCGATGGCGATTTATTGTTCACAGCCTCCAAGGATCTAATTCCAAGTGTTTGGAGATCCGAAAATGGAGAGCGTCTTGGAACCTTCCATGGACACAAGGGTACCATTTGGGATTTGGATGTCGACCGATTCAGTAATTTATTATTGACTGCGTCTGCTGATGCGTAAGTGAACAACAAGAACTCGTTGAAACGAACACTTTGTGATGGAAGAAACTCCAGGTCTCACGCCTTTTGCACACGTTTCCACGCTTGATCCCGAATCAACATATACCCACATATATCAATTCCTTTCCTCCTATCGTACAGTACTGTCAAACTTTGGAGCTGCCAAAATGGAGAATGTTTGGAAACCTTTACGCACCGAGGTCCTGTTCGGGGAGTTTGCTGGGCCGAGGACAATCGAAGATTTGCTACCATTTCGGATCCCTTTGTGGAACACCCTGGCAAAATCATGGTCTGGGACATTGAACAACCAGCTGAACCCATTTTGGAGGTTGATTTGCTGAAGGTTGATGGGAAGAGAGTCAATGCAACAAACATTTGGTGGACTTATCTCAATGAACACATTTTTGTCAGTATGGACAATGGTGTGATGAGGCTGTACTCGCCCGAGACTGGAAGCCTGGTGAAAGAAATAGTGGCACATGAAAAGAAGGTTAACCGCGTACAATTCAATCGGGACAAGACTTTGGCACTGACCAGTTCGGCTGACTTTTCCTCCAAGTTGTTCGATGCTGTCAACTGGAAGCACTTGTATACTTACAAGACGGATCGTCCGGTGAATGATGCTGTTATTAGCGAAACAAAGGATCACATTCTATTAGGAGGAGGTCAAGAAGCCATGTCCGTGACAACCACTTCTGGAAAGGTCGGTAAATTCGAAACAAGGTTCTTCCATATTGTTTACCAAGAAGAATTTGGAACTGTCAAGGGACATTTCGGTCCCATTAATGCCCTTGCTATCAACCCGAACGGAAGAAATTATGCCAGTGGAGCCGAAGATGGATACGTTCGTCTGCATTTTTTTGACAAGTCGTACTTGGATATGCAGGACCCAGTTCCAGAGGCAGATGATGATGAAGATGCCGAAGAATCAAAAGAAGACAAGGCCCCAGCTCCTGTAGCAGGAAAAGCTGCAGGAAAGCCAGAGCAAGCATTGGAATATGATGAAAGCATAATGGATGCGTAAGAAAAATAAAAAAGAAATCTCTATGAATACATTCTGTAGGACTACTACGTTGTCTATGATTCTATGATTTGCGAAATGGGTCGTCTCTGTGTAAGATGGCGCACTGGTTGTACCAAAGTAAACACTCCGTCCTTGTAATGTTCACGAAGTTTGCCATCGAATTGGACACCATTGCTGAGTGCCAGAATCTTCTTTCCGGATGGACCCCAAACAAGGTGCGGCCGTTCCCTTCGGGCATAGGCATGCTGGGTACCGTCGGTAAAGTTGACAAGATTGTCATAGGCAATCCCAGTGACGGTCCAATTCAATGGGTACGAGTCCCAATCAAAGGAGGCTGGCGGAATGGGAGCATAGGCATGCACTCCATAAAAGGGCAAGAACGCATGTGCCAGTGCATGGTAGACACCATTTTGCTGCCAAATGTAAGGGTCTTCTACCGAGGCACCATCCCATCCCTTGTGTTGGAGTAGTAGTAGTAGTAGTAGTGGTAGTGACTTTGGATCTCCATTGATCTTCCAGGTAGTAGGATCAGAGTAGTTGGAGGCATAGACAGTTGTACCTCCTCGGATGAGAGCGACTGCGGATCCATCAGCGTTGATGGTAAGGTCCGTGTTCCAGTCCCACCCAGTGGAGAGTTGTGGTATTTCAATGGGCGGCGACCATGGCCCAAATGGTGATTGCGCCGTTGACATCATTTGTTGAAATCTGTGATGTAGATTTTGGGGATTGCCGAGCTGGTAGGGGCATCTGTCAGATATCTCTGGCGTAACGCCGCCTTGGCAGCTCTTGCAGAGAACAGCATCTAGGCCTGTGGCATTGTAACGATACGACGAAAAAAGCATGACCCATTCTCCATGAGGACCACGAACGACAGAAGGCTCGTGCGAAAAGGCAGGAACGACAACCTTGCGTTTCTGAAATGGACCGTGTGGTGAGTTTCCAGTGATATGAACAATACGGCTGTTGGTCTCCCACGCATTAATGCCACAATTGTTTTGAATTTCGGAGGCAAATCCATGCCACAATTGCGACGTTTCGTCCCATAGAATACCTGCACCCCATGACGAAATATTGGATCCATCATAGTCATCCACTTGTCGGAAACCAAGTTTGGTCTTGTCCACTTCAAGTAGATCAAGTTCGCCACAGGTCGGTCCTTTCCAGGCCTCCGAGCACTGGCAACGACCATCTGAACGACAACGGCCATTGTGACTACAATCGCTATCATCTTGACATGGCCAAAGCAATCGTGACGATGACGCTTTTTCATTGTTCATTTCGGAACGTGGCATCCAGATTGGATCCACAAGACAAAGGCATTGGTTTTTCATTGACTTACTTGGGGCAACTTGATACCAGCATGCAGTTCGACAGCGTTTGTAGGGATTCGACGGATCGACCCAATCCAAGGCTTCCAAGGAGCAATCGGCCAATGACGTGGATGAATTCAGAGCAATAACCTCAATTCCTCCTTGTACGGTGGACGCAAGAATGCCAGCTTTTGGCAGATACGCGGAGCATGCATCGATTCCAAGATACTCCTTGACGTCAACCGGTATGGCGCTGACAATGAAAAGATTTGAGACAATCCAGAGAAAACAAAATGAGAAACTGATTCTGGTGGTGTGAAGAAAGCAATCAACTGATGTCATTCTCGTCGAAAGCATCCATCAATCGCTGTTTTTGAACCCAAACATGTACCAAGATATGTTTTACTAGTCTTTTTATCCGATAGTAAGGAGGTATCTTGGTGCCTCTTGTCGATGGCCGTTGAAATTTAAAGTTCGTTGCAAACGACAATAATATTCGTATCGTGTGTCGCTCGTCGATGATGCGATTGTTCGCGAACGATGACGCCCCGACTCTTCGCATCCTATCACGTGCACATTCACCCAGTGGTGTCAAAACGCGCATGAAAAAACACGAACTCCAACACGTACAATCTTGGTAGTCGCCGCTGTACAAAACGTCACCAGATGCTTGACATCACGAGAACTGCAAAATCGATTCTATTTTGGCATAAAAGAACAATTATCCAAAACAAACTACAAAGATGTTGGCCACTTCCTCAGCGACTCGCTTCTTTGTCAAGAGGGCAATTCATCAAGGTGCAAGGACTGCATCTCGCGCATTTGCCAGCCAAGCTTGTGCATTCACCCCTCGAGGTGTCAAGGTAAGATCATGATTGTGAGAATGTGGTGTTGATGTGTCTGTCGTCGTGACACTTTTGAAAATGCCAACGACCAACCATTATGATCCGTCTATCTCTAGTTTGCCCCAAGAGAACAACCAGCGTATAATAATAGCCAACGAGCTTTCAAGAGCACGCTTGCGGAACCACGCACATCTGCAGAATCACGTGACTCTTATAACATTTCACAAAATGTGGAAGGAACCGATGCCTGTTTGAAGGTTGGCCTTGACAAACTTGGCATTACCAATCCTTCCATGATCCATCGAAACTTGACCTACCAAGAGTTGTACGAACATGAACAGGCTAACAAGGAAGGTGTTGTGGCCAAGGCTGAATACGGTGATACTTTTGCAGTCGACACTGGAAAGTACACTGGCCGTTCCCCCAAGGACAAATGGGTAGTCTTGAACCCAGGATCTGAAAGTGCCGAACATATGGATTGGAATGACATTAACCAACCCTGTGAACCATGGGTATTCGACGAGTTGTACGACAAGGCTGTCGCCCATTTCAACACGTTGGATAGATGCTATGTCTTTGACTGCTATGTCGGCGCAAGTCCCACCTCCCGAAGAAAGGTCCGATTTGTCCACGAAATGGCATGGCAACAACATTTTGTTACCAATATGCTCATTCGTCCCGAGACGCCCGAAGAGCTTGAGAACTTTGAACCTGATTTCACAATCATCAATTGCTGCTCTCAGGAAGACACGGACTTTAAACGACACAAATTGAATTCGGAAACTGCGGCGGTCTTCAACGTTGAGAAGAGCAAAGCTGTTATCTTTGGCACATGGTATGGTGGAGAGAACAAAAAGGGAGTCTTTTCGTTGATGAACTACTGGCTGCCGCTCTCTGATCCTCCACAATTCCCAATGCATTGCTCCGCAAACGTTGGCAAGGAAGGAGACGTCGCCTTGTTCTTTGGACTCAGTGGAACAGGCAAGACGACTTTGTCTGCCGACCCACACCGTGCTTTGATCGGGGATGACGAGCATGGTTGGGATGAAGAGGGAGTATACAACTTCGAAGGAGGTTGCTACGCCAAGACCATCAACTTGTCGGAAGAGACCGAGCCAGATATCTACAGAGCCATCCATACGGATGCACTCTTGGAAAATGTCAAGATTTTGGATGATATGACACCCGACTACGCTGATGTCACCAAGACGGAGAATGGACGAGTTTCGTATCCAATCTTTCACATTCCAAACTACGTGAGTACCTATGATAACATTGTTCGAATTGCAGGACCTGAGATACACAAAATTCATCGACTGACGCTTTCTTATTCCTATTCTTTTTACAGCACAAACCGCAAATGGCTGGACATCCAGAGAATATCATCTTCCTTTCCTGTGATGCCTTTGGAGTCTTGCCTCCTGTCGCCAAGCTAAGTAGTGGCGAAGCCATGTACCATTTCCTTTCTGGTTACACTGCCAAGGTTGCTGGTACGGAGCGTGGAATTGTCGAACCACAAGCTACATTTTCGACTTGTTTCGGTGCTGCTTTCATGACACTTCATCCTACAGTGTACGCAGACTTGCTACAACAAAAGTTGGACAAATACGGTACCCATACGTACTTGGTCAATTCTGGATGGTCTGGTGGTGCATATGGAGAAGGAAAACGCATGTCTATCAAGACAACTCGTACTTGTATTGATGCTATTTTGGATGGTTCCATTCAACATACTGAGTTCAAGAAGGACCCAATCTTTGGATTCGATGTTCCCGTTGCACTCGACGGAGTTGAACCAAGTGTTCTCGACATCCGAAGTACTTGGAGCGATCCAGAAAAGTACGACAAACAAGCCAAGAAGCTAGCGCAAATGTATACTGATAACTTCAAGAAGTACGAAGGCAAGGGATCGGTTGACTACACCAAGTTCGGCCCACAAATCTAACCGTGCCTTGTTTGACAAGGGTAGATATTGCATTGATGCTAGACATAAAACATATAGTACAAACCATACAGTTCAATGCCATGTTCTGTTGTAGGTTGTTGTATTAAGATTCCTTGTCCTGCAACGCGGTACACGTGTACAACCTGGTGGAACTGCCTTGAGAATAGATTTGGGCTAGATAAGTCCGTTGTTTCGCACGTGTTTTTTGATCACCACCCAACATCCCGTGGGATTGACTAGCGTGATCAATTTCTACTTTGATCCACGCGAAAAGCTCTCACAAAATTCAAATCATCACAGACTTGACAACACACGAAAGCAAATACCAACACCCATGAGCCCTATTCCTCCTCCACCAGCATCCGACAGCATCACACAAAGCCCAAGACCAGTCACCATGACTCCACACCGCCGCCGACCAAAGAAAACAACAAGTCCCAAGCGCACACGCAAATGTCAAGCACATTTGTACTCCTCGCCTGGGGCCTTGACGCGAAGAAAGTCAGCATCAGCACCATCTGATCCTCTTGTGTAAAGTGCTACAACAAAACATCTCTAAGAGCGAGAAAAGATAGAAAAAATAAAGTCTTACAATAAAATAGAATAGAAAGATCGAAATACAACTCTTCTTTTTGAGTAGTCCTAGCTTCTTCTTGCTGCTGTCTGTGAACTAATACCATTTAGGGGTAAGAACCTGGCGACATCCGTCAACGATGTGCCAGTATACTCTTGTCGCAGCTGCTTTTTGCTAGTTTGGACTACCGTGGAAAATGATGCTGGAACAAGATGATTATTC